CAAGGAAGGACGATCTGAGCAGCACCACCAGTCGAGGAGCGACGAGGGTGAGAGTCGAATCACGAAGGAGAACCCCAGAGGACGCAGGGGCAGCATACCAAGGCAGTCGGTTCATACCCGCAACAACAGGCTGCAACATCACCAAACGTTCATACACGCACCGCACCGCATCTTCGCATCTCGCATCTCATTCACGTTCCACACACGCAATCGCTTTTGTCCCATGATTCATTCCACGATGGGCTGTTCTGACATCTGAAGGACCTGCGTGATGAGTGTGGCGTGGTCTTATTTGCGTTTGTATCTCTAGGCTTTATCGAATCCGGCCACGTGCAGCGCACTTGCCAACACGACCTTTGCAATCGCCCTCAGCTGTTCGACACTATACCCGTCCCTGTCCACGACATCACCTGAATTATGGTACATAGGATCCTTAATCGGACCGTTGCGCTCGAAGACCCAGGTCGCAGGGAAGTTGTTCTCCCAGAAGCTCTGGTGGTCGGAGCAGCAAGCAGGCGTATAGCCCTGTTCCAACTCTGGCACGTACAACTCTGCCACCTGACGGACGAGATCCGTTGCGGACTGGGTAACGAATTTGTCCGGAAAGGCGAGTTGGAGGGGTTCCCCTGGATGACGGTACGCGAGCATGTCCATTTGGATCGCCAGTTTCACCTTCTCCTTGAGGGCTGAGGCGTAGTGGGAGGAGCCGACCAGACCCTGTTCTTCACCAGAGAAGAAAATCAGGCGGACAGGAGAGCGAAGTGCGAGGGGGGACGAGCCGAGGGCTCGGGCGATGGCGAGAAGAGCCGAGGTGCCCGAACCGTCATCGTCCCCACCCGGAGCCGTCGTGCTGCCAAATGTACCGCGAGAGTCGTAGTGCGCCGAAACCACCACCCACTCTTCCTCCCCGGAGGCGGGGACAGAACAGACGATGTTGGGCGCGAAAAACGGCGAGTAGGACCAAAACTCGCACGAACCGTTCACGGCGGACAGCGAAGCCTCCATCTGGCTCTTGAGCCATCGACCCGCCAGACGCGCTCCGTAGGTCGCACTGTGTCGACTGTGCCATTCGCCGATCTCGCTCGGCTGGGCGGATTCGCCCGTGAGGATGCGAAGGTCGGATTCGATGCGCGAGGCGTTGAATGCGGACGAGGAGAGGATCGAGGCAACGTGCGAATTGTGTTTGGGCTTGTTGTACTTTGGTTCTGGCTTGTCTGTGAGGGTGGAGAAGGAGGAGAGTGGTTGGAAGACAAGGCGCTGCAGACGGGTGTCGAATGTCGTGTGGTGATCGATGGTCGCAAGTGCGGAAGGGGTGACAGCGACGACAAGGGAAGCACCGTGCGCGCTGAGCAGCTGCATCGAGGGCGATGTTGGGAGGTGGAACGCCACCTGCCCAGCATCCTCTTCGACTGGTGAAGACTGCGTAATGGATAGCGCTTCGAGCGCACGCATCTTCCAAGACCCCTCAAGACCTCGAGTCCCATCCTCGACAGCCTCGGGCTTGAACAGCACCGCCTCCTCCGGGCCCACCGTCGCCGTTGTCAGACTCTGCGCGCATGATGCATGGGAAGAGGCACGGTAGAGGTACGTCAGACCGGAGGCGTCGCGCACCTTGGCCACTTCAGAGGCGCACGAGTGGAGGCTCGAGGTGGAGGAGGATAAGAGCCAGTAGGTCCATTCCTGCGAGGTGGAGGCGGGGGCCGCGAAGACCGCCGTGGTGGACGCCAGAGCCAGTGCTCCCAGCAGCACGGTTGCGGTTCTCTTGAGTTCGATCATGATCCTCCGTGGGTTGCGGTGTTGCTCGCGATGGGTTGGAGGGGAGCGGCTCGGAAGGTGAACCCAAAGTTGGCGTGAGCAGCCCGGCGGTCTAAGAAGCATGGACCGAGCGCGAAAGAATTTGGTGAGTGTTGTAAGATCCTGATATCTGCACAAATGACATGATTTCGGCCGACAAGCGCAACCACCTCTTCCGCCTTGCTGGATCACGCGGCCGTCTTACTGCTGGAAGAGGTCTGTTCGAGGTTGTCTGTACGGTCCCAGCTCAGAGGCGGTCTGCCGCCCCAGCCGCGGCGAGGCGAAAAGACGCATGCTGACGGTGACGCACGCCGCCACCATTGTCACTTATTGCCGTGCGAAGAGCCGTGCGTCATCAGCGTGGCGCGAGATCATGCAAACTCTTCAAAGCTTGGGGCCTTCCCCACAGAACGGCCCCAAGTTAGCGTCGTGCAGGTCATGCTCACATGCCGAACTTGCATTACGGTGTCGAGCCATACGAGGGGGCTTGCGAGTGTAGAGAGGATCGAAATCGAGACCCAAGCGAGGCGACAAGAAGAAAAGTCGAAAAGCGGTAAAGCCTTGCTAGCCATCAAATCCGAGATCTGATTGGGTCTGCTGTCTTGGATTGAGACTCCGCGTCTGACCTTCTTAATCGCGTGCAACTGTAATTCGTGGTCGTCGTTTCCCCGCTTATCTGTAACGGTCGAGGTCGGACAAAGGGGCCGATGATGCCATGTGCAAGAGTGGCTGTTCCAGCAGATGTGGCGTATGCTGTGCAGCGTGCGAGGCGGGCGCAGAAGGAGGTGGCTGAACGCGGCGAAAGGGCCGAAGCAGAAGCGGCAGCGTGCGAGCCAATTAGAAAGAGGCGAAAGTAGCTCTATCCCCGCACGCCTTGATCGCTGAACGCCCTCTACTCGCCAAGATCTAAGCAGGTCTGTGCGAATGATAAGACTGCGCATCTGATCTGCTTCCGATCGCTGAGTTGTGCGACGCACGCTGCTCCGACGGTTGCGGCTGCTCTTGCATCCCGCGATGCCGTTGAGGAAGCAAGAAGAAAGTTGCCCAACCACCGGAATTCGGAATTCGCCCGGCAAAGCGAGGCCGAAAAGATCCCAGCAGAGACGGCTCAACTGGCGGAATCGCCTCGCTTGACGGACAAGCGAGGTTGGTTGCTGAGGTCTCGTTCCCAGCGCAATTTCGCGTCGAGCAGGGATGGAAGAACAGCGCTCGGGTAACGTGCAAATGCCGTCACGCGAAGAAGTGGACCCAGCCGAGAAGGAAGAGGACGGGGATCTCCGAGTCTAGTGCGGATTGTAGATGATATTGCTGTAGGCAGCAATCTGGCAGTATGGGCGACGCGGTGTAATGTAACATGGCGGTTGAAGCTCCGCCATTGTCTGCCATGAAAGCAGGATGAAAGAAGCTTGATGAGACCACATCAACTGTCGAGCACACCTTCGAGATCCCAGGATTGCGTTTCTCGTTGAGCACCTGAAACCAACAGGATGACCTTGAATGAGATGCTCCTCGAGATGAGCTCGAGCCAGCAAGCGAAAGGCCAATTCTTCTCACGTCGCCGCGCTCGCCGAGGTTGGAGCGGCCTTTCTTCTCGCCTCGAAAGCTGGGAGAAAGGCTTTACTGCGACCATTCGCTTGCGGGGTATCGCGTGTGCAGCTGGAAAGTATTGGGCTGGCGCGCCAAGACCCTGCTCGGGCTTGCTGCCCGCCCCCACGCGAGAATATACCGCAACTCGCCTTTTGGCAGCAGTGCAGGGATTGAAGAAGGACCCTGTTGGTTGGAAGTAGACCCTGTACCCAAGACGTGCATGCTGATCCGTCGGTAGCGGACTTAGCAGGCCGAAGCGTTGGTCTGCCCTTGGCTCAGTCCTTGCGCGAACGAAGTCGGGGAGAAAGGACTGAGCGTCGATGGCGTAAGACAATGAGAGACGATTGTGATTGGCGCCCCAAGGCGTCACGCTCTCTGTTTGGGGTGAATTGTAGAGCAAAGGCGGAGGCCCTCTTCGAGAGACGACCTTTGTCACCCACCTCCGGGTGTTCGCTGCCGGTCAAGCCCGCGGTCCGTGTGCAAGACACACGACTAGCGGAGAATGCTGTTGATCTGGCTCGGCTCTCAAGACTGTGCTCGTCGCGTAGTGAGGAAAGAGGTGCGAGGAGTCGTGGCACTTTACAAGCTTGGCGGCAACGGATCGCGTGCAGGCATGAAAGACGGAGAAGGCCCTTTTGAACCATGAAATCTCGCGCCAGGCGTGCAGTGGCATGCAAGCATGACCTCGCAGGGTCAGACTTTGCGCTATCTGAGCTTGCGGCGGCGGGGGCTCACAATACTGTAGGACAATGGTTGCGAGGAGTAAAGAGGGGCGCAATCAGGCTGCAGTCCATTTGAATCAACATCCTCCTGCACCAATCCTGGCCCTTTGATTACAACGCCACTGATCTGCTGTCTGCGCTGTACTGTATTGTCAATTCATTCTCGAGACTTGGAAGCATTGCCTGTCCCACGCTGTCGGCGTCGCCGACAATGTATGACAGGCGCAGCAGTCATGAGGTTCGACGTAAGAGAGAGCCTTTGAAAAAAAACTTATCGCAATATTTTTTAACGGCTCTCGTGACCAGCCAGCTGCAGCCAAGTGGATTAGCGCTGCTGCTTATCGCTTGCCTCGTGGCAGCTTAGACCGCTTTTCGAGTTGAGCCTTGAGGGTGTCCACCTGCTTTCTACACGTCTGTTCATGCCCCTCGAGCCATCATATTCAGTCAGATGAAAGGGGCAAGAGAAGATGTACAGATGCTCAAGACTGGCACCGAGTCGAATCCTCTCCTCTTGCCTACGGCTGGAGCTGTCAATTACCAAGACAGAAGCCGTGTTTGACCGGTCCCGTGTTTGTGTTCTTTGAGCAAATTGATTTTCTTCCAGCTGTCGAAATCGCTCCAGGCTGGCTACCTTGGCTCGCAAACAGCCGTCGTTTCGCTTTGATTCCGCGTCATGGGATCCTTGCTCGGGATCATGACGCCGACAAGCTGACTGCCTTACCCTTCGATACCGGCTCATCGATTTGTTCGACGAAAGGGGGAGGCGGTGGGTTAGTGTCGGCTTTGTTCCGCCCTTGCTGCACAGCTTGCGTGATTCAACTCGATGTTATCAATTGTTTCTAAAAACAAAAATTTCTCCTCTCGAATCTCGAACCCTTGATCCCGTGATTGCTGCTTCTTGTGGTCAAACCCTCGCTCGCTCGCTTCTAGAGCTGTCTCGCGCTTCCCCTGGAGCGTTCCTGCACCAGACGAGTGTCTCTCGCTTCTCTGTCCATGATTGGTTCCCGAGAAGAGAGGAAAAAGATACTGAAGACCCTGCGACCACGCTCCCCTGAATGCTGGAATTCAACTCAATTTCCCCATCCTCGTCTTCTCCTTTGTCTCTGTCAAAGTGCCGCATCACCCCGTCCGTCCCTGCTGTTCTGCACCCTCTCGCTGATAACGGTTCGAGGCCACTCTGTGTGCATCACTCAATAGCCTCGCTTCTGGTCCGTCGGGAGGGCACTTGGCGATATCAATTGTTTGCTCTCCTCTCGCAGCACAGCACAGCACAGCACCACTCTCTTGCACCATGGCTTAGTCTCTCTCTATCTTTTAGCCTTTCTCTTGGCCTTTCCTGCGCTCGTCCGCCCTTTCTTGTGCGCTTTTGCAGTGCGTGATGAGGTCGGCTGGCTATCTCTGTATCTCTCTGTCTCCCTTCAGTATTGTGTGACGGCCAATCTCGCCTTCCGGTCCCAGAGCTACCGAGAGCCGCCTGCTGCCTCGCTTTCCCCCCCTCTGTCTCCCCAGTCAGCCACACACACTGAATGGCTCTCTTGGTGATCCTCTGCTTGCCTTTCGCAATCCCTTTCGCGCTCATCGTGTCTTGCTATCCATTCCTTCCTATCTCCCGTCGTCCCTCACCTTCGCTATAGCTTACACCTCATCACCTATCTCCATCATCGTATTATCATACTAGACGGCGTCGGTCTCTTCCTCGACTGCCACCCAAAAAGCGCTATCTTGCAGCGCTACCTTCTTTCTGATTTATCGCCTTCTACATCGTGCTCTTCCAGTCCTCGACTCTAGAATCAGCTCGCACCCCTTTCTCACCCAACATCGCGCAGTTTCACGTCTTCTCGTAGATCACTTTACATCGAGGACAGTCAGATTCATGGCGCATACAACCTTGCTATACAAGCTATAGAGCACCGACCTAGACTCCCTTACAGTAGACAATTAGCATCGCCACGCCATTCAGCCTCTACCATTTAGCATATCAACAACCTTCTGCACTTCGCCATCATGGGTTTCATCAAAGTGGAGAACCAGCCTAGCTTCGGCTCCGGCCCCGTCCACATCAACCACAACGAGCCTCAGCCCGGCCAGTTTGCCTTCCTGCCTTACAGCAACGCCGATTTCGACAATGTTCACCCCAGCGAGCTCCACAAGCCAGGCACCAGCGACGGTCGCGCCAAAGTTGCTCGCGCCTGTACAGAGTGCAAGTCGCGTAAGATGCGCTGCGACGGTGGTCTTCCCTTCTGCGGTCGTTGCACCACCCACAGCCGCACCAAATCGTGCGCCTATGTTGACCCTCCCAAGCGTTCGCCCATCACCCGTCAGTACGTCAGCACGTTGGAGACGCAGCTAGAAGAAGCCAAGAAGAAGATCGCCCAACTCCAGTCCGACTCGACCACCACCAACACTAAGCCCGTTTCCGACAAGCCAGCAGCCGCTCCCAATGCCGCGCTCCTTCGTCGACACACTCAACCCTACATGCAGAACCGCTCCTTGACCGGCGAAGACACCACTCACGCCTGCGCCCTTGACACCGGCAGGCCCATCCTCTCATCAAAGAAGCGATCTCGCTCCTATGCAGACGGGCTTGACGATGACATTCGCGAAGACGATGCTGAGTTCGGCCACGTCGATAAGCAGGATGCCACTGCCTCGGCCTCGAAGGAGGACGACAGTCTGGGTGGAGGCAACTTTGTCAGCCTCACCAGCTGCAATGCTGCGCTTCAGATTGCTTCCCAGTTGAGCGCCGGAAGCCAAGCAGGCGCAAATGCTGGCATCTCTGCCAGTCAAGCGCTCGCTGGTCATGACTCCACCTCTAGCTCGGCCAAGGCCGGCGCCATCGACATCTCTTGTGAGGGTCTTGCTCGAGCTTCGTCCTCGACCTCTGCCTCACTGCCCACCGCTGCTTCGTTGCCTAACAACCTCGACTTTAGCACGTGGGACTATGAGAGCCAGCGCTTCGCCGCCGAACTTCTCGAGTCCTTCTTCGAGTTCCATCTGCCATCCCACCCCATTCTCCACCCTGCTACCTTCCGTGCCCAGCTCCAAGGCACCGTCTGCCCTCCCAGCTCCCCCGCTTGGCCCATGCTCGTCAACATGGTCTTCGCTCTCGGCGCGCTCGAACGCAGGATATCTGCGCAAGAGGCTGACCACGACACCCTCTTCTACGAGCGAGCCAAGCAGCTCTACAGCGCCGTCCTGTTCGACAAGGCCGAGATCATCTCGGTCCAGGCTTTGACATTGATGGCTAGCTACTGTCAGAAGAAGAACCTCTTTGCAGCGGCTTGGATGGTGCTTGGCAGCGCTCTTCGCATGGCCATCTCCATGGGTCTCCACTCCGAGTCGGCATTGCAGGCTCGCGACATGCCCGCCTTTGATCGCGAGTTTGGTCGACGCATCTGGTACACGCTCTTCGCTATGGAGGCGGACACATGTGTCAGCATGGCCCGTCCCAATGGCCTCCTCGCCATCAACGCCGACGTCGCGCCGCCTCAGAACATTGACGAGACCGCCATGTCGCCCACCTCCGACCAACTGCCTGCCGAGGTGGCCGAAGCCACCGTCAGCTCGACGCTCGCCATCCACGCCAAGTTCGCTTCCGAGATCAGCATGCCACTCCAGGCCAGACTGATGCGAGGCTCCAACCCTTCCATCGAGGAGGTGCGCGCCTTTGATCTCAAGACCGAAGAGTTCATCGACAACCTGCCCGAATACATGGACGATGGCTACGCTGGACCGCGGCCGGCGTCGTTCTCGGTGGCTTCGGCTCGCCTGCGATGGAGGTGCAACAACTTCCGCATGGTCATGTTCCGCCCCTTCCTGCTCTCCAACGCCGTCGCCGCCGCCGCTGCTCGCTCGCGTGGCGCACCGCGACCCGCGCTTCGTCCCGCCGTAAAGCAGGCGATCGCGTTGTGCCGCACCACGGCCAGCAACAACATTGTCTCGATCTCCAACTTCTGGGATTCGCACCCGCACAACCAGGCCATGGCTTGGCACGCCATCTACTTCCTCACCCAGAGCGCGCTGGTACCTCTTGTCTCTCTTCTGGACGAGCCCAGCAACCCCGAGGCACGCGAATGGGTGAGCCTGCTGCAGACTTGTGTGCGCTTGCTCGTCGACATGGGTCGAATCACCCCCATCGGCGCCAAGTGCAAGGACGCCATTGAGAACCTCGCTGGTAGCCTGCTGCGCGATGCTGTCGACGACGACAGCGAGTCCATGATCCTGTCCAAGTGGATGTCCGAGGCCGGTGCTTCCGGCAATGGGTCGACCGCCGCTGTGGACCCGCTCATGTGGTCTTCGCACCTCATGAGCGCTGGCAGTGCTGGCTCGTCTGATGTCAATTTTGGTGGCGCCGTGGCTCACCCCACCGGACCATCGCTGACCTTGTCGCTCGACAGTGCCTCCTCGGATGGCATGTCGGCCGCCTTTGACTTTGCACGAAGCATGGATGCCTCGCCGGGCGACCACCGTTCATCGATTGCCGACTCGATCGACGCTTGGGCGGCAACAGCGACGCAGCGACCTTCGACCGCCTCGCAATGGTCCGAAAACGGCCCGTCGAGCTTGCCTGAGCGTGACTTCCTCCATCGCGAAAGGATCGACCAGTGGTTCGGCCTCCAGGCCTCACACCCTGGATCTGGCCGTCACGATCCCACCTCGGCATCGATGATGAGCACGTCGGAGCCCGGTTCGAGCCACAGTGGTGCGCACATGCCCGTGTCGGCTGGTCACCCAGTCTCGACGCCACTGCAACAGCCCGCGCACGGCGGAATGGACTGGCAGACGGCGGCGGACCCCACCAACTGGTGGAACGTGCAATACCGTCATCCCAATCCTGCGCCATCCAATAACGGATTCATGTTCAACAACAACGCCGAGATGCAGAACGCTCACCTCGCGTCATCCGGCCACGTCCATGCTCAACACATGCAACCGCATGGGCACCCCTCGCACCCGCAGCACTTTTTCTAAGTGTTGACACCACCATCACCACCTCTCTTTCCCTTTCGGATAGCACCTTATACCCAAAAAGCCTTTGACAGCCGTCTCGACGCACTCTGTCACGGGCATTGCTCGTAGCTCATTCTGTCTCGTCTCCTTGCCTTTCTTTCCCTTGTCCGTCCTCTTCGTTGTCAGCATTTTGGATCTTGCCTTTGGATCGCCCTTGTATTTTAGCCCGTGTCTCTCTCTCTTAAGCTTTCATTACGCAGTAGATGCCCTGTGCTCATTCCGTCGAGACCAAAGTTGTGCGCAAGAGCTCGGCAAGCAGGCTGATATGACCAAGGTGGACTTGTCGACGTTGCAGCAGCAGATGCATAGGGCCAGTCAGGTGGCCAACAGGGGGTACACCCTCCTCGTCCGGCTGGGTCGTCGTCGTCGCGTGAGGGCTGCGTGCGGGCGGTCACTGCAGGCGCAGCGTATCCGGACAAGCTTTGAGTTTGGAAGGAATCACTCCTGACTTTCAAGAGTATCACGCGCTTTGCTGTACGTAGACTGTAGAAACTTCAACGCCTCAGCAGCCCTCTCGCAACACTTGTCTCCATCTCGTTCGCGTTGCACTTGCAGCAAGGACAGTGAAATGGATTTCCGACGTCCGGCAGACCTTTTAATCAGGGCGAGCTGGCGTTGCGCGTGTGACAGCTGCAGGGCACCTGGCCGCCAAGACAAATTGCAGATTTCGCCGTCCTCCTCACCCCCCTTAGCCGACTCACTCTTACACGCACTGGTCCTTTCATCTCCTTGCTTGCTTGTCTGCATTGTCCAGCTCGACCGCCGTCCGATGCTTCAACCTTCTGTCGCTCCTTTCTGCTTCTCACCCACCATTCCACATCGCCTTGATGGCATTGCCAGAGGAGCATCTTGCAAACGCACAAGAGCAGGTCTCGCCTACACTCCTTCCCGCCTCGCACCTCTCCGCTGACCCTCAACACCAACTCCACGCTCCTTCCTCTGCGTCGCCGATTGCACGTACGACCCGACCTCACTCCCTAGACTACACGCCATCACAGGACACAGCTCCCATCCCACAATCATCGTCGCACCCGGTCAGACACGTCGCAGCTGTCTCGGAGTCGTCTTCAACCGTGGCTGCTCCCGGTCCAAAGAGCAATCCCTCTCGCCAGGCGCCATCTTCTACCTCGCTCGAGCAGCCTCTCGACCCGAAGAGCTCGACTTCAGGGTCCGCGTCTCCCCCTCCCGCCTCCCAGCATACACCCTCCAGCCCCGCGGTAGGCGATCTGGATCCCCAGGCACCTGGCTCCACGCTCCGACTGCGAAAGACTGCAGCGACACACACTGGACCGGACGCTCTCGAGGACGGAGCAAATCCAGCTTCTGCCGACGAGAAGCATCATCAGCACAACATGTTCGGCAGCACACCTACCGCATCGTACCTGCCTCTCAACTCGCGGAGGCAGATCGGTCCCCAAACTTCATCCCATCTCGTCTCATGGCTCGCCAAACACAAGGGCTTCGTCGTATTCGTGCTCGTTTCCATCATCGTCACCGTACAGGTCCTGCTTGTCGGTCCAGTTATTCTTGACCTCGAACCCGTCAAGAAGTTCAGAACAGAAGGCTTGCCAAACATCACACCGTCAAAGTGGTGGGGATCGAGCTCCGAATCGCCTGACTCGTGGTTCCCTTCCTCGAGCGGGGCCACCAACGAGGACGCTGCGCCAGTTCCTACCAAGCCGCTGGGTGGCGATTCTTTCCCTGCGCCATTGAGCCAAGTCGGCTTGACCGGCAAGCCCGAGTCCCAAGCCTCGCTCTACAAGGACACCAATCCGCATCGAGGAGAGCTTCCCACCTACCTCGAAAGCGTCCTCTCCCGCGATCCTGTTCACCAACCACCTCCATGGCCGCACAAAGCGCCTTCCATCTCACCCGAAATCTGGAGCACGCGCCTGTGGAAGGAGCAGTCCAAGACCGAGGCGAGCCAAGCTGACCAGCCAGAGAAGCAGCCTCTGGAGCCAGAGTGGCGGCATTCGCCCTACAACGGCTGGAAGCCCCCGCTCGACGAACTCTCAGCTCAGCCAGCTGAGCCCATCGCCAAAGTGCAACATGCCTTCCAGGATCCCAGCCGGCATTCGGGAAGCCGTAACGATGCAGCGCGAGACGAGCTCATTGCGCGTCGCCAAAAAATGGTCCGCAATGCCTTCATCCATGCCTGGGAGGGATACAAGAAGCATGCTTGGGGACACGACGAACTTCGACCCGTCTCCAAAACCGCCGAGGATCCCTTCAACGGTTGGGGCGCTAGCATTGTCGATGCTCTCGACACTTTGCTCGTCATGAATCTGCCGAAAGAGTACGATCTGGCAAGACAGCATGTGCGCGACATCGATTTCCGTCTGGTGGGAGGATCTCGTAGCGCCTATGGGAATGCGGATGGGCGCATCCCGGTCTTCGAAACCGCCATTCGCTATCTCGGCGGCTTCCTGTCAGCGTACGACCTGAGCGGCGACGTGCTCATGCGCGACCGTGCCGAAGAGCTGGCTCAACTCATCCTTCCCGCCTTTGATACGCAGACGGGCGTGCCCAACGGCAGGATACGAATGATGGAGACGCCCGAACTCCCCAACACACGTCCACAATCCCAAGGCGGCGTCTTGCTCGCCGAAGCGGGCAGCTTGCTCCTCGAGTTCACCCGCTTGTGGCAGGTCACCGGCAACCGCACTTACTTTGACCGCGTACAGCGTACCACCGATTGGCTCGATCACAACATGACTCAAGCAGGTCGCATCGAGACGCTGTTCCCCACCACCCTTTATCCGGAGCGCAACATAGCCTACGGCGCCATCACATTCGGCGGCATGGCCGACTCGTACTACGAGTATCTCATCAAGGAGCACCAATTGCTCGGTGGCCGCTTGAAGCAGTACGGGCGCATGTACTCGCAAGCCATAGAAGGAGCCAAGAAGCTGCTCATCTCGCGAATCGATACGGTGCCAGGCGTAAGTCTAACGACGATCGGCGAGATCTCCGGCTCCAGGTACGTCGCCAAGCTCGAGCACCTTGCTTGCTTCAGCGGAGGCATGTTGGGACTGGGTTCGCGCGTCATGACGGAACGCGCCGACGATCTCGACATCGCAAAAGGGGTCACGGGCACCTGCTGGTGGGCGTACAACAGCTCGGCCACCGGCATTGGGCCCGAGAATCTCATCTTCTACACCAACGACGACGAGGAGCGCTTCGAGCTGATCAACCAGCCTGATGGGACAACGCGACGGGGCAAGCCGCGTGGTCATCCCATTGTCGGCGTGCGCAGTGCCATGACGAGCTATTTGAACCGACCCGAGACTATCGAGTCGGTGCTGTACATGTGGCGAATCACAGGCGATCCGGTATGGCAGGAGCGTGGATGGCAGATGTTTGCCTCTTGGGTGACCCACTGCATGACCGATGTCGGCTTCAGCGCCATCTACGACGTCACCCGCACGCCGGCATCTTGGTCGGACAGCATGGAGAGCTTCACCTTTGCTGAGACGTTCAAATACTACTATTTGCTCTTCTCGCCGCCGGAGCTCCTCTCGCTCGACGAGTACGTGTTTACCACCGAGGCGCATCCACTGCTGGTGCCCAAGGAAGGCAAGTGGGCACAAGCCGGACACGGAAGCAAGAAGTTCTGGGACCCAGAGGCGGGTGCAGACACGCACATTCCATCGCACGAGTCGGGCATCTATCCTGGCGGTGAGATGGGTCAAGTAGGCGGTCTGACCAACAACCAGAAGCAGATGCTCTGGGCGCAGTGGCAGAGCAAGAACTCGGCTCACAAGATCCGCGACCTGATCCAAGGGTTGGGCGGAGACACGCTCAAAAACAAGCTTCGTAGCTTGGTGGAGCGCGGAGACTCGCCATCGGCGTCCGATGTCAATGCGAGCGAAGGAGAGACCCAAAAGACGCCTGCACAGGCACAGCTCGACACTCGTCAAGATCGGTTGATGGCGTCGGTCGCCGGCACTTCGATCTATGCAACTACAGATGGCACGCTGGAGGTGGAGTTTGCACAGGACTTGGACGCAGCTACGCAGCAAGAAGTCCTCCAACAGCTGGAAGCCAATTTTGAGACGCTGAATGCTGATTCTGCGGCATCGCTGCTGCGATCTGTCGACGCGATTCGGGCCGCGGAAGAGGAAGCGGAGAACTTGCTAGCGGAGCAAGCGGCGCATTTCGCCCGGTTGAGGTCGAAGGGAATTCGTTGAATAGATTCTCACCAACTTTGTAAACGCATCGCATTACAAGAGGATGCGTCAAGGTCGTTGTCAGCCGTCTGTGATGGTGACCAGAGTGTATGAGGGTGATGTGTGGGAGTCCGAGCTGGCTGGCCAACCGGCTCGTTTGGCATGCACGGTCCACGGCGCTGAGAATTTGAGCGTGTCTTGGAGTTCCGCCAAGTACCTGCAGACCCTGAACCTTCTTCCTTGAATCCATCACGCTGGGTCACCCTCCTCACCCGCATCGACCATCACTCGCAACCCTATCCCGAGCATCGTGCGCATCTGCGTGACTCAGACAAGCGTCCTTCCACCAACGACTCGACCCTGCGCTTCCGCCGTCATGTCACGGTAGAACAGGCATCAGCTTCCTCTCCCCACCACGTCCGTCACGGAAGGACCTGCACCCGTCAAGACCTCGTTCGCTGCCAGCCTCATGAGCGACCTACGCATTCACGCGGCACTCTCGCCGCGGGTCGCTGTTCTTTCCAGTCCCGACGTCGACCGCGTTGTGCAGGTCAACGGCATCCCAGATCTTCCCACGTTGCTACGGCCTTTCGAGTCTTCCGTCGAGCGCCTTTCGGTACGCACCTCGCAGCTGGAGACTCGCATCTGCGATCGCTTCCCGCTTCGCTTCGATCCCTACTCGCTCTTCAATCCCGATGTAGCTCGTACTATCGGCTCATCAAGCTCGCAAGCCGCACCGAGACCATCAGCGGCTGGTCAATCGCACGAAGAGCTGCTGGATCGTGTCAACCATCTGATCGCGAGCAACATCAAAAAGTGGGATGCCCAAGTACCAAGGCTCGGGTCGAACGCAGGACAGGTAGCGGAAGCGCCTCAACAGCAGGACGAAGACGGAGATGACAAGCCGAAGCGTGGTCAAGCCTTGGACGAGACTTTGGTCAAGCTTCAACAAGGTTCGCTCGAAGAGACCGCACCATGGTTTGCCGCCGTCCAGGAACTTGTCTTCGCTCAAAGAACGATAGCAAAGCACGAGACTTTCGGTCATCCAATAGCCGTCCTTCTCGCTGTCTCGTCTGCTTCTCCCGATCCGATGAACGATTTCGCCAAGCTGTACGAGGCTGCCACCCAATCTTCGCCCTTTCCAGCTCATCCGTACATCAATGCAGACACGCTCAAATATTACGTGCTCATTCACGATGTTCGCACCTCAGGATCGGATCTCGCCGCCTCAAAGGAGATCTTGGAGCAAATCAAAAAGACGTACGGCCTTCATTGCTGTCTTCTGCCCATCAACAGCGCCTCGGACGATCGAACTGCACCGCTCGCTGAGCTGGCTGCGCTATGGTCGCCCTATATACCCTCGATGCCAATGTCACCTGGACCCAGGAGCCTAAACTCTGACTCGATACCCTCTGATCTGGCCATGATGCTGGACGAGGAGGATGTCAAGCGCATCAAGGGCTTCATTCGCGAGCTCACAGCTCAGTCGATCGTCCCTTTCATGGAGAGATACGTTCAACACACAGGCGAGCACCTTGCCAACTCTCGCAAAGGTCTCACCAACAGGCTATTTGGCGCCTCTCGAAAGCTTTTCGGCGGCGTTGCAAGTATCAGTGGGTCCAGCGCCGACAAGAGTGGATCATCAGCCGCCGGAGGCCTTTCAACAGCAGGCGGCTACGATCAGCAGCACGAATTCTATCCGCACACATCCATCGAGGCTCAGACACGCCGACTTGCCGACTTTGCCTTCACAATACGAGACTACAAGCTGGCGGCTTCCATGTACGATCTCGGACGCAAAGATTTTGCCAACGACAAGGCGAATCGGCATGCCGCAGGGGCGACAGAGATGTTCGGATTGTCGCACTTGATGATCATGTTCACCTCACGGTCTGCACCCATCGATGTCGACAGCTACTTGGCGCAGGCTTGTTACGAATACGGTCTGCGATCGACCGCTCGCGCTAACGAGCCGCTCACCGAAGAAAACCACGCCTTGCGGGCTACGCTGCTCTACTACGAGGCATACCGCATGCTGGGATACTTGCGACCCGCACCGGCCGGCCTGCTGCGCATGTCGCAAAGATCGGACGAGGTGCTGGCTCCTCTTCTGCTGGAACAAGCTGCGCTGGCTTGTCTCCAGCTAAGACCTGAACCATCGCTGCGCAAATTTGGGCTGTTCAACATCACCGCTGCTCACAAGTATCAAGCGTGCGGGCAAAAGGTGCTCTCGCTGAGGTGTTACGCCCAGGCTGCGGTCATCTACCGCCAAAAGGGCTGGTCTTTGATTGAGAACCATCTCGAACACGAGCTTGGCATGCAAGCCTACAACGACGGCGACTCGGATGTTGCAGTAGCGCATCTCATCAAGCTGATACGACCAAGTGTCAATTCGAGCGCCGAACACGAACGCTTCCTCCAAGACGTCCAGACGGCGTACAAGTACTCCGGTCAAGCAGAGCAGGGTGCTGGGATTGCGGGATCGAAGACTCTTGCTCTTCCCTTTCCCATCTTTGACACTGCAAGCGCTGCCTTGCGCTTTGTGCCAGAATCAAGCGCTTCCGCAACTTCAGCCATCGATGATGCCGTTTGGGACAAGCTGGAACGCGACCTAGTGGATCATGGTCTCGGCGAACGCACGCTTCCGGACGGCTCAAAGCAACGACGCAAGAGACCTACGAGCCAGACGTCTACGCAGGCCAGGCAGGTGCCCATCGATCAGGTGTTTTGGCTCGATGTTGCTGTGCGGAATCCGTTAGCCATTGATCTCGCCATGGACGATATCCGTCCGGGCCTGCAGATCGACGGCCCTAGGTCTAACGACGCAGCTGGCGTCTCACTCAGCGACGATCAAGTTGAAGTTAACGACGCTGGCAAGATCGTGCTCGGTCCGTTCGAGCATCGTCGAGTCAGGGTAGCGCTTCGCGTCAGAGAGGAGTTCAAGAGTCTGCGTATCGCCAGTGTGGCTTTCAGATTGGCTGAAACGATCCATCTGGTTCAGCACCTGGACAAGAAAGGGCCGCGCCTGAACAGCACGAAGGAGCACAAGACCTCGACCGTCTACGGCCCTGACCTCAGCTTGGCTGTCTCTGTTCATGGTCCTCGACCAACGCTCACCGCACAGATCCTCGATGTCCCGCAGCAAATGTACGTGGGCGAGCAGGTGCGGCTCAAGGTGCTGCTCAAGAACGAGGGCAGCACACGGATTGAGGATCTGCGTGCGTTGTGCGATCAGCCAGAGTCGGCGACATTTCAGGCGGAAGGATCGTCCTCCGTCACGGACAGCGAGGCTTACACGACGTCGAACCACCTTGGCACGACCTCTCCTCAACTTGTGACAAGTGCCCCGCTCGAAGCAGGGCAAGAGCTGGAGATCGGAGTGATCGTGCGGCCATCTCAGTTGGGGAGCGTGAAGCTGGCTTGGCTGCTTCCCTTCTCGTCCGAGGACGGCGAGACGTACCTGTCTCGACTGGCTTTCGCCACGGAAGTTTCGCCTGCCGTACAGCTCAGTGTCATTACGAGGCCTCATCGCGGTACGGCGTGCTTGCATGAAGCCGTGATCGAAGCGAGGAACTTGTTGACGCACGACGAAGTGGGAATCGATTCAATCTCGATGCTCGGGCCGCACTGGAAGCTCGCCGGCAGTCTAACGGAGAGAGCACCAGCTATCGTGATTGCGCCCCTGCAGATCTGGCGGGGTCGGCTGCAGATCGAGGCGGTACAAAGTCAAGGCGAGGACGACAATAGAGAGCAATTCACGGCGACGAAACTGCAGGATCTGCTGCTGAGCAGAGACACTCGTCGACCTCTGCCATCCGGTGTCAAGGTGCGCGTGTCGCAGCAGTCGTATGGCTCCCGCACCGACAGCAAGGGTACTCCCACATGGTCACCCTCGCTCCACGCAGAAGCACGCAAAGTGTGGCGCATTCGATCGCTGGCGTCCACCTTCCCTACCATGACGGCACGCGACCGGCTGGGCGCGTTCACCTCGTGGGAACCTCGAGACCTGGATGTGGTGCTACACTTCAGTGTCAACGCGGCAGTTTCCTCATCGAGACGCGTCGGTCAAGCGCAAGTATTCGGCCTTCAACCTGGCCCACTTCGTAGTCAAATCCGCGCCATCACGCATCCACGCCTCGACGACACGCCAAGCAAAGGTGGACAGGTGCGAAGCCTGTACGCCGAGACGATCAAGGAGAAAGCGAGTTTGCTGCAAAACATCCTTTCGAGCCGCATCAACGCGGAGCAGTGTCCTGCGGTGGTGCACGTCGACAGCGTGCCGTCATCTGATGGAGAGAGCACGAGGAGGTACACTTTCGTGGTGCGCAACTTTTCAGATCGCTACGAGGTCAGTGTCGAGATTCAGCTGCTGGATGAGGCGGCTGGCGACGGCTGGGTGGGAAGGAAGACGTTGCGGTGCACGCTGCGTCCAGGGGCCGTGGCAGAGCTGGGAGCAAAGCGGAAAGGAGAGGCCAAGGGAGGTGCGCCACGCTTCGTCGTCGTCACCGAAGCGTTCCTCACGGATGGTGAGCAGACGAAGGAGTTGATTGCGCGCTACGCAGAGCAGTACTGATGGACGCTGCTCACCAATACACACGCTGCAATTACATATCCCAATAAGGGACGTATTGTCGCGATCATCCTGACTGTGTCCCGTGGGAGCTCCCTCTGTTCCCCAGCATGACGATGCTCGCCATGGACAATCGAGCCAAGACAACACAATAGGCACAAGCGGGGTCAGAACAAAAGGACGACCAACTTTCGAGCTCCGGAAAACTCTGGGGTCGGCTGCAACTCGAGCACCAACAAAATTCGCGATGAGAGCAAGAACCCTTGACGGCCCGCTGCACGAAACGCGAGCACGCGGGCAGGAAATCAATTCGGTCTGAGTTCGGTTACGGTGTGCGGGCCAGGTACCCAGCAAGAGGGACGTTTCGAATCTGATGTTGGTCGTATCTTTGCCATGCTGGGTCGTCGAGCTCTGCACTGGGCTTGAGAGAGACGATGGAGCAGCGTGGGTGTGAGATGAGCCTGACGGTTGGACGCTTCTGGTTGGCTGCCCCGATTGCCTGATTGCCGCACCTTCGACTTGCAGATGCGTGCATCAGACCACCTCGCTCTGCTCTTGGTGCTCTCTGTCATGTACGTCTCGCGGTCGAGCGCACTTGTGCAGCGCGGGCGAACCACGGAAAATCGCTTCCGTCTCTCCTCTCGTCTTGACCATTTGTTTGCTCGCCCGCTGCCACGCCGATCAGTGGGGTTCAATCTTCTCTGAAAAGTCGTCTCTGGAGCTTGATCGCATGCCGTGAATAAACCAATCCACCGCTCATTGTTCAATGCTCGTCTGACCTGCTCGCAGTAGAATCGTACAGACAACCGCGGACCGGTGTCTATGAGTTGGCTGCGGTTGTGGAAGAAAAATTGTCTCACAATCAATTTTTTTGTTGACTCGAACCTTTTGGCTGGCGAGAGGCCCAGGGTCCCGCGGCAATTTGCTGCTCCTTTTCCGCCTCTCCGCCTCTCGCCTAAGTGCCTCTCTCTCTCTCGAGACTGGGAAGCGAGGGGCCTCACGGCTACACACACGCTGCGCCCTCTCTGCTTGGCCTGCTGCTGCTGCAGGTGAGAAAAACTCGGCTTGAACCCTTTCTTTTGGCGGACGATTCTTCCTTGCAGCTTGGACCAAGGCCAAGGCCCAGGCGACTCAGCTGTCCTGACCGTCAAATTTACCTCCAAACGAGTTCGGCCCTGCATGGACGGTCACTTGATCGAGCCTCGACTTTGCTCTTTCTTGGTGTGGTATTCCGCAGTGTAAGGCTCCTCACGATCACCATCACTCTCAGACACCCCGCCCTGATCGACACCAACGCGGCCCTCGAAGCCTCTGTAGATACACCCTCGTCGACCTTGCTTGGTGATCCGCAGCGTGTTCGGTCACGCTTGCGACAGCAGACTTGACCTGCGCTTACTTCTTCGACTTCGGCCTTTTGCCTACATCGACGCTACCAGAGCTAGAGGCAGTCACACAGACCGGCACTTCCAACAAAGACGCCGTGTGCTCTCACGGTCTCTCCTTACTGCTCGACTCCCGGTCAACGAGCTTAACCCTATCCCACCAGCAATTACCACGCCGACGGCTCATCCGCTTCATTTCGGCAGGGCATTCACCGCTTCATTCGGGTCGCTTGTTCTCACGCTTTCCACACACGCTCTACCTCGATCAGCTTGATTTCGCATCTGCCGACTCCGGCGAGAGCTAGTTGTCACTGCGACGGCTCGTCTGCACCCATCGTCACTCGTATCACTCACCAGGGCGCATCCAACCCGGCACTGCCGATCAAGGACACTTCGTCTCTCTGTCATCACAGAGGGCAGATCGGTTCGCTGCTGCTCTGCCAGGCAGTCAGTGACCGCTCTTCAGCCATCATCGCTGGCTCCCGCCAACATTCTCTCAGGGAAGCACAGCAGGGACTGCTCAGTAAAATCGACGGCAGAGAGCTGCCTCGGCATCTCCTCGCATTCATCTAGCGCCCCTCACACCAGTCTGACCTTCGGACCCCGCTGATCATTCCCTTCAGCAACAGCAGCAAGCAGAATCGTCTCTGATCACCCGTTATAGCCAACCCAGTCTGTTTGACGGTGTTCACGCCCTAGTCGCAACTCGGCAACAACAATGGCTCCCCTACTGCTCAAAGTCAAAGGCAACAAGTCCTTCAGCCCCTTCTCCAACCTGCACGATGAAGAGTCTTTGACACGCACATGGCGCGTATGCACCAAGGTCGCCGCCCATCTCGAACAGGGTCAACGTCTCGAGAACCTCAGTTGGAGGCTATGGTACCTCCACGACCTCATGGTAGAGAATGACGATGTCAAGAGCAGGCGCGACTTCAAGAAGCTTTCCAAAAGCACAGGAGAGAAGCTCGACCGTGACAAGGGTCGCGCCATTGGCGAACTCACTGCTCCGCCTTTCCGCAAGACCGACTCCGGCGAAGCACTCCGCCAAAAGGCCGTCGAGCGTCAGAAGCTTCGCGCCCTCGCCGTCGCCAAGCTCCAAGGCAAGTTCCGCAGTGGTGGCAAGCAAAGCATGAAGGAGATGCAGCACACCTTCGCGCTCGACCCCGCCGTCAACTTTAAGCAGACTACTGTTGGAAACAAGGACGCATCCAAGGAGTACGCACAGATGCAGCGCCAAAACGGTCCTGTGGGCACCACCAGCAAATTCCCGCTCACCCTCTCGCCTCAGTCTTCTTTCAGCAACACACGCAACGATGCTTTTGCATCGACGTTCGATACGCAGACCGACACGAGCATGCTCGACACAGCGGGTAGCTTCGACCACATCATGGCCAGTGCTGGGCTAGGAGATCTGGGCACCGCATCGGGCGGGTACAGGCTCGAAGACATCGAAGCGGCCGAGCGAGACCTGCTCCTCAATCATCATATCGACCTCGATGCTCCCCTTGACAGTCTGCTTGCAGGGCTAGGCAACATGGAGGATGTGCAGATGGATTTGGCAGATCTCGGTTTGCCCGTCACCGACTTGCCCAACTTCAACGCTCCCTTCGACCAGAGCGTGTCCGAAATGCTTGCACCCCAGAATCTATCGACGGCTGCTTCGACTTCCAACCGTCCGACAGGACCAGCCAAGCTGAAGCAAATCAAGAGGAAGAAGACCGACCCCCAACCACAAAAGGTGGCATCAGAGCTCGCAAGGAAGAAGGCAGAAGAACTTCGAACCATGCGCAAACTGGCAGAACAGACTCAGCGCACGCACATTCAGAACACCTCGAGGCCCGAGTCGAAAGAAGGATCGCCGGAGGGAAGCGTGGGAAGCAGTTGGAGCGTACCGAACGGCGAAGCCCAGCCTGACTGGCTCAATTCGGCCACGTCGCTGTACGGCACCAACCTTGGTCACTCTCAGAGCTTGCCGGAGGGTGCTCACCTGCCCCTGTCTGGGTATGGCGCTGCCAACAACCTACACATCGACACTTCAGTATCAACCGTTCAAGCTGGTGCCATGAGGCCGCCGCTCTTTGGTGCGCGCGGTACATCGGTGTCTGTACCCACCACTCCCTTGCTCGCGCCCGAAGCTGGACCCTTCCAAGGTGCTGACCGACCCGTCGACTCGCTCTCGGCACCTTCGTCGCCGACTCTGCGGCCCGCTCTCGCCAACATCGGCCGATCGGGATCGAGCCCTGGTCCGTCCACCAGTGGCAGCAACCTCAAAGCAGCCATGAAGAGACACTCGACGGATGGCGCCTTGATCGGCGCCGATGGCCTGCCCAAGCCCAAGGGACGTGGTCGTCGTAGCATCGCCGGTTCGATCGCCTTCACCGCCATCAACCCGGACCTCAACAACAAGAGGCCAGATGGTCTGCCGGCGGGGAGCAGCACACCCAGTGCCTCGTTCGCATCCGGAAGTGCGCACCCCACGCAGGCGCAATGCACTAATTGTGGCGCCACATCGACCCCGCTCTGGCGACGTGATCCCAATGACTTGCTGCTTTGCAATGCCTGCGGTCTCTATCTGAAGCTGCACAAGACACCTCGACCCAAGAGTCTCAAGAACCACCACAGTCACTCGCACTCGGGCCACATCACGCCATCTGCGACGCCGGGTGGCGCGTCTGCCCCTGGATCCAGAGCCGGATCGCCGTCGCGCCCCGGCTCGCCCAGCGCTGAGGACATGATGTCGTGCTTCAACTGCGGCACCTACACGACGCCGCTGTGGAGGAAGGACGATGCGGGTCACACGGTCTGCAATGCTTGCGGACTGTATCTCAAGCTGCACAACGAGCATCGACCCGTGACGATGCGAGCCGACGTGATCAAGAAGCGATCGAGGTACGACGAGAAGCGAGGCCGCGCTTCGGCAGCCAGCTCCCGACGCACCTCGCCGCAACCGCAGAGCGCGACTTCGGCACCTGATGTTTCCATTCCGACCGGCTCGCTGCGGCTGGACGAGCCCATGGCGGTCGACAAGCCGAATCGGGCCAAGTCCAATTCGGTCACCTTCCAGCTGCAGCCCGAGATTCGAGGGATCGACACGGCGTCAGCTTCGGCGCCGTCCGCGTCGTCCGTGTCGGCTCCAGGATCCGCTTCTTTCCCTGGATCTGGATGGCCATCGCTCGGCATGGGAACGGAGAACAACCGTGGAAACCCGAACATCGCACATCAGCTCAACGATGCCTTTGCCACGGCTGTCAACCGCTTTTCGACGGGTGTGCCTATCCAGCCGCAGCAGCAACAGCAGCAACAGCCGAGCACATCGCCCGTGCCTGCTACCACGGAAGGTGCCCCCTCCTCCTCATCAGCACCATCGCAGTTCGGCTGGTCCCCATGGTCGCACCCGCAACAGCAACCGCAACAGCAACCATCAGGCCCACCCTCCATGTCCGGCTCGAACAGCACCCCGGCTTCATCCACTGCATCGGCCACCTCGCCGCCCATCCCGCTCAACGTCACCGCCGCACCCGGCCAAACGGACATCCAAACCCTCCAAGCGGCCTTCTCGGCCCACCCCGCGTTGGCATACGCAGTGCACCAGGCGGCTGAAAAGTTCCCCGCCTTTTTCGCGCAGAACCCCATGGGCGCTACCGCGTCCGTTGCTGCCGCTGCGGGGATTCATAATCCGTTTGCGAGCGCGTTTCTGCCCCCCGGCGGCAACACTGGTGAGCCCGCGGCGAGAGGAGGGGAAGAGTTGGGCAACACCGTTGAGATCGCCGGTGGTGTGGGTACGCCCAGCAATCTAGGTGGGGACAGCGTCATGTTGGATCTGGCTACGCCTGGGTCGATGGGTCGGCCAGGGAGCAGTAATGGACCGAGTGGGAGGGAGATGTTAGGGGAGAGTGTGGATTTGGGTGAGGGGGGGACGCCACAGGGTGGCAGCTGGTGGTGAAAATAAGCCAGGAGATGGAGGAGAAGGTGACAGTCACATGCGAGTATCAATGGTGATCTTTTATGCATCGTCCACTTTGTGCACGTTGAGATCGCATACCTGTGATGAGCTTTGCCCCACCGGAACAGGTTCCTAACAGTCATCTGCCGTTGCTTGAACTGGATGACATTTCGTTGGCTTGATTTCGAATAGCGATCTTGTGAAGACGTTCGCGATCATCAAGTGTGAGCCGTTGCTGACAGTCCGAGTTGTCGAATTGGACGACTCCCGTCGAATTCGCGATCTTGTGATGTAACGTTTGGAAAATCTTCACTCCATCCCTTCTGGACCGTCAGCATGCTGGATCATCTCTCGGTTTCTGGTGGACTGCGAGGCACCTTGCGTCGCCACGAAAACCCGCCGCACCTGGTGATTGAGCTTGCTTGGGCTCCATCATTCCATCTCATCGCAGATTTGACCGAGAAAATCATCTCTGCTGTGGCTGACGCCGATGGCCCTTCGTCGCCACGTCAGACCTTGTGGTTGAGCTTGGTCTGTCTCGTTCCAGCTTATCGTAAAGTCTCTTCTCACAATCCTACACACCACCTGTTGACCTCGAAAGGGGGCATGCATCGCCACGCAGCTGCGCCGACTTGGAATTTTCTTGTGATGAGCGCTGTCTACATGTCTTCGAGTGGTGTGCCCTGCATTCTTGGTTCGCTGCCCAACCTCTGGAGCACGCAAAGAGGGCGTTTTGCGGCTGCGCAGTTGCACCCACGAACGTCATCCTCCCGATGCGGACGCATTAGCGCTCCGACGCCGTCCACAACCGCCCCAACTCAAGCACTCTCCTGCTCCTCAAATCGAACGCGGCTAGGTCGGCGTCGAAGTTCCTCCCCGCATCCTCGGTCGTCAGCACCTGGGATCGATAGCACAGTTCGACGTTGGCGCCGTTGGCCGCGCTCGCATGCGCCACCAGGGTCAATCTGGACGGTTCGGGAGGGGGAAGTCCCGGTCCGAGTCGGCGCGGAGGTTTTTTGATGGGCGAAGAGGGGGCTAGACGGGAGAGGGAGAGGTTCGTGAGGCTGACCACGTCCCCGGGTCGCAGTTGGGTTGGGGTGAACGTAGTGTGTGCATCAGGGGAGGAGGTAGAGGGGTTGGGGGTGGTCCAATCGCGCGCCAGACTGCCCCATAGTACAACTTGGAACAGACACCGCTCCGCGATCTCATCGACCAATTTCCACTCTGCGGACTCGGAATCGACTAGTCGCGGGACGGTGGACATGCTCCCGTCCATAACGAGCAGTTGTACCCTTTCAGTCCGCCCATCTCCCACGACGCTAGTGTGGGAGGCCGCCTCGGTGAATGCCCGGCTTCCACCCCGCAGCTCGCCTCTCCCAGTGAAGGATTTTGCTGCGGGAGGCGGAGGCTCGACAGCAAACTTCGAGCGAACACGCGAGGCCTCCCCCACCTCCTTGACTACGACTAGGAGGTTGACCCTGGAACTCACACCTCCGACCTCGCCAAACCGCGCCCGAGATCCCCCGGACGTCGGGGGCAGATAGTGTGAGGGGTTCGCCAGGATCCGCGAGACAGGCGTGATGGTCGACAATGCGAAATGCAACGTCGGCGGTGGGAGGATGGACTGCTGCGCCAGGGAGGACAGTGAGTCTTCCCGAAAGGCGAGCGAGTCGTGTGAGGCCGAAGTGGCGTTCATTGTTGGCAGCTTGTGTAGGGACGGTTCTGCAAGGCGGGTGGGTGCGTGGGGTATCGGCGCCGCGGGTCGGGCTGCGACAGCGGTTGGCATGGGGCCGACGGAGATCGAAGCGGAGGCCGGGTGCGGTTCAGACTCAGGAGGTTGTGCGAGGTGAGATGCTGTGGAGATGGATCCGATCGATGTAGACCCGCGTGAGCGTCGGAAGAATGTGAAGCGGCACGTGGCTTGCGGCGCACCAGCGGCGGGGACAGGTGGTCGAATCTGGAGTGAGGACGCGGACTGCGTGGCTGCCGAGGTGGACTCTGTGATGTCTGCTGCTGATGTGTTTGCGGGAATGGCTGCTGTTTGTGCCGATGCTGTCGTGTGAGTTGCGAGGCGAGAGGGGATGCCTGCGAGGAAGGCCAGATCGGACCAGTCTCTGTGCAGTTCTGGCTTGTGAACGATCGCGATGGTTGACGTCTCGGCCTCGACTGTGCCCAGTGGTATCGACCCGGACGTATGATCGTTCGCTTGTGTCGGCGGGATGACACTTTGTGATGCAATCGAGCGACTGCTTTCTCCCGCCTCTTCAGGAAGCTCCTCCTCGCTCTCGCTGTCCTCTCCAACCACCACCCGACTCTTGTCCTCTGCCGCTTCCGACTCCTCGTCCATGCTGATGCCTGCGGCCTTTTCTGCCGTCTGATTGCGACTTCTGTTCCCACTCGCTGTCTGGAAAACCACACCACGAGCTTCAGTGGGGTGCACCCGTCGCTCAGGCGTCTCGATGACCACCACGGGGCTCTCCCGTATCCTCACCCGTTTGAGCGCCCGACTCGCTTCCTCTCTGTCCCCGTCATCGACCGTAGCGACTCCAGCCTTCTGTAAATCCTCCGAGAGCACACTGACAGGCGCATCAGACAGCTCGGATCGCGCCAGAGACTCCTCGTCGAGCGGGTGGCCGTGCGGATCGACCGAGTCGGGGACGATCTCTGTCGTGTCGTTGCCGATTGGTCGCCTTTCGTCTGCGAGGGTTTGAGCCGGGAGGAATGGCGCATCGGAGGGCATGACGTACTCGTCTCCGTTCTCGAGCGGATCATCGTGGCTGCAACGTGGGTCCACGGAGTCGGGCACCGTCTCGACCGCGGCATCCTTCGAGTGTGTGGGCCGGGTCTCGTCGGCCAAGATGCGAGCTGGAGGTGCCACGTCGGATAGTGCGAGCGAGTCGTCCTGCTCGTCATCGATGAGCTCGTGGTAATTTGGATCAACTGAGTCGGGAACGAGATCGATATCGCCCTCGTCCTGGTGTGTGGGCCGCGTTTCGTCTGCCACCACTCGAGGTTGCGGCTGAGCAACCGTAAAGCTCGCCCATCCTCTCGAATGCGTCTGTGGCGCCGAATCGAACTGCGAAAGGCTGGGTGGGGGGAGAAAGACCAGGCTGCGCATGATCATCTCAGCGCCCACAAGGGTGTCATCTTTCCAGCGCGCCAAAGATGGTGGTGTGATGTGCTCGGTGGGACGAGGAGAAAAGGTGTTGTTCTCAACCAACACCCTCATCTCAAAAAAGTCCCCACTGCTCCACTTTTTTAAAAAACCCTGCATGCACCTGCATCTCTTCTCATCACCATCATCACCCCTCGAAGCACAGCTCACCCACTGGCCCGGCATGCAGGGCTTCAACATGGGCCGCTATCGGCCGCCCACCTCCGACCCTCGCACTGACGCCTTCAACACCACCAATCCGCTCTCTCGCCGCACCCGCCCGGACGGCGCGCTGGTGGTGCGATTCGAACTGCCCTTCAACGTTTTTTGCGCCCACTGCGCGCGGCATATCGCCCAAGGTGTACGGTTCAACGCGGAAAAGAGGCAGGTGGGCGAGTATCTGAGTAGCAAGATCTGGGGTTTCACGTGCAAGTGCACCTGTGGGGGAAGGTTTGAGATCCGCACGGACCCGGAGAACGCGAGGTATGTGGTTGGAGAGGGAGCCAAGAGGCAGGAGCAGGAGTGGGATCCGGAGGAGAACGGCGGGCATCCGATATACGATAGTGAAGCAAAGGCGGATGCCCAGGGGAAGCAGGACGCGTTTGCGGTGGTGGAGAAGCAAACGAAGGAAAAGTCAAAGGCAAAAGAGCGACAGAAGAGGCTTGAGGAGTTGGAACAGGAGCAGGAAAGGACGTGGAGCGATCCGTACAGTGTCAATGCCAGGCTGAGGAGCGGGTTCAGGAATGAGAAGCGCGCGAGGGTGGAGCAGCTGGGGAGGGACTTGGAACTCAAGCGGAGGATCGGGTGGAGTGAGGAGAGTGTGTTGGTGCACAGGACGCCGAGGTCGGACGTGCGAGATGGTAAGGCGTGGGAGGAAGCGAGGAGACGCACGAGGGATGCGAATGGAAGCAAAGCCGGATCTGCATCAACGAAGACCAATGACAGCAAAGCGAACTCGACGACTGCAGCACAGCGATTGCGGACGACGCTGGTCGCCAACACGGTCAAGAAGCAGGACCCCTTTCTGAGGCAGATGCGAACACAGACGCAGGCAGAGTCACGCTCTTCTTCTGCAGCAGCGGGCAAACGCAAGCTCGTGCAAACCCGGCCATCGTCCTCGTCACGGCCAAGAGACAGCTGAAAGGAAGTCCAACTCTCACCACACACTACAACAATGATACCCAACTGCACGATACCCATTCTTCATCTCGCATTATCGCATTCTCTAGTCATACAAAGGTCGTTCAACCAGTCCATCGTTGTGATCCGCTACACCTCGCCATCCGGTCGCTTACAGATCGGCTTCATCAGCTCATACCTCTGGCCCTCGCCAGCCTCCCCATCCACCAGCTTCAAATACAGATACAGCTTCTCGCGCTCGAACTTGACCACCACGGGATGCAACGACAGCCACTGCAACGCCCTCACCCTGAACCGCTGCCATCGCGTGTCGGTAGCATAGCCGTCCATGCGCTGCTCCCACCTGTATGCGGTGCGGACGACGACGCTGCCGTTCGAATAGGCTGTGCCACCGCCGGTGTAGTGCGAGGGTGTAACGGACGGGTTGGCTGTCATGCCCCACGAAGGGTCGTCTTTGTGATGCGACCCAGGATCGAGGGCATCCTTCTGCGGCAGTTGAGACCCGGAGGGCTTGTCATCGATGGTGGAAAAGTCTCGGCGTGTAGCGTGCGCTGCGTCGTGTCCGAGTCCGACTTTGATCGTCGCGGCTCGACGAAGGTCGGAGTCGACAGGGTCCAGGAATGGATTCTTGTCCGATTGCGGATCGGAGATGCGTCCGCCTTTGCGCTGGCGTTGCTGCTGGTCCGACCATCCTCGCCTCGTGTTGAGCGCCCTGCCGTCGTGATGACCAGCAAAGACGATCTCGTTGAGGTAAAAGTAGATCCGATTCAGCAGCCCTCGATTGAAGGGTCCGCCCTTGGCACCCTTCTTCTTCCACAATCCGCGCTTCTGCAAGAACTTCTCCAGCTCTTGCCTCGGCATCGGCCGATACGCGATCGACGTCGGGTACTGCGGTGAGAAGCTGCGTCGGTACTTCCTCAGCTGGCTGTAGTCGTTGCTGTTAAGTCGCCAGATCTCGTCGAACAAGATCCACCAGAAACGATGCACCGGCGAGCGGCTGATCGCAGCAAGACGCTCGTACATGAGCGTGATGCTGCCTTCGTACTCGATCGGCAGATTGCGCATGCTCCGTCCGCATCCAGTGTCGACCAGCGCCATACGCAACCCGAGAGGACTGAGTCCATCGTTGTCAAAGACGTCCGTCAAAAACGAGTAAGGCAAAACACGCTCCTTCCACTGCGCTTCGCGTTCGAAATGGCGCCGATACTTGCGCAGCAGCTTTTCGACCAAGGGGACTCGCTCGGCGATGAGCGTCTCGTTGGCTTGCAAGAAGCGCGAGAGTGCAGCGTTCATCTCAAAATCTTCGGTGAGACCAAAGGCTCGAGATGCACTCACTCGCACCAGGTTGCGCACCATGCTGATGGCACCAGAAGCTTCCTTCATCTTGCCGCTTTCGTAGGTGATCGAGACCTCGAATCCGCCGTCAAAGTTGTAGCCAGCCCAGTCGAACTCGCTCCGACGCTCGATCCTTAGCGTGCCTTCGACGTACGATATGGGCGTCGCCAGGACGTACTTGTCGCGTCTGCCTCCTGCAGTTCCCAGCACGCCGAACCTCGGCACTGTTTTGCGACGCTTCGAGATGCGTCCAAACATCTTGTCGACAAATGCCATGCCGCTGGTCGTATCACCGACTTGGATGTTCTCGACGTGCGGGCAAAACACCGTCTGGCCGTCCAAAGCACGCAGAGCTTGACGAACCATCTTCTTGGCCGTCACCTCGGGATCTGAGTTCTGCTCGATGTACGCCTCGAATTCTTGAATGCGCGTGAGTGTGACGGTGGCGTCGCCACCCTCGTCGTACTTGAGAATCAGAGTAGGTGGAAAGGGAACAAGGAAGGCTTTGCCAAAGTATGACATGACACCGGACGGAAAGGGCGGCTCTTGGGGTCGCCAGTAGGCATCGAGACCTGCAAAATCTCGCTGAATCGTAAAGAGGAGCTTCTGTCGATAGACTCCCTCTTGCGAGCGTGAGACATCGACTTCAGTCCGGTACGCCTCGATTCCGATCTGCTTGACGATCTTGAGGTTTTCGATGTGACGCTCGGCTACAGAGCCCTGGAAGTCGATCAAGTAGGGCGGCCACTTGTCCTCGTCCGACACGGAAAAGGCAATGGTCTGATCCAGTGGCATGTGATATTCGCGACCGCACAGGATGAGAATCGACAGTGTTTCCTCCCATACGCGACGCTTGATGTGCTTGGTGATGTCGAGCACGGGCGAGAAGATATCGATCGTGTAGTCGACGCGGCTCTGCCAGCGTTTGACCTGATGCGCAACGAAAGACATTCCGACCACAGCAAAGTAGATGTTGCCGCTGTAGGTGAAGCCCTGAATGATGTACAAGATTGTCGTGTTGTAGACTGTCGAGCCTTCGATGTTGAGAGCAACCAGCAGACCGATGGTAGCCGTCAGCACATAGCCGATACGAGAGACCATCTCGGACCGATTGCCGATCTTGTCGACGAAGGGTTTGAGCGTGAGGTGTACGCCAAGCAACGAAGCCATCACGGCAATAAGCGTGCTCTGCTGCACGATTAGCATGGTCCTTGTCGGAAACGAGCGGAAGAGGCAGTTGTCCTTGGCCAACACGCCGATGATGAGCAGGTTCGAGAGCTTGAACAGCAAAATGTAAAGCGGCTTGTAGTAGCCCCAGCGGCGATGGTACGAGTTATAAAGAAAGTTGAACGGCGATTTGTCGCGGTTCAAGAGGCGATGATAGTAGATCTGCATCTCTTCCTCACTGCGCTTCCGTCCGAGCTCGTTGAAGCGACTGACGTTGGGCAGCATATCTCTGATGGTCATCATGAGCTTGTATGGGTACCAGAGCGTGTAGAAGATCATGATGAGAACGGCCATGGGTATGATGATGTAGGCCCAATTGAACTCGTCCTTGCGCATCGTAGTGGTGTAGCAGAAGTCGAGAGGAGCATGCCAAATGTCGGGGTCGCCAAGCAAGGGTCCTGGATCGGGATGGTCGATACCGCCCTTGTATGGGTTTGGCACGGGCCAGAAATCGCTCGACCATACGATTGCATCGATGGCCAGCTTGCTGAGCGGCAAGTAGAGCAATCCGAGCACAAACACGAGGCACGTATTGGCGAAGCGGGTGCCTCGAGAAGCGCTCTTGTAGATCCAGCCTTGCGAGTCGTAGCCTTCGACGGTCTTGTTGGGATTGTGCGCTTTGGTCATGCGCCAAAAGCGCCACAGAGCCAGCGCTGTGATGACGATCCAGACCACAAAGAAGATGACGGCGTAGCCGAACACGGAGACGAGGTCGAACCCAAGGACGGCCGGCATCGTCTGCAGGAGGAACTTGAAGATCTTGCTCGCGGTGGAATTCGGGTCGCTGCTTGCGAAATACCGCTGAAAGTGAAGCTGGACTGTCATCATCTGGAAGAGATCTCGCAGAGACTCCAGACGTAGAATTCCGGCGGCAAAGGTGCTTCCCTCGACTCCGATGACGGTATCGAAGATGATGCCGAGCCAACCAACCGCCCAGATCCCACCGGGCGGTCTTCGAGGGCCGATGGCGTTGGATTTGAGCTCGTCGAGGCTGTTGTCTTTGAGGAGCATAAGAGGCGGGAACATTTCAGTGCGTGTCACTGGATCCGACTGTGTGGAAAGCTTGCTAGATACACCCTCGGAGGGCGGATGAGACATGGCGCTGCGAGTTGCAGCATTCTGACTGGCAGAGAGACGAGCAGAAATGCGGCTGGCCACTTTTTGCGCAGCAAGGGCATCATCGGCTTTGACGGTAGCATCGTCATCGCTATCCAGGTCACGCTCCTCCTTCGGATCGACTACGGTGATATCGTCCACGTCGTCGTCCTGGATGTTGGGCTGGCCTTTGCGGAGGCCAGTTACACCGACCATCAATGGATCTGTGTCGCCGTCTGCGTCTGCATCTTTGCTGCGGTTTGATCGCTTTGGCTTGGACACGCGCAACGAAGGGTCAGCCTGCTTTGCTGAACCAGCACCTCGACGGCGCCTAAGTCGGTGATTGTTTCGCGAAGCAGCTTCTGGTTCGATACTGGAGGTGTAGAGCACGGCGGGACAATTGATCTGACCGCCAGCTACCTCCAGCTGAGGGAGCTTGGAGCTGAAGCGAGATTTGGTCATGTCTGACTTTTTGATGCTGGACCCACCTGATGGCGAGGAACTAGCAGCCGCGTTGGCAGCTTGCAGGAGCATCTTCTCGTCCAGCCCGAAGAGTTGCTTCTCTTGATCTGTGCAGACCAGCATTGAGTCGGTGAAGAGGGGCTCGCCAAAGATGATGGGGTTCTTGAGATATTCTTCAAGGGCTGGGAGGTGGATTGGAGCTGCATCGCGACTGAAGACATCATCTGCCGAAACCGGGAGCAGGTTGTCGTCAACATCGGAGCAGACAAGGTTCTGTGTGATCTCGTTGGACACGAGGTCCTTCCATACAGTTGCCTCAGCTCTGACTGCGGACGTAATTGGGTGTCTGTTCTCGGCTGGTGATTTGGGAAGCAATGGGATGCTGCTTTGATCTTCGGCAGACCAAGCCTCTGGGCTTTGAACCCCGGGGGTTGTGGGCGAAGTGACAGGCAGGTGAGAACTCGAACGCTGTGGTATCGACGCTACTTTGTCAGGAATTATACGGCGGAAGTGGGAAGGAAGGAAGGTGTTTGCGCCCAGGGATACTTTGGCATCAAGGTCAAAGATGTGACCGCTGCTCAAGCGCTTTCCCAAGCCATCCTTGTCTATCGTGAGCTCGAGATGCGGTCTGGCGGTTCGAGGAGGTTGACTGCTTGCCTGGATGGGTATCGATGCACGGGATGGCTGCGGCGGTGCAGAAATCCGAGAGGGAGATGATGCAGAGGCTGGAGGACACGAAGCGGTTGGCGGAAAGACAGGTGTGCTTGTTGCAGTTGGTTCAGGTGTGTGAGTAGCCTGTGTACGCCTTGACAAAGCGGTGTCTATCTCGCGAGGCGCAGGTGCTGTGAGAGGGGCCGATATAGTGTCGCGTAGAAGTGGAGTTTTCGAGACGATGGTGTCGACGCTTGATTGTGGAGTGTCTGTTGTGGTATCGCTGATGGGCGAGGGTATAGTCTGAGCTGGCGGAACCGAGCGAAGGGGGACGAGATGACGACGTTGATGAGGTCTAGTTGGAGAAGCCTGCTGAGGATTTGACCGAGGGTCTGCACGTCGAGGAGACTGAGGCGAGGATTCAGCTTGTGGCTTTGACGACTTTAGATGGGATGGAGACGCACGAGCATGGTCTGGTGGTAGGCCATACCTGGGGGTCCAGTCGAGCGGGCCAAGGGTGCCATTAGTGGCATTGACCGCATTCGCACGGAGGGCGTGATGAGCTGGAGATGGATTGAAGTCGTTGATGCTCAACGATGGGCTGGTAGGAGCTGGTTGAGGAAGAGCCGAGGCTGAGGATGAAGGAACTGGCTGCACCTCCCACCTGGATACGAGCTGCTGAACACTGGCAGAGCGAGGTGCTCGGAGTGACAGACTTGAAGGTCTCGGTGGCGGACTGTGTTTGTGACCGGACGAGCTGCCTTGCCTGAGCTCGTTTGGAGGCGGCATGGCTGAGTCGATGGGTGCTGAGCCCGACAAGAAAGCTCTCTATATTGTCACGACATGGATTGGCGAGGAGCGAGCTTCGCCGCTGACAGAGGCTGGAGGGAAAGTCCGAGCGGCTGGGTGATGAGAATGTGATGGTTGCGAGTGACGAGGCAAAGTCTCGAGAGCTGGCGGAGTAGCCGGTCAATCAGAAGCGGATTGGCCGATATTGGGCAGTTGTCGCGCACATGACCAAATTTGACCCTGCATGATCAAGCTTCAAACAGCAGCAGCGAGACCAACACACGTCGTCGAGCACTTGTCACTTAGCGCCTCGAGATGAGATCTGTCATGTCGAAGCGACCCCACATTAGCAAAGGGAGCACGTTGCGCCATGAAGAGGCCCAAACGAGACGATTCTCAGGAGCAAAAAGGATAAAAGGACGAGACCAACACCTCGCCTCGTGCTCCCAGCCTGCAAGGTCGATCTTTTGGCGAGAACTGACTCAGGGGCTGCAGCGAGACAGAGACGAGACCCTGGTTGGGCTGCAGCGCGACCCTCGCGTCTTGGTCCTCTTGCCAAAACAAGCAGTTACAGCCCTCAACCCCGAGCTGCAGCCTCTGCAATTTCGAATGCAGCCGGCGGAGCGAATTTGAAGAATGTGTTTGTAGAGCGTTCTAACATCTCGACCCAAAATTCAGGTGGAGGCGAAACAGCAAAATGACGTTTTGAAGCAGCAAAGCGACCTTCCGCTGGAAATAGCTTTTTGAGCAACACGCGGCTCTCTACTGCCAGGCTCAGCAGCACAAAGGGACAGCGAGAACTCAGCCCAACCCACGATGCAGACCAGGACCCTGAAGCAGCAGCCTCTGGCAGTGCAGTGCAGTGCAGCCGCACGGCTATCTACGCCTCGTGCCCTTTCTCTCGACCATCATCATTACAGCCTTCCTTTGTTACAGACCGCAACCTCACCAAATCTCACACGAACCCATCATGTCTGACGCAAACAACCAGAACAAGGGCGAGGAGCAGTCCTTCACCATCCAGCCCCACCCCGCTACCAGTAAGTTGGCAGCTTGCATGTTTGCAGCATGCTTCATATCCGTGCAGCTCTGGTTCATCCGCTCACAATCTCTTTGTTCTTGCTTCTCACAGCCAACGACCCTAACCATGACCCCGCTCTCGGTGACAAGCAGAATGCTTTCGGTGGCAAGCCCGGCCCCGCTGTCGTCAACACTGAGCAGCTTGAGGAGCCTGCTAGTAAGTGTCATGATTGATGCTCACCACGACTTGACACCAATGCTGATCATCTTTCTGCCTTGCCTTTCTCATCTGTCAGGCCGAGAGGAGCTTGCCAAGCGTTCCGCCGAGCTCAACAAGTAGACGAGGGTCAGCCAGCTGGATTGCGTGATAAGCGGTCACAGGTGCCTCTGCCCCAAACGGACGGCATCAAGCGACATCTCGACATTCTTGTAGCCTACTTTGCTCTTTATCAATACGATTCACTCCGATGGACCGAACGCGACTGCGCGGCATGTCCGCGTACGCATTGACGTGCCGCTTTGCGCCTCGCCGACAATGAACATAGGAGCCACGGATCTCATACGCGACAGCGCAGACACGACAATACCAGCGGCAACGTCCGACGCGCTTGCGCCCACTTCACTTCATGACATGCTGCGTACAAAGGGAAGCCTCCATTGTCATGTCGGACTTCCCTCCGTTCTTTCGCGCCGATCTGTCCCTTTGTGCATGCCGCAACAGTTTGATCAGCGCGGCTACTTCCCTTTCTCCCTTTGAGCCTCCCCTTTGTCCCCTTCGAGTATGCTTCCTTTGTCACTTGTCTTCAGCAGCTGCACTAAGATGGAGCGACGCAGCATGAAGACGTATATAGAGCTGACATGGCTCAAGAAGAAGTCTCATCCCGTCCTCAATCCTCCTCAGCTTCATCCTCGTCTCCAGACCTGATCATCTTTGCCATACTACCCTCAACAGTCCTTGCTTCCATCACAATGCTTCAATCCAACACCGACGCTACCTCGTTCAAGCTCCAGCCAGCGCCTCGTCCCAAGTCCAAGAAGCGTCCTCAGAACCCACCCCCTGTCCTGACCTTGTCTCCCAATGCCTCCGCCTCAACCGACGGCGCAGACACCAAATCTCTTCGATCCTGCTTCGAAGACGAAGACGAGGCGATCACGCCCAAGGCTTCGTCCTTCCACATCTTTCTGGACGACAAGCACGATGTCTCTGACAGTGACGCCACCATCTCATCCCGCCGACTACGATCCTCCTCCACCTCCATCTCCTCCGCCACCTCCACCAAGTCCCTCAGCTCGGTCAACCGTCTCCTCTCCGCCCTGTCACCTACCACGCCCACGCGTCGACCGCAAAGCCTCACCTCTCCCTCGGCAACAGTCACCGTGATGCTGACGAACAAATCCCCCACGCCCTCATCCCCGCTCTTCCCACGCCGCACGCTCATGCGCAGCCTCTCGTCGACATGCGTCAACATCCGCTCACCCACGACGCCGCTCACCCCGTCCCCCGGAGCAACGCTTCGCAAGCGTATGGGATGGCGTGGCGCCCAGAGTGCGCAACTGGCAGACGAGACCGCCATCATCATGTCCCCCGGTAGCCCGCTCACTCCTCGTCGCGCCGACGCACTGCACACGCCGACGCAGGCGAGCATCTCGTCCATCCCCGAGAACGAGCCCTTGAGTGCGACGCTCAAGGCGCTCGGAGCCAAACGTCGGACGGAACGGTTCGCCTCCACCTGCGCACCTCTTCTTTCCCCCGACGGTGCCGACGTCAAAAGCCCCAATTCGGAGAAGTTCGAACTCATGACTGCAACGAGGAAGATCTTTCATCTGCCAACGTGGGTGAGGTTCGAGGCGAAACATCATGCGCGCACCCAGGCGGCCGAGGAGAATCGTCAAGCGGCAGCGGGGTTCGAGGAGTTGCGCAAGAAGATTTCGACCGAATCGATGATGGAGTATGTGGTGATGCGGGGGGAGGCGTTGCCCAAGACGAGTCAGTTGGGTGATAACGCGCCCGCCAGCCCCAATGGCGAGCTTCTCGCCGGGTTCGGGGTCGATACTCTCCATCCTTCGCGACCGAAAACTGAGGTGAAGGAGGAGGGGGAATGCGTGATCAGCGTCGTCCGTCGACCGACGATGGCGGCTCTGCGCGAAGGGCAAGCTTCTCAACCCACCAAAAAGGCCAGTGGCGGCGTGTTTGGCGCAGTTCGCTCCGCCTTGCCTGGCATACGTCCACAGCGTCGGATAAGAGACTCACGCCCCCCGAAACCGCTCCTTCTCGCCCCCGCTTCCCTTACCGATCCGGAACGACGCGATGGATGGGGTGGCATTTTGACCCGATCGAGCTGGTTCCCGAGCTTCCGACGTGGTCCTCTGGTCTCTCCGACGCCATCTGGAGCGATGCTTCTCCAGCCGCTTCCTCGTGGGAAGAGAGAAGATGACGAGTGGGAGGACATCGACGAGCCGGTTCTTCCAACGGATAACGAGCCTACTTCGTTTTTGGAGCTCAACGACGCACCTCGCTTCTTCAACCGTTCGCCCGCAACGACGGGCCCAAGGGGCTGGTTCCCCTTCTCCCGCTCTCCTCCAAAAGACTGGATCGGCGAAACGCGGCTCGACACCTGGCACACGCGTCCGCTCAAGCCAAGCCACGAAGAAGAAAGCGTTTCGAGCGAGATGATCACTCGCGGTGGGAGGAGCGTCGAGAACCGTCCTCTGGGGAAGAAGAAAGGTTTGCGGACAAGAATCGTTATGGCCGCCGTGATCGTCATGATCGTAGCCGCCGTCGTGGCTAATGTGGTGATCATTGCGCAGGCGAGGAAGGTGTCGCAGGGTCAAGGGGATAAGGGAAGGATGGCGTACGATCCGTTGGTGGGAAGGATCGGGCCTGGGTTCGTTCTGCCCCCAACAATGACGACGACGGTGCCCGATGCGAGGTCGTCCAGCGTAGCTAGGGCCGCTCAGCTTTCACAGCCCTAGAAGGGCCCCTCACTCTTTTTGGTTTCACTGTTGACCGTTCCTGTAATCGCTCCATACTATCACTCTCGTCAATCTTTTGATCTTGTTCTCACACTCTTCAGACTTTTGCGCTCGAGACTGTGACAATCGGCATTGCCTTGCGATCGATGCTCGAAGCTCTAACCCACGAGCCGCATGCTCACCTTGCCCCTCTTGGTATTCGCATCCTTCTCCACACCGATCTGCACCGTGCACTGGTCAAAGATGCCGAGCTTCAAATCCTTCTTGAGCCCACTGACCTTTTTCGGAATGTTCACCTCGTACCTCTCCTGATCCAGCTCCACCTCGTCCTTGAACGTGATGAGCCCTTCGAGACCGAACTGGTTGACGAATACCGCCAGGCCGTTCCTGAACACCCTGATGACGTATGCCTGCGCCTCCATCATCCCACCCTTGACACCCGCTGCGTTGCGCTCGGCAATACTCAATCCGACATAAAACTCGACACTCGCCCGTCCCGCTTGTTGCGCGCTCCTGTGTCGCTTGTTGACAACCTTCAGCACGTCATCCACAAAGTCCTTGCTGTGGAGGCTAGGGTGGAGAGGCTCGTAATTGATCGCCGCTGCCAGCTGTCGGTGCGCCAGCACATCGGCGTAGCGTCGAATGGGCGACGTAAAGTGCGTATACATGCCCGCAGCGAGACCGTAGTGGCTGAACGTGTCGCGGGCGACTGAGCCGGAGCAAAAGTACTCGGCGGAGAGCATGCAGCGCGTCGCCATGATGCGGACGAGCGTGTTGAACGTGCTGTCCTTCGGATCGACGCACGTGTCGAGCGAGGCGGCGAGCGAGCCGGAGGACGAAACGTCGAGCGTGAGGGATCGTCGTTTGTGCAAAATATCCTGCAGAGTTTCGAAGTTCGTTCGTGGAGGCGGAAGGTGACGACGCAGAACGGCGGTCATGGGGAACACCTCGTAGATGCGCTCTGCAACCGAGACGTTGGCGAGAAGCATAAACTCCTCGACGAGCGAGTTGGTCTCCCGCATCTCCTTCTGTTCGACATCGATGGGACCCGCGGACTCGGACGAATCGAGATGGATGCGCACCTCGGGCGAGGCGAGGTTGAGCGCGCCCGCGTCCATGCGCTTCTGCTTGAGCTTCTTGGCGAGCGAGTTGAGCAGTCGGATCGATTTGGTGATGTCGTCCGATTTGGTCTTGTCGTCCTTGCGCAGCTGCGCTTCCTCGTAGGTGAACGCGGCCTTGGAGGCGATGACGGACTTGTGGAATCGGACATTGACGATGTCGGCGTCCGGCGTCATCTCCCAGACGGCGCTGAAGGCGAGTCGCTCGACGTACGGTCGCAGCGAGCAGAGGTTGGTGCCGAGCAAGTGGGGAAGCATGTCGATTCGCTTGTCGACCAGGTAGACCGTGGTGCCACGACTGGCGGCCTCGGCATCCATCGGGTTGTCTGGACGGACAAAGTACGAGACGTCGGCGATGTGGACACCCGCTTCGATGTTGCCGTTGGGAAGCTGCTTGGCGTGCAGCGCATCGTCGATGTCTTGGCAGCCCGGAGGATCGATCGAGCAGATGGTCTCGTCGCGCATGTCGACCCTGTCACGCCAAGCGCGGTGGGTCATGTCTTTAGGAGGCACCACCCAGCTGTCGCCCTCGGCAGGCAGACAATCGAGAATGGCTTTGCTGAAGGGCCGATACGGCACATCATGCTCGAGCAGCAATGATTCTTGCTCTGCTTCCTTGCTCTCTGCTTGACCCAATGCGCGGACGAAGTGACCGTCAGGGTAGCGAGACGTAGGCCGCCATGCGTCGAGGGCGATGAGGATCTTCTGACCCATGAGGTCCTTTGCTTGGCGAGTGCGGATGCGGATACGGGGGAGCTTTCGGTCGACCGGCGTAGCAAAGACGGTCTGCGCTCCGAGACTGGACAGAGCAGAAGAGTTGACCGAATTGACGTCCACGTGTGCGACATACGACCTCCAGTTGCGTCGAACGATCCCCACCACCTTGCCAGTGGGCTGAGGCTCACCGCGAGAAGAGCGGGCGTTGGCTTCGGCGTCTGCGGCCTCTTTCTTGGCTAGCCGCGCTTCAATGTCGTCGTCTGCACCTCCTGCACCGTCATCGCCCTCGGCATCATCATCCTTCAGCGCTGCGTCCGCATCGATCACTTCTTCGGTCGCAGCCTTCCACTGCTCCTTCGGGAGCATTTGCACTGCTACAATGTCGCCGTCGACGGAACGATTCATCGCCTCACGACCGACAAGAAGGATGGGACGTGTGAGCTGACCAGATCGGACGGTAGCCTCGAGATAGTTGTATGGGTTGGCGTTGAAGAAGCCTTGAAGAAGCTGCCCAGACTTGATGCCAGCCGTGACCTGATTCTGTGGGAGATGCTCGGGATACAGAACGGCACGCTTCTCGCTGCCGCCGGAGCCGGAGACCATGGAGCGCGAAGAGAGGAGATCCAAAAGCTGGTCCGCGTTGTCTAGCCCTTCGATGTAGTCACGTACGGACATGGCGCGGATGTCGTCCTTCAGAGCACGCTGCACATTGTCCTGGTCATCGCTGATGAGGAGCACGTCGAGATTGGCCTTGGTCGATGAGCCTGGCCCCGTCGATGCTATCAGATGCGTTCTGTACCATTTGGCAGCTGTGCGGATGGCGCGATCATTTCGGTCGTTGGGCGACTCGTCGTCTTCTTGTAGCACTGCGGTCTCGCGGCCGAAATCGTTGTAGAAGACCCAGAACCTGCGATCCGGATCCGCGATCAGGTTCTTGAGACGGTTGAAGAGGGGCAGACTTCGATGCCTGACTTCGTCTGCGACAGTCTGCAATACGATGACATCGGTGAAACTTGGGTTCTCGATGAGATCCATCTGGTGGAGGAAAGCATTGGTGTCGAGAATGAGGTAGTGGTTGCGATCGACTTTGGTGTTTTTGAGTCCCTTAGGGTCGAGGAAGATCTTCTTCTGCGCGCTGCCGTCCTGAGCTTGCTTCTCGAGCCCTGTATGCAGATGCTGACAGCGCTGACATGCACGACTGCCGCAGGCGATGTCATCACGTAGATAGCGCTCGCCGAGGATCTTGAGGACTTTGCCGCGAGCTGTCTTGCGAAAGTACTTGCGCTGAGCCGACTCGAGTTCGACGCCAGCAAGCGGACGCTTCTGGATGCTGATCTCGACCATGACGATGGCTCAAGCGCGAAAAGGCTACTTGTGTAAGCCGGTTCCAACAGAGATGGTTCAGGGCCTGGTGATGGTTTCGAGACCGAGATGAAGGGGGTTGGCAGATAGCGTCTTCTTGATCATCATGTTGAAGATGCGCAGTCAAAAGTGGAGCTTTCGGAAAAAATTGAGAAGCCTCGAGGAAGCGCGGATCGGGTTGTCAACTATTCCCGATTTTGATTCGTCTCGATTCGCGTTCCTATCGGCATGGTTGATTTGCTCTCTGATCCTCAAGCATGCTTTGCTCATCATTGACAGCGTCGGAGTCAGAGCGTGAGAGCTCGGCAAGACACAAGATGTCTACGGTCAAAGAGCGCTCGAGACATCACAATTATTTGTCAAGATGCCACGCAGCACCGCGCATCGACTTGGGTGACGACGTCCTCCTTGCGGCGAAAGCTTTGAGCAGCGGCTATTGCCATGTGGCTCCGACGACCGAGCGGAACAATGAGATACGTGTGAGACAAGATCATGCAAGATCCATCCTTGCGAGAGCAAGATCATGACGGCGATGGAGCGTTGGGAAACGCAAAGCGGCAGCGGAGTTGAGATGTGCGTTTAGAAACAGGAGGAGGTTCGTTCGCTCGACAGCCAAGTGAGGTTGTGTGACACATCGTCGAGTCAGCAGTCTTGAAACATTCAAGCCAGCTCGAAGCCTCGGTGTCACTGGCATCGTCAGTCTGAGCCTCGACTCGGGTTCGTGCAGCAAATGACAGAACACTTTGGGATCCTTGAGCGTCTCACTCGTTGGATAGCAGCAGCGTTTAGGCAGCGGCCATGGACAACATGAAAGGACCTGATGGTAAGAGCTTTCTTCAATAAGCGCGCAGGAACACTGACCAGCGGATGCAGGACCAATAAACCGGCGCCCTCGCGGCTAGAAGACCGCCAAGAAGGTATGCCAGGACAGTTTGGTACGGATGGGTTTGGAACGGTGCAGCGGCTGCGACGTTTTGCCCCTGTCGGAGCTGGGCCTCGTGGCAAGAAGAGCCGTAAGCGAGACGTAAGTACCGCCCGATGAGCGCTTCGAGAGGTGACGAGAGGACGCAGACAAGCTTTGCGTCTGCCTCTGAGGCTGGTTCCGAAGCGTAGTGCAGGCGGCGAGATGCTTTATCCGGGCAAGGAAAGTTGATCAAAGGTCTTGGATCGGGGTATGGACCGCACTCCGCTCCAAACTCCGCGACCAAGGATTGAGCTGCAAATTTTGGATGGCTTCGACGCCTCGTGTTGCCGGATATAGGGTCTGAGTGCTGTAAAGATTGGGACAAGCTGAGTGCGATGTGGACAGTGAGAATGATGACATGCGTCTTGGATCGGATGACAGTCTGCGGAGAGCAAGGGAAGCCAGCCAGCAAGGCGACCCGGAAACGGGCTACCAGAGAGTGGACTCCCAGAGCATCGGAACAGGAAGGCGAGCAGAAGAGACCGGCGAATCTTCCCACAGAGGCCCCGACTCGAGTCAAGAAAAGCTCAACCACTCTCCTTCATTGAGCGTTGCACGTTTGTGAGCCGTCGTCGGGCGATCATCAGCTGAGACCGACCAGGAGGCCAGCGGTGGATCGGATCCACACTAAGTTAGCCATAGGCAAGCGAGGGCGAGCCGACCATCGGCATGGAAGGGTGCTTCCTGATTTGAATTGAAATTGGGAACAATGAGACATCAAAGGCAGCGAGCGCCACTTGCGACAGACAAGTCAGCTTTAGGGTCCCTTTTCAACCACCGAAGCGAAGGCGCCACAGAGAGCGACGCGAGAAATTCAAAATGGGCGTAAAGACGTGCATCAGAGTTAGTCTCGATTTTGGCCGACTCGCTTCGACAAGCGTTGAGCCAGCCTGTCACTCAATCAGTCACACGCTTTCTTTTTATGATACGCCGCGGGCGTGTGTGTGTGCGTGTGTTCCCGCGTTGGCAGCTGCTTGCTGATGGCTGACGATCAGCTACTTCCACCTCTCCCTCCTCCCTGCTTCCAGCTTGTAAACCATCACCACCGACGCCTCTTTGCAGGCAAACGTCACAGCACTACAACCGTAATCGTGTCCTTTGAATCACGTCTCGCGCGCCTGTTCATCGCGTCGTCGGCCGACGACCCACCTTCGTTTTCTCAAGTCGCGCCTTCACCTCACCCCTTTCCATACGCATTCTTGCTTCGAGCCCGCCGTAGCGCATCGGTCCCAAGCAGCTGGGCATCAATTACCACGAACGGTATCAGCCCGTGAATCTACTCCGAAGGGCTTCGAATCATCCGTTGCGATCGCTACAGCAAAGTACACAAGCCGCCTCGGATTCTGTCACCATGCTATTGGTGTGACCACCTCGCTCGCTTCTCAGAACGTTCATCCGCCTTAGTACTCGTCGACCTCTCTGCAACGTATCTGGCTCTGACAGCCATCTTCTTGGCCCGACAAATCGTACAGGCCGTGTCGGTGGGCTGGCGATCCAAAACAACATCTTCGACTTCATTTTTGGGCCACTCGCATTGGGGACCTCATTCTCGTACAAAGACGCCAACCCGGTCGCGACCCACTGCGATCTCCTTGCATCGAGTCAGCCAATTGTGCTCTCTTTTGTGCGTTGCGTGTTTCAAGCGCCCGGACAGCACCGCTCACTCCTCGAACGCCCACGCTCGATCCCCTTTCATTCCTCATCCGCTCCTGTTGCGCTAGTCACAGATTAACGCTCCCACCGTGGACTCATACGACAAATCAGCTTCACTCTCACTCAGGGCCCATATCATTGGCGCAAGAGAGCGGCCTTGATCTACCTCAGCGACCGGGCTTCCTCTGATAGCGCAGCAAGCGTGCGTCTCGCTCTCCTGGCCTCTTGACCTATCCGCGCCGTGCCTACAAAGATGGACCAGTACGACCTCAGCCCACCGCCTACCCCAGGGCCTAGCTCGTTCGCTCCACGACCCATGCACGCTAACAAGATCTCCAGGGCGCCGGCCCGCTCGCTCTCCCTTCGCATTCCCGAGGACGGCCAAGCGTTTGGCGGTCTCAGCCAACCCTCGCAATCCTCTGCACCTTCACTCGCCCTGCCGCTCGATTCCAGTTATGCCGGTCCCAGCACGCTTTCGCAGCCATCGCAGTCCAAACTGACACGCAAGCGTCCCTCGAAGCTCACCTTGGCACCGCCATCGGCCGGCGACGACTCTGGCCAGTCTTCACGGTCCATGCCGAATTCGCCCGTCGCCCTCTTGCGGTCTGAATCCACAGCAGAGCCAGTCGACGACATGGCACCGCCAGCATCTGCCATTTCGGAGGCGGTCAAGCATCTGTCAAGCACGCTTCGAGGCACGCCGCGCAGACGGCCGAGCATGCCTTTCAAGAGCACAGCACCAGCTCAGAGGTCGGCCTATCCTGAGCCAACGAGCGCTGCAAGTTCGCGCAGCAGACCACCAGAAGCTTTTCGAGATCCGTCCGAGCACATTCTCAGCGGCAAAGGAAGCACTTTGCAGCACGCACGCAGCGTCTACTCGCAAGGCCCCGTCGAGATCTTGCCTGGTCTGTTCCTCGGTGATGAGCACAACGCGCGTGACACACGCATGCTTTCTTCTCTTGGCATCACCACCATACTCAATGTCGCCAAGGAGACGGTTCTCGATTTTCAATCGGACCACGCGCCGACGCCAGTCTACGCAAGCACGCCACACACGCCTTGGTCAAGCGCTGCTAGAGCCATCGGTCGTTCCGATGCTGACTCAGGTTCGGTCGGCAGCGCCCGAGCTCCGTACGGTGCTCGGCACGCCTCGGCCACGATCAGTGCAGTGCCGCAGACACCCAGCACGTATTTCACACCACCAACCACCGCGTCGGTCTCGACGTTCGCAGGTCACGGCGCCGCCTCCTCGCCGCGCGACGCAATCAGTGCTTCGGTGCTGCGCAACACGTCTTCTACACCCAATTTGCTTGCGCAGTTCATCGACGCTGAGGCCGCCACCACCTCAGAACCAGCCTCTCTGCACGACACTCAGGCAGAGTCCTCTTCGACTGCACAGGTCAACACGCTCACAGCAGAGGATGTGCTGCAGTATCGCTCGCTGCGACGTACCAGCGATTCGTCGTCGGATGATGCTTTCGGCACCGCCTCATCGCCGTCATCCTCTCATGCCCCAAGCACCTGCACCTCGGCCACCACCGAGCTCACACCGCCCGCGCTCATGACCCTCAAGTCTGGCGAGTACGCGGATCCTCGTGTCAATGCTTCGTTGAGCGGATCTGCCAGCCAACAGCCCTCACCTAACTACAGCTTTGATGACGATTCACGAGACTCGTCGCAGAGTTGGATCACCCACGTCGAGCTGCCATCGAATGCGACCGCAACCACAATACCCGCCAATGCACAACACGGTCGATCGCGCGAGATGCGCTACATCAAGTTGCCATGGACGCACGACGAGACCGACCTCGCTTCCGGCCACGGTGGCTTTGCCCATGGCTGCGCATTGATTGCAGAGGCGCTCGGCATCGACAGTCGCTACTGGTACGCCGCCAAGATTGCTGCCGACGCGGATGCATGCTCGGCTCTGCAAGATGATGCAAGCTTGGATCAGGTTCAAACGAATCCATCGCCGGGCAAGGTCCTGGTGCATTGCCAGTGCGGTGTCAGTCGCAGCGCCACTTTGGTCATCGCCTTTGTCATGCAGGCCGCCGCCATGCGATACGGTTTTGAAGCGGCCCGTACCCTGCTCGGTATGCACGACTGCTACAACATGGTCAAGGAAAAGTCGTCGAGCATTTCTCCCAACATTTCACTTATCTATCAGCTGGTTGAGTGGGAGCGCTACCTGTCGAATGCTGCTGGTCGACTGCGAGACATGCTAGGCCTGAGTCATGGCAATGTCGCTGGAGCATCAGGCACTGACCCGGCCAGCAACGGATCTTCAAGTCTGGCAGCGGCAGGGTGGTCGACCGAGCCTATGGACGAAGCCATGTGGAGCAAGATGCGCTTGGAGGAGGAAGAGAAGGAAGCGGCAGAAGAGGCTAGGCGACGAGAAGAGCGTCTCAACGAAGCAGTGAGGCTAGCAGCCGAGCGAAAGGCGGCGCAGGATCAAGCCGAAGGACGCGACTCTGATAACAACCTCGGCGGCGACGCCGGTGTCGGATCGCTGATGCAGCGAAGGAGGAAAAAGGCAGCGCCTGCGCTGCAGTTGCAGCCGCCTGCTGCTCCTACTCCTACGGCAGGTGCACTAATGCCCAGCCCTGGGCTGAACCGTCGTCGCCCACCAGCGTTGCGACTCGGCTCTGGAAGCAAAGCCGATGTTGAAGGATCAAAGCCGCGAGCCGATGCTGATGGCGATGTCATGATGAACGAGCTCGATCCTCCTCAGACGCCTCTGCGTTCCTCGGCAGCAGACTCCGACATTGTCAGCACGCCTACCGCTCGAACGACGGCAGCATCGTTTGGGCCTGATTCGGCCAGCTCGACGCTGCGGACTCCGGTCGCCTGGTCTTCGTCCTCTGCCATGCCCACTGTTGCGCCGGAGTTCATGAAGCCCAAACAGCCTTTGTCGTCATCATTTGACCTTGCCGCCTCGGCAATGGCGAGCGGCCATTTGAGCGCAGGAAGGCCGCCACCGACGACATTGCTCTCACCAGCATCGCCAGCCATGGCCACCTCCCGGTCCGCCGAGAATCACGCGAACCGATTCAGCTTCGGTGGTGCTCCGATGAGCGGCAGCCTCTCCGCGCGCCTCGACACGGCCGATAAGCGATCCCGACCGGGCTCGATGCAAGGCGCCATGTCCTCGTCGTCCTCCTCAACCGCCCTGTTCGGCGTCACCGCGCTGTCCCGGGAAGAGCGCAAGAAGCAGCATCGCCGAACCTTCTCCTCCGACTGGCCCGCTTTGCAGGCCAATCTCGGGTCGCAAAGGAGGGGCAGCAAGGTCGGAAGCTCGCTTGCTTCGCCGGCTATAGCCGGAACGGAGACAGCTGCACATGAACACGGCTATGCCGATATGGACGTCTAGGTAGGACTATACATATATGTCAGCAACAATCTTTTATCTCCTCAAGTATCTCGTCGTTACTGCCAACAACATCAACGCCGCTGCCCTCGTCATCAGCTATCTCGAGACGGCACAATCGTCCACAGAGCACGCTGACATGGATGTCTAGCCCGAAAGACTGCACATCGTCTTCCAACATTATATTTTATCCCAACTGAAGAGGTGTGATCCTGAACGAACTCTGATCAGGGAACAGTGACTTGAAAGCAAGCGAGCGAGCGTGAAGAGGACAACAACGTTTCACCGCCGTAGGGCCGTGTGCATCCCCACGAGGGTCACTGGCTCGAGCGTTGGCATCAGCCAGCGTGCTCGCGAAACTTCCGGCGTGTCTCTGCCTCTTCGGGCTGTGCCAGATGCTCTGCCATGCCGTTGCTGGCGCATGCTGGCACCGTGATCTACGGCGCAATACCGCGTCTCAAATTGATCAGTGGTCACTCATCCTTCACAGTCGGTCAGTCACGCAACTCGTAATCACCCTCAATCAACTTGATTGCACTCATTCACGCAGCAAGAACAGCACGTCCTCCGCCTCCCACCGCCGCCTGATCATCAATGAACGTCCCTCTCGCAGCAATCTCTTCCTCCTCCACCTCAGCTCTCAGCGCCTTGGGCGACGCCGGTGGCGTAAAAATGGCATCCACGTCCTGACCCAGCTCCTCCACCAGTGCATGCTCCAAGGCCGCCGTGCACTCACGCTTGACCACCGCATGCTCGGCTTGGAGCGTCTCGAGGTGTCCCCACAGGCGTGCGTTAATCGAACGGGCATAGTTGAGTTTCGCCTTCTCGACGAGGTACCGATTGCGGGCGAGGCGGATGGCGGATTGCGCAGCCTCCATCGAGTCGTCTTCGGCATCATCGGCAGCGTCGAAGCGCGACGAGCGACGGCGGTTGCTGCCGCCGTTGGCGGCGGACGAGGCGCGCGTGCTTAGACGCGTGCGTCGAAGATCGGAGACGTCTGGGAGTGAGTCGCCCGAGTCGCTGTCGTAGTCGTTGGCACGCGCCCGCTTGGCACCTGCACTGGTCGAGGCGATGCCGTTGACGGCGTCTTCCGATTCAACAGCGCCGTTGCGTGGTCGTGAGGCGGGCTCGCGCAGCTTGCGATCGCGCTCACGGTCCCGCATGTCCTTGGACCACGTGCGCAGTGCGCGACCGAGGATGGCTTCGCTGCGTTTGGTTTCCTCGGAATCGCTGTCTGCGGGGAGGCGGTCTTGAATGCCAAGCTCCTCCGCCGACATGGTGTACAAATTCGCGTCCGCTCCGGCACCCTTTGCCAATCCGAACTCGGCGCCTTCATCTCCAGCCAATTCGAGCAGCTCATCACCGAGCGTATCACCCGTTGCGCCAGCCCCTGCCTTGGCAGGCGCCACAGACTCGTCTGCCAGCACAGACACATCCTCGACGCCGTCCTCCTGCGCCGCTGAAGAGGCCGCCGCCTTCCTTGACCCCGCAGTGATGATGTTGTGCTGCACGCGCATGTGCTTGCTCAACGCATCCGACCTGGTGAAGCTCTTGTCGCATTCAGGTCTGGGACACGTGAACGGCTTTTCTCCCGTATGACTTCGAAGATGGCTGAGCAGCGCAAAGCGCGATGTCTGAGGTTTGCCTTTGCGAATGCATCCCGTCCATTCGCACATGTACTTGCTCTTGTGGATGCCGATATGTTCGTGGTGCAGGTGGTCGATGAAGGGTTGTAGACTAGTGAAGGTTTCGCCGCAGTCGTTCCATTGGCAAGTTACTTCGGCGTCGTTGCTGGCTGAGGCAGGTTCTCGAACGGACTCGTCGGCGAGCTCGTCGCCTTCTGGGGAGGCGGAGCGGAGTCGTGCATCGTTGAGGGTTTGCGCACCATCTTCGCCCTCGGAGCCGGATGTAGAGATGTCGGAGAGTGAAGGTGAAGGAGCACGTTGTGCTTGCTGTATGACGATGCTGGCAGCGTTGGGTTGCTTTGAGCGCATACCCGGTGGTGGTTTATGCGGTGAAGAGGGTGGATTGGATATCCTGCTTCCGGCTAGTGAGGAGGCAGGCGATGGAGAGCGTTCAGGAGCAGCAGAGGAGCCATGACGACGTGATGATGTCGCTGCCGCTGATGAAGAACCGGGCGCTCCGCCGTCGACGACCTTCTTGCGAGGCATTGTTGCAGGTGTACCGGCTCGTCGTGTGGAGACCGGCTGTGAGAAGTGCTGTTGGTAATGCGCAGCGACGACGTGGGATCAATGATCAAAAGTTGTTAAGCGCGCAGGCATCGATGTGGCTGAGTCGTGTGTAGGTGTGACGGTCGAGGGGTGTGACCGACGAGCGATCTGTCAGCCAGGTGCACGCGCCTCTTGAGCGTGCTGGATAGAAAGTTGTAGGATCGGCTTGATACTCGACTTCCGAGATTTGGCTCGCGTTGCTCGTTTGCGCAAGAAGAAACTCACCGCCAACGCTCACTCTCTCGCAACATCCGCAATTGGACCAAAATTCCCAAGCCACAGTCACACTGCGAGGAGCAAAGCCCAAAACTTCGGCCTTGTCCCCCGCACAGCGCACGAGCCGCACTTTGCCATTGAGCCTTTTCTTCTCTCCTTCACAACGTACTTCTTAGACACCAGCTAGACAGAGCGCGCTCTCCTTCTCTCGCAGACGGACCCGATCGTACCTCTCGTCAGGCAAGAATCAGGCAAGCATCCGAACGCGCAAGACTTCTCGGACAGGTCGCTCAGTCTTCACCTCGGCACGCTCCGGGAGCGCCCAGGCTTGCATCCTTGCGACTCAGTCACGACTTTCGTTAGCTCGCGTCACTCTCAGCTGCAGCCACATAGCACCATGTCGGACCCTTCCGCATCCTCCTCGTCATCGCCGCAATGGTCAAGTGACCGCTTCTTCCAGACGCAGGCACCTCCACCCAACCTCTCCGAGCTCGCATCGGCAGCGTCCGAGTTTGTCCAGCGTCACATCCAGGAAGGTCGCAAAGTAGTCCTCGTCACATCTGGCGGCACCACCGTCCCTCTCGAGAAGAACGTCGTTCGCTTCCTGGACAACTTCTCAGCCGGCACGCGCGGCGCCACTTCCGCCGAATACTTCCTCTCCGCTGGCTACGCCGTCATCTTCATGTCGCGCCAGCATTCGCTTGCGCCCTACACGCGACATTACAGTCACACCACCAACCCCTTCCTCGACCTTCTGGCGGATCCGGCTACGCACGTGCACACCGACTCGCCCGCCTCGGCCTCGGGCGAGGACAACATCACCGTCCTCAAGCAGCACGTTGCGCATCTGCGCCCCATCCTCTCCGCCTACCACCACGCGCGCACCTCCGGTCTTTTGCACACCGTACCATTCGTGACGGTCAATGACTACCTCTGGCTGCTCCGCGAGATGTCGCGTGTCATGCAGCCACTGGGTAGGTATGGCATGTACTACCTCGCCGCGGCGGTCAGCGACTTTTTCATCCCCTCGACGAGTGTCCCGGAACACAAGATTCAGTCTGGGAAAGGGTCACTGGTGATCGAGATGGACCAGGTGCCCAAGGTGTTGAAGCCGATGGTGGAGCAGTGGGTGCCAGAAGGCTACTTGGTCAGCTTCAAGCTCGAGACGGACCCGAAGCTGTTGATCCCCAAGGCGGTGGGTGCGCTACAAAGGTACGGACATCAATTGGTCATCGGCAATGATCTGAATAGGCGCAAGTTCGAGGTTGTCTTTGTGGAGAGGAAGGCGCATAACCCAGTGCATTCATCAGAGCAAGAGGCTGGGCCAAAGAGACCGGCAAAAGACATCTCGGTGGACGACCAGCAATTCACAGCTACCTGGATGCGGCTGGTCGACTCGGACTCGTCTCAAGAGAGCAACTCGATAGAAGGTGGCGGTAAGGGAGGCGAGAAGGAGCTAGAAGAGGACATCATTCGCGAGTTGTGTAGGAGACACGATCAGTGGATCGCAAAGTCGACGTCGGCTGCTTCTTCTAGAATCTGAGCTGAGGGGCAAGCCCGTTCAATGGACATGCATGTCACCTGCCATTCGGACGACAGCGATGATGTGGAAGTCTGCCATTGAGGGATTGTGGTCGGATCCACTTCGCTCCGAGGCAGGAGGGAGACAGATTTGAGGGTTGGCGGCGAGGCCGAAGCGCTCGCAAGAGCGCTAGCGAGGAAGCTGTCAGCACTCAAATCTGTCTCCCTTCTGCCTCGGGATCTCCGGTCTTTCTGCATGCCTTTCATATCAGATGCAGCGCTTCATGCATGGCGACCTTGCATGCACCAGTTCCCGCAATTCATTCCGGTCAGTCGTCACGCATATGAAGAAAACAAGACAAAGCACGTCAGGTATTGCATATCCAGTCCGAAGGGGAGGGTCCGACAGTCTCTTGTACTGTAGGAACCATTCTCTGGTCCGTCTACCAGTTCTTAGCGTACACCCAAGCCTTCTTGTAAACGGGAGCGTTGTGAATCTCGGCCTTGGCACGCTCCTCGTCGGCCTTCCAGATCAACTCGTCCTGCTCGTCGAACTCCCTGACGTCGGTCAGCAGATCCACCTCGGTGGGCGCGAGGATCTTGGTCTTGTGCCACAGCTTCCATCCGATCAAAATCATGAAGAAGATGGGCAGACCAATGTAGTTGGTCACGAACGTGCGCCAGTTGAACGTGAACAGGAACGCGTTCCAGCCCTTGAACAGGACGACGATCGAGGTGAAGACGACGGCAAAGTACGACGCATACGGCTGCAGAGGCGCCTGCCAAGGGAGCGACTCTCGCGCCATGCCCTGCGCCTTCATCGCCTTCATGAAGCGAATGTGCGAGATGAGGATGCAGATCCAAGTGAGACCACCGAACATGGTCACCGACGCAACGAGGTACGAGAAGGTCTGAGGACCGCCCGAGGCAAGGTTGATGAAAGCAAGGCCGCAGAAGAGCGCAGTCACCGAGAGAGCGACGTAAGGAACACCGCGCTTGTCGACACGGCGGAAGATTCGGGGTGCCTTGCCGTCAATCGCAAGACCGTAGAGCGTTCGTGCGGCGATGTACTGGTCCGAGTTGGCGGCGGAAATGCAGAAAATAAGGATAGCTGCGTTGATAATGTCCGGGAGAACGCGGATCCTAGCTCGAACGATTGCGACCACGAAGGGAGAGGCAGCAGCCGACGTTCCACGTCGGTTAGCAGCCAGAAGCTCGGGAGCGTTGGACGGAACCACCATGCCGATAAGAAGAGCCCCGATGATATAGAAAAATGCGATACGGAAGAAGGTCTTCTTGATGGCCGAGGGAACCGACTTGCGTGGGTTGGCGGCCTCTCCTACGGTGACTCCTACGATCTCAGTGCCAGTGTAGGCAAAGAGGGCTGTGACAGTCGTGCTCCACCATCCGAGGAACATGCCTTTAGATCCGGTGGTTCGAGGGTAGGAACGGAAGGCGAGGCCGTCTTGGAAGTTGCGGAATCCGATGCGGTCTCCAGTAGGGGAGCCACCAAGGTCGATGACAAGCAAAAGAACGATCAAGCCGGTCATGGTGATGATTTTGACCAGCGAAAGCCAGAACTCGACTTCACCGAACCACTTGGGACCTCCGAAGTTAAGAGCGATGATGAGAACGGTGACGATGGCGATCCAGATACCGCCAGAGAGGTTCTGGCCTTGCGTCCAAAACGAAATGACAAGCGCAGCAGCATTAATGTTGTTGGCGGTCACGACCTGTAGAGCATGGAAGGATAGGGTCAGACGTCAAGACGTGGTGTAGGAGGGGGAGAAGATAGAGGAGAAGAGGAGGAGATTCGAGAAAAGAGGAGGTTTGAGTATGAGTCAGTGGCAATTCGAGACAAGCCCACATCTCTTGTTTGACGGGATATGAAGTCATCCCCGAATTAGGCCTCGATGGCAACGAGTGGGCGGCATGTACGCGTGCGTCATTGAGTGCATGTCACGCGACACGGTCCGACTTAGCGAGGTCTCGTCCTTCGCTGTCACGCCAACGAGGGCCAACGTGGACGGGAAGAGGCATCGAAAGAGTGACAAGGGCACGATGCATCGCAATGTAGGTTGTACTTACAAGGTACTTGAAGAGGTAGTTGTATCCAGTAGCGACACCAAACTCGTCGCTAACGAATCGAGTAGCGTGTCCAGCGAAACCACGGGGATGAGGCATGTAGGTCGACATCTCACCGAGCGCAGACATGACGGCGGCACAGCAGAAACCCATGACGGTATACGAGATGAGAATCGAGCCTGGGCCACCGTTGGCCAGACCAGTTCCGGTACCGATGATGAGACCCGTGCCGAGTGCACCGCCGATAGCAATCATCGAGATCTGACGACCCTTGAGGGCACGGTGGAGCTGGCGCTCCTCGGGATTCTGCTCCTCCTGGAAAGGCGTGGTTTTAGCAACGCCATCGTTGTCGTAGCCCTTGACCTCGCTCCCTGAGGAGCTGGCCTTTTCCTGGGTATAGGGGGACTGGTTGTGGGCGGGGTCGACGGACGCCATCTTGCTCGAATGTCCGGGGGAGGATGTGGTCAAGAAGCAACCTCGAAGCAACGCTATCAAGACATCTTCTTAAGGGCAGGCCCAAGCATTTTTGTCGAGATACAAAAAAACGCTTCCAAGGTCGCGTGCTCTAAGCGAGAGGCACAGCGATTGCGTGCGCGACAACCAGACCTCTCATCTCGCTTTCATCCTGCCTTCTCTCAGCAAACACCACGACGACGGGTATGAGCGTGGGGCCGATAAGGATTGCGCGCGGCTGTGGGAACGTTTTCTCTTCCGACGTCGATGGTTGACTTTCTCCCACACACTGCCTTGCAGACAACCCGAAAGACAACTGATAAGCGGAACAGCCGCTAAGGCTCACTGTGCTGTACTCTTGCTCGCCAAGTTCAGGTCTTGCATGAGGGGCCAAGAGTGCGTTCCTAGACCAGTAGACAGCACTCGTCGGATGCCTCCCGAAGCGGAAAAGGTCACATGGGAAACGCAGAACACGAGAAGGACGCCGGATTTTTTTTCTCTCTCTTTTTTTTCATTGTCCGCGCTTGACATGCAGGCACTTGGCCAGTGTCGGACGACGAAAGATGTCATTCCGCGAAAAAATCTCCTTAATTGGCTTTGCCAAGACAAACTGGTAACGCATGTCCGTTGCAACGACCGTCGGATGTAGCGGTCACGCTGTGTCTTGCCGCTTTCGAGGAGGCGTTCATCGTCATCGTTGCGGGTCGCTTCCGTCTATCTTCCCCGCAAGCAGTGATAGCTAGCCTCAGCCTCAGCAACGAGACGAAAGCAGATCATAGAATCATATATCGTGCTCAGGCACGCCATGTGGTCCTTCGTGCTACGCCGGTCAATTCGCCGCAAACCCTCTTTTCCTCTGGTCCGAAAAAGTTTGAGCTCGTGACCGCGACAGGCTCACAGGGATCTGCATAAAAACTTAGCGGTGCAAGATAGAAAAGTTTTCTTGGCAATGGACCGCGCTTGCAGCGGCTCAACTGGGGCCCTCCAATCGCCTCGCGCTCGTTCGTCTGTCACGAGGCGGTCCACCATGCTCATTGGTCCTGGTGCAACAATATCGGCTTTGCAAACGTTACCGATGCGTGATTGGTTCGGGTTGCTGCATCCACGGACGTGCCTGCACATGACCCTGCACCGAGTGCCTTCATAGATCACTCATCTCGTATGCTCATGCCTTGGAACAACTTTGTTCTTCCCCACACATCGGACGCATGGAGCATGTCGGAAGCCTATGATACATACGCCTATCACGCTCGACACCGGGCAGATTGAGCAGCTTTTTCGGCTTTGAGAAGCTTCACTTTCTTCCAACGGATCGCCCGCGGGTCACATGGCTTGACATCGGAGACATCCGATGCTTCGGAACCCACGATGTTCCGAAGGCTTCCGCCAGATCGATCGCCGGCCTCAAACGCATACTTTCACCGTCGACTACGACACGCAGTAACGCAGAAGCATTGCTTCGGAGAAATTAGAGCAAGACACAATCGAACCTCGATTGACGACTGGGGATACAGACAAGTATAAAGATACAGCGCAAGGTGTTAGGTATAAGGGTCTTAAAGACGGAGAAAGTAGGCGATCGGAGCCGGCAAAGGGGATATATGTTATAGGTGTACAGATCGGGTAACAGAGTCCGTGTCAAGCTGGAGAGGCTCAGGCGTGTCTAGGATCGAAGCGGTATCGGTTGGCTTTGGTGGGCGTGCCTCTGGCTGCGTAGCCGAGGTAGGCGCTGGCCGCACCCGGGAACCTGCCCGTCGACGGCGGCTGTGGGCTAGGCGAGACGTTCACAAAGTCGGCATAGTGGAATGTCGTATCTCCTCCAGGAGCACCGGGAGCGTTAGGCGGGGTGGAGGGCATGAAGCTGCCACTGTCAAACTGCCTCGACGACAGGTATGTCGATGGCGGGGTGCGGGGTGAGCGTGCACCAGCGCCCGAGGAACGACGCTGCAGCATGTACTCTTCGGCGTTGGCGGCGGCTTTCGAGGGCGAAGGCGTGGCAGACGAGAGCGTGTGCGCGTCGAAGCCCAGCCCGACCATCTCGCCGACACTCTCGCGGACGTGCTTCCGTGCAGAGGGCGGCGGGGTGAGCGGGGTGCACGACGACGAGAGGTTGGTGTGCCTCGGACCGAGGCCGAGACCGTGGATGCCGCCGGCGCTGCTCTGCATTCGGCTGCGTCGACCGCTCGAATGCTCGACACCGCTGCTGTTGAATGGGTCCCACAGAGATGTCTGCGCAGGCGTCGAGAGGATGCCGTTGGTGCCCACGGTCTCCGTGTCGGCGCTGAAACGCTTGATCGACGATGGCGACGGCGACGATGCGAGGAAGAGAAGGTAGTCCGCTGCAGCCCGATCCTCCCCTTCCTCAGCCTCAGCTTGCTCCTCATCGGCGGCCTTCCTACTGTCCTCCTCGTGCAGCTCGGCGGGCAGGACGCTCCACGAAACGTTGCGCTTGTGCCTCTTGCTGCTGTGCGGCTGCGCAAACGTGCTGTTGCGACGAACGGAGGGACTGGCGAAGCCGATGCCGAGACCTGCCTGGTGCTGCGAAGGCGGCGGCGTGTGGGGTCGGTCGCTGCTGGAGCTCGAGTCGGAGCCACTGCTGGCGTTGCGTGCTTCTGCCAGTGCAGCGAGGGTGTTGGCGACACGGTCTCGCTCTGCTTGATCCTGCTCCCCGCCGAAGGGCTGTGGTTGCACTGCAAAGACATGGCGGCCGGATGCATGGCGCGAGCGGGGCGTGCGTGGTGCTGTGAGACCCAGATCTTGAGCAAGGGAGGAAGCCGGATGACCGTTGGGCAGGAAGCCGCCGCTGCTCTGCATCCTCGATCGTCTCGGCGTGTTGAGCAGCGGGTTGTTGGAGGGCGCATTATGACTGGCCTCACGACGACGTTTCGATGGCGATCCAGTGGGCAGGGCAAATGGCTCGCCGGCAGCCAGCTTGGTCTCGTGCGCAACCATGGCTGGCGTGGGGTTGTTGTGCCAGTCAAAGTGGCCGTTCTTCCTCTCCGGCGATCCAAGCTGCGGTGAAGACGCGGCCTTGTCTAGCAGCGATCTGGTCGAGTTGGAGTTGGTGTCGGAGTTGGACGGGGTGGAGGTGGAGGGACGCTTGGATGGAGTCGAGGCAGAGGCAAACGACGTCGCCCTCGACAGCCCTTTGGACGACGACGACGACGAGGAGGAAGGTGTAGAGCGGAAGTCGGTGCCAAAGATATCCATGTAGATCGATCTGGTGGAGCGTGTAGAGGACTGCGAGGAAGACGGCAGTGATTCGCCTTGGGACAACGCTGGTGTGCTCGCTGGCGAAGAGCTGGGTTGCGACTGTTCTGTTGGCTGATTGTTGGTGACGAGGCTCGGTGCGAGCGGCTGCACCAGTGAAGCGGTGGATGTGAGGTCGGAGAGCGAGGACTTGCCCAGCCCATTGAGTGCCTTGAACGAGGCAAGTTGGAGGCGAGCGCGCAAGGCGTGTGCGTACATCTCGACTTCATGCTGCCTTGGCCTCGGGCTGCTGCTTGCGCTCACGGATGTCGCCATTGTGCTATGAGGCGAGGAGGCGGTCTAGTTTAGATCTATGATATAGAGAGGCGTGTGATGTATGGAAGAGATGGTGCCACCGAGTGGGTACGTAGGACAACCCTCTATCTTGAGCCTGGATTTGGCAATCAGATAAACAGGCCTGGCGTGTGACCCTGGCTGACGTGGATGGATGAACGAATGGATGCTGAGTCGAATCGCGCGTGAAGGTGACTGTAGGAAAGGAAGACGGAGGGATGCGATGATGACGAGGACGGTGGTGATGGTGGAGGTGATGATAGCGAGGGAGCATGTGCCAAAAGTAAAGTGCGGAACGCGGATGATACCCAAAATGTTTGGCGAATGATTGACCCTTTTTGGACTCCTCCTGGATGGCCAGCAGCTCCAGTGCTGTTGAGGGTTGTGGGAACAGCGCGATGCGGAAGGATGCTCGCTGTGCTGCGCTTCGCTGTGCAGCAACTCTGTTCCTTGTGCATCCCGAACAGAGGAGAATGAAAAGCCAAAGAGAAAAAAATCTTGCCGAGTGCACTTTGGGAGAGAGTTCTAAATTTCATCTCTTCTGCGATCCACACCTTGTGTGTCACTGTCCCAGAGTCCCGTCGCTGAAAGCAGCGTGGTGACGCGTCTCGCTTCATTTCGTTCCTCGACGTGTAAATGACTACACTGGCCAAGTGCCGTAACGAGACGCGTTGAACCACTTAACGCGTCGCGTCACGACTGAGCAGTCAACTCCTTTTCATTTCGCTTGCGTCTCAGCTGGGCTTCTGGGTCACCAGATCGCCCAGCCAGCCGAAACTCAAACAAACAGAGACACTCTGCGCTTTGAGCCTCCGCTTACGCCTGCCGAACGACGATCGATCTGCGCGTCGCCCATCCTTGCACAGAGTCCATTCTTCCCTCCTTCTTCGCTGCCGCTTCCTCATCTGCGGCCTCCGCTAAGATGCTCAGGCGAGGAGGACAATGGTGGGCAGCCACCGCGATCTTGCTCTTGTCTCGCATCGCTGATTCGATTCAAGAATTGCCTCGGTCATCGTCGGAGCGTGGGAAATACACCCGATTGGGTATCATTGATTTGCACAGGTGTATGAAGTACAACTAAAAGTACAATGGGATCGGATCGTGTTGCAGGCGTTGCTGCTATGCGTGTGGGAGATGCTGACAGCTTCATCGAGCAGAGCGTAAAGGGAGAGGGATGTGCATCTCCTGACTGTCCACCACCGACAGACTCAATTTTGTCCGATTGAGGGGGCATGCGCTGCTTGCTGTGGCACTCAAGGCCACCATTCGTCCTCGTTCATATACTGGTCCTGGTCCGTGTTGTTGGCTCTGTCCATCCACGAATCGTCTCCGGACTCGTCCTCTCCATTTGGCCCTCGACCATGATCGCGGTATGCTCCCCTCGTCGAGCCCTGTCCTGCTGAACCGTCCTCGTTGCCATTGCGCCTGCTCCCGTTTGCACCTGTGTCGAGGTACGATGCCGGCAGCGATGTCCGTCTCTCAGCCGAAGCTGCTGAGTGTCCAGGTCGTTGGCCGTTGACGAGTCGAGGGTCGCTTGGAGTCGGGATCGCCTCGGTTCGAGGCCGTTTGCCAGGTCGTCGAATCTGCTCGTCCTCCGGCGTCGCGTCAACGCGTGCAATAGCCGCTGCGAAGGGACCCGTACGGCTAGGCGTGGCCGTGGAGGGCGAAGCATAACTCGTGAAGCCTCCTGGTCGGCTGCTCGTGCTGGCTGCGCCTGCATTTGCATGGAGGTGGTGATTGCCGCCGCGAGGCGCGTGGGCTGGTGCGCCGTTACTTTGCGCGGGACGAGTCGGTACCGATGGCTCGCTCTCGTCGTCGCTGTCCAGCGTCAGATCAATTACGTCACCCGCACCTACAGCAGGCGAGTTGCGGGCACTCGTGCTGGTGCTGCTGCTGAGGAGCTCGATCCTTTCGTGTCGCGGTGCTGCGGCCGCTGCTGGCCGAGCTCCTGCGTGTGCGGAGATTGAGACGCCGGTTGATCCAACGGACTGCGCTGACCTGGGAATTGGACCGTTGGGCGCTGATCCTGCAGTCGGAGGAGGTGAAGGACTGTCCAGCAGGACAATCTCTGGAGATGCCTTCTTCGTCCCGTTCTGCTTTCCTGCTGCGCCCGCGCCGGGCTTGATATCCTCCGAATCGCGGCAGAGCAATCGATCCTCGAGCGGGGTGCCTTCTGCAGATGGCTGCTGCTCGTTCGCCGCTCCGTTCGAGCTGATCTTCCCGTCCAAGGTCCTCCAAGATCCATCCGGCTCGACGATGACAGAGTCCTGGTCCTGCGGCACCTTCTTGAGAATGTCGTCGACGTAGCCGTCCATCAAGAGCTCCTCCGGCTTGATGATCTTGTGACAGCTCGGACAAGCCCACGATGGTGACTGCTCGTTCATCGAAAAGAAGCTTTCGGCGTCAAAGCACTCCACGTGCGAGCAGTGAATGGAGCGGCACGGTGTGTTGATGCGCATGTAGCTGAGCGGGCACTTGAGGCTCATCGTGGCCGCTCCCGTCTGAATGTCGTCATCCTCGGCCTCCTTGCGCATCCTGGACAGCACGTCTTCCTTGCTCCGCAGCTGCTTGGATCGCAGACGCCCAACAAGGGTCTCCACGCTCGTGACCTCGCAGATCGCAGCGACGAGCACATATTTCTTGGGAGCATTGGTGTATGTGAGGTCGATGCGGTTCGGTCGTGCCTCCCGTAGGACGAGCGCGTTGTCCTTGTTCAGATTCGGCGGTGGCACTCGACCGATGTGCTTCTTGCTGCCACGGAGGTTGATGGAGAGCGTGGTATTGTTGACCCGCGCTTCGCAGGTCAGCGGGAACTCGATGGTTGCTGGATTGCGTCCTGAGAGCGATGCTGCGTGGGCCTCCGTCGTAGTGCAAAAGAGTTTGAGTTGATACTTTGGCGTGCTGAGTTGCTGGACCTGTTCCGCATTGAGAGAGACAAAGATGGGCACGTTCTTGCGATCGGCCTGCGTAGGTGCTTCGGGGCACTGCACAACGCTGGAGACGAATTGCTTGATCTCGTAGAATGGTGAGGGACGGAAGTTGATGCGCGCGGAGCCTGCCGCACCCACAGGTCGGGATGTGGAAGCAACTGACGGTACGGGAGCTATAGGTGAGTACGAAGAGGAAGCAAGACCTGATGGTCGGTTGGCTGGCGTTCCACCTAAAACTTGCGGATGTGCCGAGTACGCACCAGGGGCACTGAGCCCGCCATACGTACCTGCACTTGAGCTCGCACTGTGAGGTTGGGGTTGCGGAAGAATGCGAAAGTGTCAGTCAATCGTTCGGCGAACAGTAGAGACATTGCGCAAACCGCGGGGATGCTAAAGACGTACCCGTTCCTGTATGCGGGTGGTGCGATGGGCGGACTTTTGTATCTGTAGATCAGAGTGCGGAATCTCTGATATCCCCGGATGTCACCTTGGCTCTTGCGATCGCCGAGCGCCTTCGCAAGGCGGTTAAGAAGGTCTGGCTTATTGCCCGAGACGATCAGACGGCCGCAGGTGGCCTCAGGCTCGTTGTTAAGATCCTTGATTAGCGCCTTTGCTTGCGCGAGAGTCAACGAGCGAATGGAGTCAAGGAGTATAGCATGGTCGGCAAAGCCGCTCGAAGCGACGTCGGCGGCCATTGCTCGTTACGGAGCATCAATGGTTGGTATCTTGAGCGGGAGGGTGTAGTCGGGACAGGTGGAGGTGATGGGGGTGATGCCGAGTATGCGGATTGGATCGACTGTCACCCTCTGTGGGGCGGGGATGATGATCGCTTAGAAGAAGGTCGGCAGCATGTATTGAAGCATGCTATGGTGGCGTTGATGGTGAGAAGGGGGAAGAAGCGGAAGCGGGTGTACAGGATGAGGAGAAGAAGATGATTGCGAAAGCTCAGCTCAGTTAGAGTTGAGCTACACCCGATTCACTCAAATCCATCTCCTCAAGTCACGCCAGCCAGGGTTGTGTGATAAGTTAGCGGAAGAATCGAGACTGCACCTCAGTTCGCGACGCTCGAGTACGGAAGACGGACATCTGTGCTCGGCGTCGCCACCGAGAAATTCTCAAAATTTCAAGGCAGAGCTCTCCACATGATCCCGATCCGCACACAAAGCTTTGTAGCGGATCGACGTTGACCAGCCAGGCCGACTGTCGGTCTCTCCTTCGTCAGTGATCACGACCAGAACTCAAGAACGGGACATGCTAGGGACGTTTCTTGATTGCGTAGAAGTACAGGACGAATGCTACTTGATGCGTGTGCGCTCCGGCCGCGTCACTTTCGAAAGACCGAACGAGCGCTTTCGTTGGCCAAGGATGCTCCAAAGAGGCTCGAGCGTACAGGGGCCGCTTTCGCAGGAGATGTTCCAGTCGGCTTGCTCGGACCGCCTTCCACGGCCACTCCAGTCGCTTTCTCCGCTTTTTCTTTGCCATCGTCTGCCTCCTTGCTGGCAAAGGGGGAGATGGGGTCATTGACCATCTTGTGTCGGACCAGCTCCAACGACATCTTGGCGTCCTCCAACGACGAGTGACCCAGACTGGTGCCGTTCTGGATGATCTTGCCCAGGAATCTCGCGGTGAGATCGCGCAAAGAAGTGCGGAAGGGAAAGCCGCGTGCATGCGGATACAGCATGACCGTGTCGACCACCTTGTGGTGGACCAGCCTGATAGCTCGCAGATCGTTCTCCAGTCCATGGCCGACGAGGATAGTGTCGACGCCCACAAAGCGCGCCATCATCTTGCGCACCTCATCGAGGGTGAAGATGGCCTTCTGCTCGTACTCTTCCGGGGTGATGCCCGAGAAGCGTGTATTGTAGTCGACAATGTCGGTCCGTGTGCGTACGATCTCGTCGAGGACCATCCCTCCTTCTTCGTCCACCAGGGTTAACCTCGTCAACGTCAGTCCCGCCGTAGTGTAGCTCAACTCGCAATCGACTGCGACCATATCGAGTGGAGCCATTGTGCCGACTTCGTCCTTGATCGATTCGATCAGCTCCTGCGTCGTGATGAAGGCCTCTCTGCGATGCAGGTCGAGCCCGGCCGTCTCCTTGAAGACGTGCGGACCGAAACAGCAGCTGTCATCGCCGAGAGCGCTGCTGCCCACTTGTTTGCTGCAGCAAGTCCACATATGCACGCGCCCTTTGACGCCTGGTAGCTTGTCAAAGCGTCGCCTTCCCCAATGGTAGCCACATTCCTTCGGGTTCTGCGGGATCCTTCCCGTGCCCGATTCATTCATCTCGCCGCCCACCGTAAATCTTTTGCCGCAGCGCTCGCATTCCTTGACCTCGCCTGTTGCGTCTGGTTTGCTGCTACCCTCGTCTTGCCAATCTGGTGGGATGACTGCAGTGTACTCGTACTTCTCCAGCTGGTCCACCGGACAGACGAAGCCGGCCTTCTCGAGTCTTGCGCGGTCGAGCTTGCCTGATCTTCTTTCTTGCACTGCCTTTCTCTTGGCGTCCACCTGCGAAACGGTCCCGATCTCGGTGCAGTTTGCGACTAGCATGTCGATGATGCGGTCGTGCAGGCCAGAGTCGCCCCGATGTGCCTGAGCCTCGTTGGCTGCAGCAGTGGCAGCTGCCTCGAGCGCCTCTCTGTCTCTCCTCTTGATACCGACAAGCAACGTGATGCAGCTGTTCTTGTAGGAGTGTTTGTCGACTTTGGCAAAGTGCTCGGCTTCTTGCGCGAGCGCGTGGTCATGACAAAGCTTCTGCCCGCACCCAGCGACGATGGGATCAGAGCTCTTCAAAAAGGGCTCGTAGGTCGAAACGAAGCCGTCGTAGAAGGCTTTGAGGCCGTTCTGTCGTGCGGACAGTGGGATCTTGGAAGACGAAGGGTGGTCCTTGAAACCGATCTTGGGCGGCTGCGCACCGACCAGCGACCAGTCGTTGCTGCTGCTTGCAGCTTTGGATGTGGAAGCGGCGCTCGCTGAGGATGACGACGGCGAAGCTTTGACGGCGGAGTAAGCGTTTTTGGCTTTCTTGAGGGGAGGCGGAGACGCCGCAGTGCTGCTGGTGGCACTTGCCTTTGCTGCGGAAGTTGAGGTGCTCTGAGCGGGAGCCGCTCGCTTCAGACCGCTCGACAAGGACTGAGAAGTGCCCGTGATGCTAGTACGAGTAGGCGCTTCGCCTTGAATACCAGCTCGGGTGCTGAGCGCTGTCGTTGATGTCGGGGTGGTGTTTGGAGGGACTGGTTTGTGTGAGAAGGGGCAGAGCGTTCTGGTGGACTCGCACTCGCCCTTTGCGTGGTCAGGGCATGGCAGCTTGGCCAGCAAGCCCAGCGGCTTGAACATGTTCAATGGTCCACGCTGCTCTTGGTGGATTCAGTCGTCGACGGAAGACGAGAAGAAGAAAGGAGAGCATGCACGACAAAGTGGAGGGACATGTGCAGTGCAGCTCAAACACAAAAAAATGTGCTTCCAGGCAAGCAGAAATTGTGAATGTGAGAAGATCCCCCTTTCTACTGTCACACTGTCACACAAGTTCATCATTCGCAAAGGTCATGCTACATCATACGAAGGCAAGCAAGATAGCATTGATAGCAAGCCGGTCACAGATCTAAGCCCTAGCGCGCATCTCAATGTTGAAAGTCGTCCAAAGAGCTTGGACGATGGTCATGCCGAACATCCACTTGCCCGTAGCTGGCTGCCACTTCTGCTTGTATGTCTTGCCCATGGGACAGCCCTCGGGGGCCTGTTCGCCCTCCTTCACCTTGATTGTCCTTGCTGGCATCCGCTCGTATCCGTAGTCTTCTCCTGACGCGGTCGTCCTCACACCGGGCAAGTCTCGCTCAACGCTCCCTGCCATCTCGCGAAGATCCAGCACCTTGCCTCCAAACACATTGAGCATCAGACAGCAGCTTCCGGATCCGATCAGACTCTGCACCACATTCGAGCTGTACTGTCGATTGCGCTTGCGCGATTCGGCGCGACGGACGCAGACGGCCTCGGCAAAGTCGCGGTCCGTCATGTCGTCCTTCAACTTGCCGTGCTTGAGGTGGGCGGGGAACCAGCGGTCGATCATGTCCTGGTGGGGGCGCGTCATGGCGGTGCGATCCTGCTTCCAGTCGGCGAGGAAGTAGTCAGGACGCAACAGACTTGCATCGTGTTCGATGATGTTGGCGATGCCGATCGACTCGAGGTCAAAGACGTGACCGCGATCGCTGAACGTGGAGAAGAGCGGAGAGTAGAGCTGCAGTGCCATGGTGGGTGCGATGTTGAAAGCTCGAGAGATGGCCACCACCATCTTGGAGGCAGCCACCTTGCGACCGGATTGGTGGATCAGGCCATGGGTCGCGAGCACGTTGAGACCTGGACAAGGGCATCTGCTGTCCTCGTCTTTCGCAGGGTACGGCTCGGTCCACTCGCCCTTGTGTCCGATTCCCTCCCAGGTGGCCCAGTCACGGATCCAGTCGTTCTTAGGCTTTCGGCAGTACAGCTCGTGATGCAGCCTCTGGTCTTCCTTGTAGTTCGTGAGAAGGTTGTAGAGGTGGATCAGGCGGCAGAAGATGTGCGTCAGCGGCCACTGCGCAAACGGAGGAGGACTGGTAGGCGAGAAAGCAGGAGGCACGCAGTTCTCAGGAAGCGGTTTGATGATCTTGAGCTTGATGAGAAGGCGGTGTACCAGATTGAAGCCCGTCAGCCAGAAGTCGACCAGGAAGATGAAGACGAGCGCAATGTTGACCGTCAGCTGAGGACGGTTCTGCTGCATGAGTTGAGCGGTGAGGCGGATCATGGACGAGTTGGACTTGTGCATGTGATGCGCCTCATCGCGCTGGCCCTTGGCCATCGCCTTCGTCCTTGCCGGAGACATTGTCAAGTGAGTGGGGTGGGGATGATAGAGAAGGGGAGCCTACGACGAAGCGCGGCCGGTAGTATATGTATTCACATCTGTCTGGGCAGCCGACACAGCAGCCGTTCTGTCAGCAAATGTGTGAAACAAGCGCTCTTGTCGGTGCACGCCAGGAGGAAGACCAATGAATGCTAACGCCGGATGTGCCTCAAAGAGTCTCTGGTCACTGTACTGCATTCGTCGAAACAAGCTTGATGCTAGAGCCAACGAACAACGAGGAATTGCACGAGCGCAGGCTGGATTGCAGCCCCGACGCGCGGGCAAGACAGAAGGTGGGGACAAGGTCGCGAAACCCTGCTTTGGACCCTGACCAAGCGAGACTCGTTCCTGCGCCAGCTGAATGCGAACCACGAGGTCCTTGTAGCTGCGCTTTTTGTGCGGCCTTCCATCGCTATACCAAACAGCTGGGCAAGGGAGCCAAGACTCAGAGCACGAGGGATGAATTACAGAACGGCACAAAGGGGCCAATTTGGTGTCTGCCATTCGGGGAGAGCGCGCCGAGAAGCTTCCCGTGGTCACGGTATGGTACGTAGCGAGGTTGAATGATTCAATCTCAGCTCGATAACTTCTAGAAATGCTCGGACGCTCTTGATCCATCCAGTCGTGGCACTCGCGCACTCTACTCGCGACTGCGGCGAGCAGCGACACATCTCAAAGCCTGTGTTTGATAATGCTTGAGGTTGTTGCAATGATACTGGAACAAGTGCAGCCGAATGAGATCGATGATACTGGCGGTTGAGATGGTGGACAGCGACTTGGCCGGAAAGGAACGTAAAAATGACGGAGATGCTCTGTGTTTCTCCCCGGCATGCAGCTCGTATGCAACGCGGGACCTCAAGTCTTGTTTTTGTGGCTTCTTTCGACCGTCGTCCGCTCTCCCTGTCAAGCCTCGCAACAGCCTGGCTGGAGACGTCCCCTTACCCGCTCGCTCAACGGCGCGTAAAGTGGCAGAGTGGAAGCGCTCGGCTATGTTCTCGTTGGCATTGAGCTGGAACAGGACGAAGGCTCGACGTTCGACCCTCTTTGCCCCACATCGCCTCAATGCAGCAATGCTTGCCTATTCGAAGAAAGCTGCATGACTGCAAATGGGTCCGCTGCAAGGAGCTGTGACATGCTTGACGATGGGCGCTTGCTGAGCTCTTTCGACCCTCGCGTATGGACGCAGATCGCTCCGATTGACCAGAGGCACTGCTTCGATTCGCCCATCGATCGGGGCTGCCAAAGACGTCGCAGCGAAGCATACAAGCGTGACTGCCAAAAAGGTGAGTCGGACTGGAGTGACCTGCTTGAACATGGTGAAGGTGATGTGATGTGATGTGTGTGAGGCACTAGAAGCGGTAAGCCAGTGACAAAGGCTTGCTGAGCGTAACAAAGGACAGGCGAGGCCTCGACCTCTTATCCCTGTCATTCGTAGCCTGCCCTCCGCTTTGCAGAGTCATGAGCAGCAAATGAGGCCCACACGCTGCTTCATTACTGTATCTCAGAGCCACTGGCCACCGACAGTCCGTCAGGTGAGAGACAACTTCATTTGATGATGTGGCTCGATAAATTGTGGGTCTGATCACATGCCAAGCCGTACAACACCTGCGCCAATACAGCCCACGCCAAAGACGACCAAAGTCGCGCCCCACAATGGCCTCGCTTTGACCCCACTCGGTAATGGAGAGCGGCGGAAGGTGCCCATGCGATAGGCTTCCACAAATGAGTAAGCGCCGAGGCCTGACATGGCAGCAAAGCCTGTCAATCGACAGGCGAGGCAGTCAGATCCCGGTATGCGTTGAGTTGCCGCCGTGGTCGGAGTCTCGAGCATCGAGCGAACGCGGTACTATGAAGCGACAACAAGAGGAAGGGAAAGAGGGCAAACCCCGGTCAACACAGCCGTTCTCATATCAAGCTGGAGCATCATCCGTCTCAAGCGGTGCGAGAGCGGGTCAATCGAGGTCCAAGCCAGGCCCGAGGAGCGACATTGCGCGGTGTTCGTGCAACATACTCGCGTCGACGAGCTCTCTGCGCTGCAGAGGACTCGCAATCCGAGCTGGACCGTATGTCACTCCACGTTTGGCCCGATGCCGACCCGTTCTCGCTTGCGGGAAGCTTGCGATTTTAGACAGCTTTGTATTGGATCGCCCGACTGTAGCACAGGTAGGCGGATGCTGACGGTCGATGCTTCGGACCGTATCTAGACTCTGCGCACCTTGTCCTCGAGCTTCTTGGCCTCAGCCTTGGCCGAGTCGAGAGCCTGCTGGCCCTTCTGTTCCGCCTTTTCAACCACGCGAGCGCTCTTGTCCTGCGCCTTGTCGAGACCTTCGGAAGCTTGCGTCTTGGCAGCAGAGAAGGCTTCACCCGCCTTTTGTTGGATCTTTTCGAAAGTAGTCTGGGGTGCCGAGCTGGTGGCCGAAACCGAGGTGGTGGAAGAGGATGGAACGACGCGGACGCCTGGCACGGCGACAGGGTTGAACGAGCGCTCGCAATCAGTGTATGCGGAACCAAGACCGAAGCCGGTGCCGAGCCATACTGGGAAGGCTCGTCCTGTTGACGGCGTGAGAAGTATGGAGGAATAGGGTGAGCAAAGGACTCAGTCGGTTTTCGAGGCGTCGCGCTACACTTACGTCGGAAGAGGAGGACAGAAAGGACGACACCGGCAGAGAATCCGATACCGGTCTTGACTACTGCATTGCTGATGCAAAGGTCAGTCTGTCGACATCGCAGAAGTAGGCGCGAAGTAGAGGAAACGTCAGCTCGTCTGTGCTTCTATTGTTCGTAGTTCGTGAACCGCTGCGGGCTCACCTTCTGCGAGATGATGTCCTCGGACGACACCTTGGTGCTGGACGCGGAGGCCTTTTGTGACGCCATTGTTGCTGCCTACGACGTTTGTTAGAAGCGATTGGTGGTGGATCAAGAAGAGACTGAAGTGGATGAGCCGTGCGGTGTCGAGACCAATCTCAGTTCTTCCAGCGACTCTTTCCGAAAAGCAGCGCAGCGCCGCGCCCGACTGCGATCAGCCCAGCCAACTAGCCAGCCAAAACCTCCACTCGATTGTCGGCCGACACGATGACACGCGTCGGATTTTCGCATCCATTCAGGCTGTTAAAGTCCTTTTCTCGCTGCTCGCTGTCCAACTCGGCATTGGTGTCTTGGCTCGACCGAGCTGGGACCGGACATGCAAAGCCCCTCGAACATCGGTCAATTCCGAGCTGACGAGCAGGACAGATGGCTGTCTCGGTAGGGGCTCGGTCGCCATCTTGAGCATGTGCAGCGCAGGCCCCCGCAGGTCCTCCTCCCTCGGCAACAAACAGCCTCAAGATTGTGGGGCCGGATCAAAGCTTGCCGTTGCTTGCGCACGGCCTTGATAACCGAATACATATACCTTGCAACAAGAACCACCATCGCCCCACACTTTTCGCTGACTACATCACTTCCATCACAACAGCCCGCCGCTACGACATTGAGCGAAATGTCGGCGAAAGACGCGCGCACTTTCTGGTTCCGCGATGCTGTTGTCTATCAGATCTGGCCTGCATCGTACAAAGACAGCAACAACGATGGGATCGGGGACATCCAGGGAATCATCTCGACGCTCGACTATGTCAAGAGCCTCGGCGTGAACACGATCTGGCTGTCGCCCATGTATGACTCGCCTCAGGTCGATATGGGCTACGATATCTCGGACTATCAAAACGTGTATCCGCCATACGGCACGCTTCAGGATATGGAAGAGCTGATTCGCGAATGTCTCGCGCGTGGCATCAAGCTGATCCTAGACCTCGTCATCAATCATACTTCCGACCAGCACGCTTGGTTTCAGGAATCGAAGAAGAACAAGGACAATCCGAAAAGGGACTGGTACATCTGGCGTCCTGCCAAGTACGATGCAGAGACGGGCGAACGCATCCCACCGAACAACTGGAGGGGTGCACTGAACCAGTCTGCTTGGACGTGGGACGAGGCAACACAAGAGTACTACCTGCACTTGTTCACGCCGCAGCAACCGGATCTGAACTGGACCAACGACGAGTGCAGACGCACTCTGTACACCGACACGATCGAATTCTGGCTCAAGAAGGGAATCAATGGGTTCCGCGTTGACACGGTCAACCTGTACAGCAAGCCGATGGACTTCCCTGATGCTCCCATCACGGATCCGGATGCCAAGTGGCAGATCGGCGACAGTGTCTTCTGCAACGGACCAAGAATGCACGAGTATCTGCAAGAGATGGGTGCCATCTTTGCCAAATACGACGCAATGACGGTCGGCGAGCTTCCTGCAACGCCAAACGTCGAGGATGTGATCCGCTATATCTCAGCAGAACGCAGCGAGCTGAGCGAGATCTTCCAGTTTGACATCTCGATCCTGGGACGAAGCGCGGCCGACTTCTATGCAACACACCCTTACACGCTGAAAGAGCTGAAAGAGGTGGTCGAGAGGTGGCAACGCTTTGTCGAGGGAACGGATGCTTGGCCGACGGTGTTCCTGGAGAATCACGATCTGCCGAGAGCGATCAGCAAGTACGCTTCGGACAAGCCCGAGCACATCGCAGCAAGCGGCAAGATGCTTGCGCTCATGGAGACCGGGCTGACAGGAACGCTGTACCTGTATCAAGGACAGGAGATCGGCATGACAAATGTGCCGACGACGTGGAGTCACGAGGAGTACAAGGATGTGATTGCCATCAACTACTATCGGGATGCAGCGACACGCTCAAGCAACGATCCGACCGTTCTGAAGAAGACGCTTGAAGACATCAACAGGCAGGGGAGAGACAATGCCCGCACGCCGATGCAGTGGACCGCGGCTTCCAATGGTGGATTCAGCACGGATGCGAGCACGGTGCCATGGATGAGAGCCAACGACAATTATACGAGCATCAACGTGGCTGCCCAGGAGGACGATGAGGAATCGGTGCTAGCATTCTACCGCAAGGCACTAGCGGTGAGAAAGCAGTATGCCTCGTTGCTGGGCAGGGGCGAGTTCAGGCTGTTGGAAAGGGACGATCAACAAGTGTTCAAATATGTCAAGATTGCAGAAGGCGGGAAGGACGGTGATGCTGGAGCGAGGGCTTTCGCTGTGCTCAACTTTTCCGACATGCCTCAAGAGTATCAAGTGCCAGAAGAAGCGGGGGGCAGCAAAGCCAGGGTGCTTCTCGGCTCGCTAGAGGACGGGCAGCCAGGCAAGCTGCGAGCGTGGGAAGGGAGGATGTACGTCTACGAGCCTTAGAAGTCTCTCTCGTGGCAGAACGCAGGAACGACATCGCGTGCTTTGGCTCATCGCGCGCGACCGGTCAAGCATGTCAAACTGAACTTCCGAGATTTCTTCTCAAGCGGTGGCGGCAATTCCACCTGTCAAAAAATCGTTTTCTTCTTGACGAAAATCACGTCAAAAAATCAATTTGGAAGCCAGCCCGTCGGCCAACTTCCCGATGGTCCCGCCGCCGCTCTTTTCGCCGTTTCGGGTTTGGCTTTTGGCTCTGCCGATTCCTGAGCCATCCTTTGTCAACCTCTTTTCTTGGGTTGTTCACACGCCGCTTGCCTCTGTGGCATCGAGCCAATCGTAGTCAGCCGTGTTGATGCGCAGCAATGTTTGACAGCCTCGCCCTGCAGGATCTCGCATCAATCGAGCACGCCATCGACCTGAGCGTTGACGAAAGTCGATCCCACCACCCTTTTTTTCCGTTTGCTGCCATCAAACCTTAGCATGTGTGACGGAGAGCCACATGGCTAAAGCGATGGCACCTCGCACCAAGACTATTTATCAACGCCTTCCTGAACTCTCCCCTCTTCGCACGACCACCATCTAGCCCGCTGAGATCCCACACGCTCTGAGAGCTGTCCTCAACATGTCGAACAGCATCGACAACCCAAGTCACGACATTGTTGTCGACCAGACTCCTGCTGCTCGACCGCAAATGGCCGCCAACTTCTCCGATATCTCCACCAAGACGGACAAGCATGACGGCGATTCGTCGCTCTCAAAGATCGAGTCCAAGACTACTGCTACCGACTACGGCTCGGCCCACCCGCCCATTTCCGATGCCGCTCTCCAGCAAGTCCGTTTGCGCCGTGCATTGGGCGAGCGCACCATCCAGATGATCGCTCTTGCAGGCACCATCGGCACTGGTCTCTTTCTCGGTTCAGGCAGGGCACTCGCAAAGGCCGGTCCTCTTTCCATCCTCATCTCGTACTCGATCGTCGGCGCCATCGTATACCTCACCATGATCGCCCTGGGTGAGATGTCGACCCTCATTCCAGCTTCGGGTGCCTTCGGTGTCTTCAGCACCCGATTCGTCGACCCGGCATTCGGCTTCTCGGTCAATCTCAACTACGCCATCAACGATGCCGTCAGCGTGGCTGGCGACTTGACCGCTTGCCAGATTCTCCTTCAGTTCTGGGTCTCGAACGATGTCTTCCCCGGCTGGGCTCTCTCGCTCATCTTCCTCACTTTCCTCATCTCGGTCAACGTCATCTCGGTTCGTGGCTACGCCGAGCTCGAGTATCTCCTCTCGCTCCTCAAGATCTGCACCATCATTATCTTCATCATCTGCGGTATCATCGTTAACGCTGGTGTCAACGACACCAACTCGTACCTCGGTTTCAAGTACTGGACCATCGGTGACGCTCCCTTCGTCAACGGCTTCCCCGGCTGGGTCTCGTCCTTTGTCACCGCTGCATTCGCCTTTGGCGGTGTCGAGTCGCTCACCGTCACCGCTGGAGAGACGCGCAATCCCGCCAAGACCATCCCCAAGACCATTCGCAATGTCTTCTGGCGTATCATCATCTTTTATGTCCTCGCCCTCTTCATCATCGGTATCGACATCCCCTACAACACCCCTGGTCTCAAGACCAAGAATGCCGCCACTTCGCCTTTCACGCTTGTTTTCCAGCAGCTCGGCTCGAACGTGGCCGCTAGCTTTATGAATGCCGTCGTCATGACTTCAGCTCTCTCCGCAGGTAACCACGCTCTCTACGCAGGAACTCGTGTGCTCTACGGTATGGCTGTCAATGGTCAGGCGCCCAAGATCTTCGCCACCGTGTCCAAGAGCAGCCGTGTTCCGTGGGTCGCCCTCGCCTGCATTGCCAGCGTTTCTGGTCTCTGCTTCGGCTCCAGCTATATCGGCGCCGGTGACCTCTGGAACTGGCTCCAGAACCTCGTCGGTGTCAGCAATCAGGTCGCCTGGGCCTCCATTGGCTTCTCCTCAATTCGCTTCCACAAGGCCATCAAGAAGCAAGGCAAGGAGTCGCTGCTCGTCTACAAGAACTGGACCCAGCCTTGGGGCCCCTACGTCGTCGTCATTGGCTCTGTGCTCATGATCCTCGTCCAGGGCTGGACCGCCTTCACGCCCTTCAGCGTCTCCGACTTCTTCTCGTACTATATCGAGATCGGATTCTTCGCAGTCGCCTATCTCGGATGGAAGCTGTGGAACAAGACCAAGATGGTGCCCATCGAGGAGATGGATCTCTACACCGACACGTTGCAGTACGAGAAGGACCTCAGGAGGAAGCGCCGCGACCTCATCAAGGAGGGCGCTGGCGACAAGCTGCCCGTGCTGCTCGAAGACGAAGAAGAGCAGGAGGAGGAAGAACGAGAGGAGGCGCACCAGGAGGAGGTGCAAGTCGACAAGAAGCAAAAGTACAAGGCCATCGCTGGCAGGGCTTCTCAGTACCTCTGCTTCTAAGTTACACTCGAAACGACGGGCTCACTTGACTTCGTTCTAAAATTTTGTACATTGAGGGTGGCCTACATCTACTCTATGAACAGCAACATCGTAATGGGATATTCGCACGCTTCACTTGCTTCCAAAGAACGTTCCAGGCTGGTTCCACCTCTTCTGTGCCTCTTCGCCGCTCTCGAGATCCGGCAGCTGAGAAGTGGCCCCGTCCGAGACTGGGTCGACCTTCGAGTCAGTGCCAGCATTCGACGAGACGTCGTCGTCCACCGCCGCTGGCACCTCGTCCTCCATCTCTGCTGGCAGCACAGCGTTGAGCAGGATGGCAAGCACACTGGAGATCAAGTACGGCTCCTCGACGATCAACACGATCGCCTGAATCAAGCCCTTGAGGCCGGCGTTCGACCCCTTGTACGTGAAAAAGTACGAGAACCAGCTGGGCACGGTCAAGCTGGCCAGTCCGAGACTCATGCCCGCGGTAGCAATGAAGCGTGCTCGTCGATCCCATTTGGCGTACGCCATGATGCGGATACCTGCTACGGCGACCGAGCCAAACAGGAAGGTGGTGAATCCGCCGAGGACGCTCGATGGCATGGCGACAAAGAGCGACGAGAACTTGCCGATGACGCCCATGAGGAAGAGGATTGCAGCGCATACGAAACCTGCGGTACGAGACGCGTTGCGCGTGAGCGAGATGACACCGGAGTTCTGCGAGAACGTAGTGAGAGGCGGAACCATGGCGAGACCAGCGAGCGTGGCAGAGATCGAGTCGGCCAGCATACCGCCCTGAATGCGCGACTCGAACTCGGTACCGTCCATCGGCAGGCGGGACGCATCGCACGAAGCAGTCACGTTACCCACCGTCTCGGCGACAATGACGATGTACGCTGCGAGCAGCGGCAGGATCAGCTCCGGCTTGATGCTCAGCGGGTAGGTCTTGGTCCACAGGAACGAACCCGTAGGAGCTTTGGCGATGGTGGCAGAGTTAAAGTAGCCAGTGGCTGCTGCGACGATCATGCCCACCACGAGACCGACAAAGACCGATGCGGACTTGAGGAACGGACTGCCGAAGATCTCGCACAGGATGATGGTGGCGAACGAGACGAAGCCGAGTCCGATGAGAGGGGCTGAGCCCCAGTACTGAGTTCGGCTGCCGATGGTGCACTTGATAGCATGGTTGGTGGCGCAAGGACCAGAGCCGCCGGCCCAGTTCGTGATGCCCGACTTGACGAGCGAGGCACCGATGAGGGTCAACATCATACCAACGATGAGGGGAGGGAAGAGCTTGCGGATAGCCTTGGGAGGGATGAACGCCATAAAGATGGCAATGATACCACACAAGCAGCACGTGCCCAAGAACGCACCAATGCCCTGTGGACAAGGCAGCTTGACTCCGTTGGCGCCCACGGGGCAGTAGCCATTGGCATAGCTCTGGCTGAAGAAGGAAAGTGCGATCGAGATGGTTGCGAAACTAGCGCCGGTGACGCTGACAATACCGGTGCCGAGGTAGTACTTTGTCTTGAAGAGACGGCTGCGAGAGACTTGCAGAGCTGTGCCGAACGCACACCAGATCAGGGTGGAAGCGATGAGGAACTGCGTGTCGCTCTGTCCCAGGTTGGCGCCTGCACTACCGCCGATGAGGAGAGGAGGAGTCACCACACCACCAACCATGGCCAATGAATGCTGTAGCCCCAAAACGATAGCAAGGAAGATTGGCAGCTTTGCGTCGACCGAGTAGAAGGGCAGGCTGTTTGCTGAGGGCTTGCAGACGAAAGGAATCGTTGGCGTGAACAGGGCGACGTAATTGTGGTCCCCAAACCATGCTTTCTTGGTGCCGAGCGCTCGAACTCCTCGTTTTACCTTGCCGATGAGGGAACGAGAAGGCGAGGCGGGAAGGGAGGCGAGGCTGCCCTCCTCGACCGTGATCGAAGGCTTGTTCTCCATTGTCGGTCGGACTCAGGCCGTAAGCGGAGCGAGAAAAGATGTTGCGGTGTGGTTGGAGGGTGGAGAATGCATTTCTTCTTCTTCAAGAAGTCGTTTGTTATATACATCGATGGGCTTTGTTTCTATCAGGTTGATAGCTATAGCTATCGGCGGTAAGATAGAGGAGCATGTAGGTGCGTGTAGCCACATGGTCGGCTGCATGTCTCGCTTGTCGGCTACAGTAGCGAGATTGTGCGGCTCGCACGAGCGTGCCTGACAGTCTTCGTGTACATTAGCGCGGAGGAGCGTGTCGCTGGTGTCCCCGCAATGGACAGCCTCGGAGAAGACCGAGAGCGCCTTGCGCTATGCTCGTGCTCGACGAGGCCTTTTGTATAATCTCGAATGTCTTTCGCTGTGATACAGTGCAAGCATGCCAGGCAGACCATAGTGCTAGCGGAGCGAGGGGCCATTGTGGTCCCTTCCTTATCAGCGGAGGAGCCACGAGACCGAGAGGTCGAGACCACGCTGATGGAGAGGGCCTTGCAGCTGAACACCTCGGTAGAACCTCGAAGATTGCCAAGACTCGCGGCTATCTGTGAAATGAAATGGCGCGGGAGCCTGTCAGAATTTGCCCTGCTGATAAGCGCCCGCAGGTTGAGAGGCCACATGGCAAACTCGGCCGTGCCTGACAGGAACCGCGTTATCTTTGCCGCTCAAGGGTCCGCGCCCGCGGTATTTCCTGCAACGGCCGGGTTTGCGCTCCTTCCGAGCCTCGGGTCCGCGAGTGAGTACGACAGCTGCTCCCCCACGCTGAGGAAGCAGACGATGCATATCGCGCCTTTGGAGGTGCGAGAGAACTCGGCCGTGCCGCTCGGCCATGTCCGTCTGCGGTGAGAGCTCACTAAAACTTAGCTGTCACGCACGGGTCAGGCATGAGTCGTTCGACAAAGTTCATTCATCATTAAAGCAGGGATGACTGCTCGACGCTGTCGGCTACAGCTCGATGTGAAGGGGGGTCTGAGGCGTGGGCGCAGCACCCATGCGATGGTCCTCGACGTGCGTCAGGTGTACTAGCTTTTGCCAATCAGGCAATGGCTCGCAGGTCCTGACCCGAGAATTGCCGACTTGCTGCCTTTGACAGCCCGTTGCTGCGAAGATCGTCGAAGGATATGTCAGCTTTCAGAGCCCATCCTGATCCAAAGCTGAGTGAAGGAATAAACTCACGGCACGGAGCAGTCTCGTTGAACTGGTGCTTGAAAAGCTGGTCAGTCTCGTCCGTCAGAACGTTTCCAAGCCTGCAAGATAAAACATGTGATCGCCGTCAGAAACGTGAGAGACGGTATCATGGTTAACATCGCCACTTACATCAAGGTAGCATGGCCAAATGAATAGCTCTTCTCAAGCACCAGATTAGAAGGGATGTAGATCTGGTTGCGACCGTCTGTAATGCGAAGAAGAACTCGTCAGCGATGGCAAGCTTGGTCGTCGCGGCCTTCTGCTTCTTGACTTACTCTCGGCGATAGTCCTGACGCTGGTTCCATAAATGACCTCTTTGAAGCCGGACCATCGAATGGCGCTGAGGCACATCGTGCACGGCTCGGCGTTTGTGTACAAGCTAAAGTCTTTCCATGCTGCCAGAATCTGTTGCGGCGAGAGGCCCTTCTTTTGCAGAACGTTCGTGCAGTGCTGAATGGCTGTGATCTCACCATGCTGTGTTGGATCACCTGTTGATCCGACACGATTCGCAATCGCGCAGATGAGCTCGTTCGCGGTTGTATTGACGATGGCGGTTCCGAATGGCGCCTGTGGGCAGGGGTGAGACACTGGTGGGTAGTAGATCGCAGAGTTGGCGAGGCGCATCCAGTGATCGCGATCCGCAGCAGGAACAGAATTGATCGAGAGTCCGGAATGAAATTCGGGATGAATGTCCTCCCTGCAGCCCGCTGCTTGTGTGGCCGCGAGCAAAGCAAGCGCAAATGTCGTGACGAGCATCTTGAATTTGCAGAGGCTGGTCATGGTGGTGGTCATGAAGCTCGTTCTCTTCAGGAAGACTTTAAGGAGCAGAGGACCTGATCCTGCCCGTTTCGGAACAGAGATTGACCTCCGGAGATCGACGACGAAGACGCAGCCGTAGCAAAGCTGGAAGGTCGGACGACTACAGCTAGCAACTGGACCCTGAACGCACAGCGTAGTCTTGACGAGAAGTTTGACGTGCATATGCGCGTCTTCTGAAGATAACGGCGCCGCGGGAAGTCCGCGCCTGGCAAGCCTTGATTTATCCATTGATATGTTGACGATTGCTTCGGACCTCACACAACAATTTGACGCCGCACTGGAAGCATGGAGTCGTGTATCACACTCTCGGATATCGCCGACCGCCTCAGCGTCTCATCACTCTGCTGTAACGTACGTCTGTGAGGCGAGCGAGCCAGCCAGCCAGGAGGATATAAATCGGCCCCCGGGTAACCAGCGTAGACCCGTCTCCCATCAAGTCCTCGACACAACCAAAGTCAACAAGACCAAGCTCAAGACATTCATCATGACGATCGCTTTTGAGACCGACGACCAGACCTCGGTGCCCTGCATCTCGCTGCACGACTTTGAGCAGCGTCGAGCCGAGATTATCGACGAGCTTATGGATGCAAGCACCCGCATCGGCTTCTTGTAAGTGTACCTTCCAGTCGTCTTCCCGTCAATAGGCAGCACGCTGATCAGTTTCATCTTGTACTAATCAGCACGCTCTGCAACCATGGAATTCCGGCGGAGCAGATTCGGGACGCTTTCGCACTCTCGCAGGAGTTCTTCGCTCTTCCAGACGACGTGAAAGCTAAGACGCCGCTCAATGGCAAAAACATGGGCTGGGAGAAGGGAGCTCAGATCCGACCTTCCACCGGCACTGCTGATCAAAAGGAGTCGATGCAGCTGCAGTTTGCTCGTATGGAGGGCATCTGGCCATCTGACGAGGACCTTGCTGGCTTCCGCAAGCGAGCTGAAGCCTTCATGGCTGCAGTCCAACAGCTCAGCGTCAAGGTCATGGAATGCTTTGCCGAAGGCCTTGGTCTGCCGCTTTCGACATTCACAGAGGGTACAGTTGATCCGGGTGTCGGTGACTCTCAGTCGACTCTCCGTCTGCTGCACTACCACAGCGTGGAAGGCAAAGAGTTCGGCGACAAGTTCTGGCGAGCAGGCAGCCATGCCGACTTTGACGTGCTCACCATGCTTTTTCAACGCGACGGAGAGGGTGGCCTGGAGGTTTGCCCGGGCCGAGAGGTAGTAGGCGATTTCGGCCACGGCAACGTCTGGAAGAATGTCGAAGCGAGGAGCGACAGGATCGTATGCAATATCGGAGACCAGCTGATGAGATGGTCTGACGACCGGCTCAAGTCCACATTTCACAGGGTCAGGCTACCAAAGCAAGGCGAACCAAGGGGCCCGCGATACTCGATCGCCTTCTTCAACCAGGCACGCAGCGACATTGTGATTCAAGGGCCTGGCAAGAAATACCCGCCTATCACGGGCGCCGAGTTCATCAAACAGGCCCTGGAAAGGAACAAACTTGGCATCGCCGCAGGCAGCTTGCCTACTGCCCCATCAAAAAAGGGGGAGTTGGCCGCAGCCTCTGCTTCCGCTTCCGTGGCCGTCAACTGAGCGATCAGCTGCTACGTAGCCTTGAATGTTCTGTCTTTCTCTGATTCGGTAGTGGCATTTTGATTGCAGATTCTCCTTGTGTGAAAGTGCGTGACGACAGGCAAGCTAGCAGTTTCACCAATCGTCGTCAGATCCCTCTTCGTCAGAGTCACCCATGTTCTCCTTGCGCTGACTGAGAGCCGCAGCAAGAGCACTGGCGAGATCGCCATCACCTCCACCGGCGTCAGGCGAGTCGGCACCCGATGCAACAGCGGCAGCTCCGGCACCAACAGCAGCACCAGCAACACCGCCAGCGACCGCAGCCCTGCCTGGCGCAGGAGGGGCAGAGGCATCCGTCCGTTTGAGATTGTGCACGCTCTTACCTTGAATGGATGCAAGCAGCGCATTGCGGCCATCCTGAGGTGGCGGCAGAGGCGCCGAACTGCCTGCGGGAGGGGGCGGGGGAGGGGGAGGTGGGCCACCACTACCACCCATAGGCGGTGGAGGTGGCGGAGGCGGAGGGGCGGCGCCGCCTGCTGCGGGCCGCATGGGCGGAGGCGGTGGGGGCGGTGGTGCGCTGGATCCAGCTGGAGCGCGCGAGGGTGGCGGAGGGGGCGGAGGTGGAACAGCTGCAGCTCCCGCACCTGAGCGAGGAGGCGGTGGTGGTGGTGGCGGGGCAACTGATGATGCCGAGGCGGTGGACGCTGTAGCAGCGTGGCGGGACCGGGGTGCGGGAGGAGGGGGCGGCGCCTTGCGCTTGCTGGTCGGGGCGGGAGGCGGGACTTTCTTTGCTTTTGGAGCCGCAGGAGCGGCTGGCTTGGCAGCAGCGCCTGGACCGCCTCGCTTGCCGACAAAGTCTTTGATGAAGCTCTCGTTCTGACGAATGTCCTTTTCGCTGATTCCGAGACTGCCGAGCTGCTCCAAGAGCGCTTGCCAAGTTGGGTCGACGTTCTCCGAGCTGAAGCCGTGCTCCGCCGAGAAGCCCATGTGAGCTACATGCTTGAAGCCTGAGGGCGCGCCGATCATCGACTTGTCGATCTTTCCACTCGAGCTGGCCTTCTTCTTCTTGGAACTGGAAGAGCTAGATTTGGATTTGGCATACTTGGAGCGATTGTTAACTTTCTTGAAGAGGTCGCTCGCCTCGCTCTCGTCTGCAAAGGAGAAGCCGATCAAGCACTCATCGCCTTCGAATGAGTGGAAGAAGGTGCGGTCTTGGTTGTACTGAAAGCCCTCGTAAAACTCGTGCTCCCAGATGACGCCGCGGGTGCCTTTGAGATCGACCACCTTGAAGTAAAAGGTGGCTTTGACGAGGTCACGAACAAAGACGATGGCACCCTCAACACCTGCGTAACTCCATTGTGATGGAGCTGGATGAGCGGCATAGACGCGACCGACGGTAGCCATGATGATCTTGTTGCTGGAAGAAGGGATGGCCGACTTGACCTTGGACTTGTCCGAAGACGAGATGGTGGACGAGGAGGGCATGGCTCACGAATGGCGGTAGTGCTTCTCTCCCGTCCAGCGAGCGATGACGATGTAGGTGGTGAGGGGGATCAGCAGAGGTAGAAAGAAGATGCAGCTGTAGGGAAAGCGAAGATAGATGGGACCTTTCGATGCTCCGTCGGAGTCCGCTGGAATGAAGAGCGGGATCACGCCGATGAACAAGAGCAGCAGGCTGAACGAGACCAGGATAGAGCTGTCCCGCAAGAGTGTTCTTGGGTCGTCAGATGTGATATCGGCGACCCGCGTCGGATTGATCGAGAAAGAGTGTTGCCTTGTTCGTTGCTTGTCCTTTGTGTCCATTCGTTGGGATCTCTCCAGCCAGGTGGAGGTGAGCAGAAACGTCGTGTGCGGAAGCTCTCTCCTACGCTACGCTTGAGCCGCGAGCGAATAAGGCAAGCCGGCAAGGACGCTGTTCTCTGTAGATCGTGGATGGAAAGCAAGGTGATCTGGAGAGTGCCGAGCAGATGGTGGAAGGATGGTAGAAATGCCGGCGACTGCATCAATTCGATGCGTGTGCGTTCAAAGCTTGGGCCATCCTGCACTGCCTTTCTCGATTGCATCACACTACTCTGCCAGACTGAGCCCTTTTTCTGCGGTAAATCGGGATAAATCTCAAGAGTGTCTGTGTGGAGTTGTCGGCTCACACCTCTGAGGAGTAACAAATCGCAAGCATCAGAATCACACTCAGATCATCACCACTGCCTTCACCACCACACTCTCATCGACCATCATCCCGACCGTTCCGCATCGACGCTTCATTGCGCAAGCTCCCTCTCACCGATCGTCCCCAGGCGACTTCTCGAGACCCTCATTGCTGCGACTGTTTTCTCTCGACGTTCTCGATCAGATTCGCACTTCCATCTCGTCACAAGTGGTTTCGCTCCGAGCATTTCAGAAGCCATGTCGCTCCCCAAACGCATTATCAAGGTGAGTAGCATCATTATCGATACATCACCAAGGCCTCTTGACGCTGAATTATGTTCCTTCGACAACAATTTGGCCGTATGCAACACGTATTGATTGCCTTCGCCCAAACTCCCTGCAGGAGACCGAGAGGCTTATCGCCGATCCAGCGCCTGGTATCAGCGCGACGCCCCACGAAGACAACTTGAGGTACTTTGACGTCGTCATTTCGGGTCCGTCGCAGAGCCCTTTCGAAGGCGGTGTCTTCCGTCTCGAGCTCTTCCTTCCCGAGGAGTACCCCATGTCGGCGCCAAAGGTCCGCTTCCTCACCAAGATCTACCACCCAAACATCGACAAGCTTGGCCGCATCTGTCTGGACATCCTCAAGGACAAGTGGTCTCCTGCTCTTCAAATTCGCACCGTCTTGCTCTCAGTCCAGGCGTTGCTGTCCGCACCAAACCCGGACGATCCGCTTGCTAACGACGTGGCTGAGCACTACAAGAAGGACGAGAAAGGGTAAGTCGCTCCTTTACACGCTGCCTCCAGCGAGAATCGTTCAAGAGCAGCCAGCTGACATTGAAGTTCGCTCCTGAATTGTATTTCGCTTGCAGAGCCATCGAGGTCAGCAGACAGTGGACAGCGTTGTATGCCAAATGATCTGCTTCATTCAAAGTCATGTGATTGAGCGATCACCTACAGCATCAGTGGGCAAGCAAAGACAATTCTACGTTACCGAGCCATAACAGTCCGACTGAGCGTGCCCATTGAGCCTGCCTGCTTCATCAGGTTTGGATCATGCTGACGATATCCTCGAACTTGGTTCGCGAGATCTGCAAACCGCCGCTTCCCTCCATCTCGGGCACGATCGGGTCCTCGTCCGTGCCGTCCAGCATCTCGCGTGCGGGATCATTCGCATCGTTCTCCAACAAGGGCAGCCGAATCGAGCCCCCGTTTCGCGCCTTCCTGCTTTCGTAGAACGCAATCCACATCAGAGGTGCCGCGAACAGTACCGACTGCACCGAGTGATTAATCCTGGCGTAGGTTTCGTGCGACACCACCCACTCGAGGGGCGCAATCACAAAGGCTTCCAGCAGGTTGAAAGGTGGCAGGTAGACGAACTGGTCAGGCGCCCTGACCATGGAAACTACCTTCTGGCAGAAGAAAGCTGCGTACACCTCGTCTGCTGAGTCGACCACGTCGCTGTACGCCGTGCCGAAGAAGGCGATCAGGATGTTGAGCAGGATCACCGCAGTGACAAAGCAGTACGCGTAGTACAGGATGTGCCCATACGGATAGCCGAATGCGTCCTCGCTCGTCAGATCAAAGTCGGCGCCGCCCAACACGGACTGTGTTAGCAAGTCTACGATCTTGACCACAACATTGTCGACTCGAGACTCGTCGGCGGCATCAAGCGCCAAAAAGGCGTGACCAAAGCCGACCATGACCAAAGCCAGCAGCGTGAAGAAGATGGCACTCTCCTTGAACATGCGAAGGATGATGACCGTCAATGTGCCAAAGTAGACGAATCCGTCGAACACCTTGAGGAGCTGCACCCAGATGAGCGGAGCCACGCAGGCCAAGAACTGGAACGCTCGCAGCTCGTACGACTCTGCCCTCTTGCCGTGAGCCACAAAGCTGGCCACGCGGAAGCAGAAGGAGACCAGCAGCAATCCATCGGTGAAAGCGTCGATGATGGTCCAGAACTCGATGGCGCCCACTCCACCCATCTTGAACACGCGCGTTGCGTCCTCGAAGAGGTAGCCCGCCGCCATGACCCAAAGGATGCCTTCGAACAGATCGAACTCCTTGAGCGTCCTCGTTTGCACAGTGAAGATGGCGAGGAAGAAGATCCACAGGATGATGTTGGTGATGTACGAGTATTTGGGCACGCCCAGGCGCGAAGGGTGGAAGTGCGACAAGAATGCGCCGTCTTCCTTTCTGTCGTAAGGGACAAAGTAGGTGTAGCCTTGCGGAGAATACCTCTGTACGAGGGACCCGTCCCAGATGGCTTGCGTAGCCCTTCTTGCCTCGATCGATGCTAGCACTGGCACGCAGTTCTGATCGATGGCCGCTTCCAGCGCTGAAGTCGGGATGGCGACGTCGCCATCGCTCTCGTAGCGTCGGAACTTCTTCGTCAGGCACATGTGGTAGCTTCCTGCGCTTTTCGAGCCTTTCTCGTAGGTGCTTCTCTCGATGTGTGCGACGAGACGTTGAACCAAGACTTCGCAAGCCACCATTCTTTTTCGGTTGAGACCATGATCCAGCGGCTGTTTCTCAGCATCCCGTTCGAATGATTTGCGTGCCTCCATCAGCGCGTACGGTACAGCATCTCCGAAGTCGCCTCCGAGCTCGTGAAATGCTGAGACAACCTTGACATCGATCAAGCCCTCCGAGCTTGTGATTCGTTCCTCGTCGATGTCGCGATCAATGAGTCGCGTAACCAGCGACCTGGTTCGGCGGATTAGGGCCGAGATGATGGCAGGATGCACGTCAAGTGCGGCGTCCAGCTGCCGCAGAGGCTCGTGAGAATCTGTTGATGCCATCATGCACGAGCGAATGCTCTCTCGCTGCGCTGCAGTCGTAGTAGGCTCGGTGGATGATGGACGCTGTAAGTCGACAGAATGTGTGGTTGGTATCGCTGATTGATCGTTGCACAGACCAAATCGGATCTTCGGAAAGTCACATGCCTCACTTGGTAGACCCTTTCTCGCTTTCTTCTTCTTGACCTTTTTTTCCGGGTGGAGGCTCGTTGGGATCACCCGACTTGGCTCGGCCTTCTCGACCGATGCAGTTTGCCCACGCTGCCTTAAGCACAAGCGTCTCGTTAGCATGGTTTAGACTTGGCGCCTAAGCTATAGCGTGGCTTCGGCAATCCATGGTACGCTCTTGTCTGTCTAGAGTGCAGCAGGCGCACTGTGAGTCTGCTCGTGAACGTACAAGCGCAACTAACTTATGGCAAAATGTGTCGAGCGTGGAGGCTCCTCGTGCAAGTCCGCGTCTTCAACCCCAGATCCGAGCGGTCTGGAGCCGTTTCTAAGACCACAGAAGGGTGGCCCCTTGCCTTCTCTTCGCATTGGTGCTCGTGGGGGTCGTCGTTACTATGCACCCGTGTCGACGAGGCTGATGTTGTTCTGACGAGCAACGTGCCGCCGAGCTACCCTCTCGAGCTGCACGATCTGAGCAAAGCAATCAATCGGATGACGGACTGCAAATGAACAACATGCTGGCTGCTCTCGACTGATCACAGAGCTCATTGCTCGCCAAATGACCGAAAAAAGCACGAATCTCGACACAAGTCACAGCCAAATGTTGCTGGCCACATTTGGCATCGCCGAATTTTATGACGATGTTTTCCTTTGTAGCAAAGCGTACAGTCATTAGGCTCCGCTCTGAACGAAATATTCGTTGACAAAATGACCGAAACGGTGAAAATTCGAGGCTGTTTGCGCAAACAATAATCCAGTCAACGTCAACTTTTTCTGACTTGACTCTTGTCTGTGAACAAAATGATGCATAACTTATCCTGAAAAGACCAAGGCATTTTTTTCCGACGCTCCAACAAAATCGAGAGAGCTGGCGAGAGCAACTCGACGAAAGCAACCGGCCCCCTACCAAAAACATGATTGCTGCCCTTCAATCCGACTTCAGTTGATAACTTGCCCAACGGCGCGTCAAGTCATCACTGAATCGGCGAAGACACATAGATTCTTAGAACTCGATGACAAAAAATATCACAATCTGGACTCTCACGGCATTGCCCTCCTAATCTGAGCCAAATGACTGCTGAAGTATCGCATCGACCTGGATAGTTGAGTGCAAGCATGGTTGTTGCATTGAGCGGTATAACACCCGAGCTCCGGCCAATCAGCGAGCATACCCCACACCGTCACTGATAAGGCTTGATAGATAAGGAAGGCGCACCCGAGACATTCATGGCGGGAAGAACTCGGCTGAGAAAGCGATACCCGCTTCTTCACCATCATCACCAACAACACCACCATCCCAGTCTCGTGGATCAACTGCCTCGGGATCGTCGAGAAGGCGGAACGAACATCTCTGCGCCTGCCGCGCAAGTTCAAGCAAGACAGGTCTGCAGCGGCAGTCTCACGGTCCGGCAGCGCTGCCTTGTCGAGCAGGCGATGCAGGATGATGACAACGGCAAGCTCCATCGCCGACGAGTCCGAGCCAGCTCTCGTTCCGTACAAGAGGAGCCAGCGTCCATCCTGGTCTTGCACTGAATGCGCCCGTCGCAAGATACGATGTGACAAGAAGGTGCCATGCCAGTCATGCGTCAAGCGCGGCAGGGCCGAGCATTGTCGGCTCGAAGGATCCTCGTACGATCTAGCAGGCCCATCTTCTCAGAGGATCGACGCAGCCTCTGATCAGCAGATCGCCGAGACGGAGTCGATTGACGCGAGCTCAGTGCCATCTGCACCTCGTCGACGGCCCTCGTCTGTCTTCGGCGTCCAAGCAAGCTCGAGTCAGCCAGCCCAGGATGGAACGGACATCTTCCTGCGGGGCCTTTCAAGATTGCAGATGCAGCTGGACCGGATCGAGCAGCGCCTCGAACAGTCAGCGAAACAGGACGAGTCCATTGAAGACGTCAAGGCTAGACTCAATGACGTTGAGGACGTTATCTCTGTCCTAGGTGAGAGTCGCGCAAGCTGGGCAGGAAGCGAGCGTGCCTCGACCGCCAACGCTGGCAATGGCGAGACACCTCGGACCGATGCGGCAAAAAGCCCGCCAAGGGTCAGAATCAATCCTCATGCAGCGTCTGTACAGACCAGGCAGCCGAACAGCAATGTCGCAGCAGCGCGGCCACAAGGGCGCAACGCGGAACTTGCCTCCACCGATGCAGCCACAACCCTCGAGTTTCTCACGCTCGGCAAGGACAGGAGACGCGATGTGGACTTCGATATCAGTTCCTCAGACAGCGAAACGGAGCAAGAAGGGCAGGACAGGCACGGAGTTCGAGGGGGTCGGCGAGGCCAAGGCTCGATCCCCGGCTCCAAAGCCTCAGTGTCGATCGATTCCGCGGCAGTTGGCTCAAGTGATGTCTCTGCGGAAGGAGGATCTCGTATGCTGAAACACCTACGACGCGGGCTTCCAACTCGCGTGGTCTCTCGCATAGAGCGCCTGCTCGGATCGCATCCCGAAGATCTGCCGCCAGCCAACCTGCTGGCGAGGCCTGCTTCTAAACCTGTCACGGATGGTGTCAAAGCTGCGTCGCTCTCCCCTTCTGCCATCCGCCGGATTGTCAAAGTCGCCCAAGAGATTGGCGCCTGGCAGCACTGCTGTGTCCACTTTCCTACCTTCGAAAGGGAGGTTGAAGCGTTCGTGGCGATCGCGGTCCCGGAGAACGGCAACACCGAGTACGAAGGGTATCGCGCGATCGATCCTGCGTGGCTGTCCCTCTTTTACGTCATATCCAGCATCGCCATCCATCAAATGTCGGAAGAGGAGGGTGCTTTTTGCGGTCTCGAGGCGGAAGCAGAGCGCATGCGGATTGCTTCTACCCTTCTTCACGCAGCAATGGACTCACTCTCGCTGGCCGACTACCTGGTCAAGCCCTCAGTCTACTGCTGTCAGACCATTGCGATCCTCTGTGTCGCAGGCCACAACATCTGTGGCAGCGATCTGCTCACATCGCTCCTTGCGATCGGCATCAAGACCGCTCAGACGCTCGGCCTACACGCGCTGGGTCGCACCGCCAGATTCCTGGAAGCGTGTGCAGTCCAGCGCGATCAGGTGCTGCATCGTGCCGGCGTCCGCTCCAACAACGCAGGCTCCTGCCGTCTCCCTGACGAGTCGCCGAGGCAATTTGCGATCTGGAAGAAGCGCATCATCGATCTCGAAGTTGGCAAACGGGTCTGGTGGGCCTTCACACAACAGGACTACTTTGCCATCCCGTTCAGCGGATGCTTCTCCATCGTAGAGGGCCAGTATGACACTCCGTTGCCGCACAACTGCTCAGACGAAGATCTGGAAGAAGGCCGTCTGATCAACCGCGAGGTCAATGTGCTCACCGTCGCCTCCAAGCAGCGTTTCACCTGTCATGTCGCAAAGATTGTGTGCGACTTCTTCGAGGACCTCAACAAGACGCGCGAGACGCCTTCCTTGTCGCTAGTCCAGCATCATGAGGATCGTTTGCGCTTCGTCACGGATCGCTTCAAGGCTTGCCTCGTTCCGACACAGTCGGCATCCACACAAAGCACTCACGCGGCCCTGCCGAGCTTCACTACGGTGTTGCAACACTACCTCTTCATCTCGGTGCAGCACAAGATCCTAGTGATGCATCGCGCTTTCCTGTCTCGGGATGTATCGGCCGAAGAGCGGGCACTGTCGCACAGCGCGTCCATCGAGACGGCTCGAGGCGTTCTGCACGAGCTCGAGCGCGGACTTGGGCTCAATGTTGATGGGGATGACAGCACTCAGCTTGATCTGCAGTCGCGAGTCCACGGCGGAGCGCTGTGGACCATCCCCTACCACTCTGTCGCCGCTGTCACTATCCTGGCGCTGGACATGTTCCAGCCAGCCTCTCATCCAACGGAAAGAGCCAAGCGAAGACAAGAAGTGAAGCGCGCACTCGAAGCAATAGGCCGTTTCACTCGCAAGAGTGCCATCGCTCGTCGGGGCTGTCAATTGCTGTCAGACCTCCTGGCAGAAGGCGAACGCTACGATCGACGACCTGCACAGCCCCGAAAACGCAAGGCAGCGGACGGAGTGGATTCGGTTCTCAAACGTATCCGGCTGCCCGAGGACGAAGACGAGCCGCAACAGAACCAGCAGACCTCGACCCCGAATCAGACCCGTGGCCAGAACACTCAGAGTGAACCTGCTCTGGAGGCCAGCTGGTTCTCGCACTTCAATCATAATTCTGTGCGCTCGGACGTATCCTCTGCTGTGTTGGACGGCACCTCGCCAGACTCTGAACGCTTTGGTCTGCTGCCCACTGCTTCGTTCGGCTATGGGTCGACCAACTTCAATCCACTTGCCGGCAATTCAACGTCTCGCGCTGCAAATGTCGCCTCGTTTCAGCTTGGAGAAGCGGCCAACTCGCTTTCGAGCATGTTCATGTCATACAATAATGACCCGAGCGCGGTATCAACGCATGACACCAGCCCCGCTGGCACATCACGCTATGGCATTCAGGAAGCGGGAGAAGCAACACGAAACGGAACGACGTGGAAGGACGACTTTGGCACGCCTCTCAGCAGCGAAAATGCGACTTCAACACTGGCTTGGCCAACAGCTCAGCCAAGCATGTCAATGGAAGGCGTGCAAGCGGGCAGCATCGCGGGCATGAATCTCAACATGCCGCAGCAACAGCTGGCTCAGATTCTGCCGGCGCTCGAGTCCATGCCAGACGTGTGGAAACTGTTTGATGGCACGTTGGGCCAGAGTTTGGTTGCATTCGAAGAGAGCGGGTTCTGATGACGCCTGACAATGACAGCAATACAATCGTCTTTGTGACCAGGCTCCTGCAGTGTGGAGATTTGCGCACTCTCGGTCTGAATGATGTCGAGAGAGCGGGGGAGAGAGCGGGGGAGACGACGATCACGATCTGATTGGATCAAGTCGTGAGGCAGGCGTCCGGTGCGAGGAATCAATGCTTCGCATTGTCCCTCGCAAGCTGAACTTGCTGAGCCACTGCATGCGCGACCTCGTCCCAGACTTCGGCATCGCGATACGGCCTTTCGTAGGTTCCTGTGCCGGCGCCGAGATTCTCGATTGCGCTTTGGCCGAGGCTAACGCCAAGGCCTGGCACGACGACATCGCTCGACGTCCGACCCTGCCCATTTGCAGCCGAAGCTTGCCTCGGGGCGGGCTCAAAGTCGAGCGCATCAGGGGGATGGAACCAATAGTTGAGTGCCATGTGCACCTTGCTGGATTCTTCTGTCGGATCATCGGGATTCTGCTGCTCGTGCAGAGGCGGCAGTGACGAAGATGTGACTTCGTGATACCAGCTTGCGGGGAGGTAGAGCATCTGGCCTGGCTTGAGGTATACTTCGATCGGCAGTGGACATTCCGGCGGGAGCGAGTACGGCTCTGACGCTGGGGTTTTCTTCGTGCGCGAGCCGGCAGCTCCGTTGCTTTCCCTCGGCATAGGGCGAGAAGGATCGTCGGGGATGCCGAGACAGCGGTGCAAGACGTGCGGTGGAATGCGCGAGAAGCTCTGAGGCTCGTTCTCTTCGTCCGCATCTGCAGCAGATGATGCTTGAGCATTGGAGTTCTCGTCGGCCATTGCGAGGAGGCGGGCAAGCTCAGCCTCCCCTTCGTCGACGTCTCCAAACTCCGAGCCCGAATCCGCACCGAAGAAGCCTGGTTCGTCTGATTCATCCTCTTCGTCCCCTCCTTCGCTCGACATTGAGTCCTGCTCGGGGGTGCCGCTCTGCTCAGTCCGAGACGCTGTGTCTTCGAGGCCAGATTGCAGCTCATCGGCGTTAGTGTCATCGACACGAAAGGCAATTTTGACTCGCTTGACGGGACTGCGCGAATGATCTGACTCGACAGTGTCCGACTCGTCCTCTGCTTCTTTCCCGTCGTGGGAGGCATCTTCTCCTTGCTCCGAAGAGCTCAGATCCTTGCGTTTGCGGGACAGTCCGTTGACCATTGGTGACAGCAAAGCATCGGGATCTGTCTCTTCGTCTTCCGAGCGCGACTGCCCTCGAGAATCCGAAGCGCTATGTCCGTCCGTCTGCTGAGCGCCATCCGAGTCCTCATCAGATTCGTCGGCCTCTGAACGGGAGCTCTGTTCTGCGTCACGACGATCCGGCTCAGCGACACTTTCGAGGTATGCACGCAATTTGTCGACAGAGTCCGCATCGCCGGCAAGAGCAGCCAGTCCGATCGGTTTCATGGGAGCAGGAAGCGAGTCCAACAACCGGCGGGCCTGATCATCGTCGTCATCCTCGCCATCCGCACGGTCCTCGTCGTCCTCGACATCGTCTGACTCTTCTTCGGATGTGTTGATGAGCTGATTGCCGTTGGAATCCACAAGACCGCTGAGAATATCGTCGATATCGGCGTTGCTGTCATCGTCGTAGTCTGCATCGTCGTCCGAGGTGTCTGCTTCATGGTCAATGCCTTCTTCGTCCATGCGACAAATGCGGAGCTCAGCTTCGGCTTGGAGAAGAGCTTCTTCTGCGAGCTCCTGCGCCCTGGTCTGCTTAGCTTTGCCCTTGCGTTGACTCTTGAGGCGGGATCCTTCGCCAGCATCAGCGGCAGCGCGTTCGTCGATTTCCTGCTTGATGCGAAGACGAGCTTTGCGGCGCCATCTTGCGGCATCCGAGGGCACGAGACCGTCTGGACGAATGGGTAGCCGCAATTTGCGACCAGGCACGGGCACATAGGCTGGGATCTCACCAGGAGGTGTGTAGACGATGAGACCGTTGTGATGCACCCTGTCGATGAAGCCGCGAGGATGAAGATAGCGATGCGCTGAGGGTGGGAAGAGGAGAAAGCGTTTGTAGCCGGAGAGAAGGACGTAGAGGTTATCATGAAAATCGTGATGCAACCCTGAGCTCTTGCCTTCCTTGCTGTTGCCTAGCCACAAATTGCACTGTTGGAGAACGAGATTACCAAGCAGCTGCGGTTTGGAAGGGAAGTCGTTGGAAAGCGCATTGGTAGGTGCCGGAAGCACATTGTCAAGCTCCGGCTCACTATCGCTGTCGTCCGATTCGAAGTCGCGGTCTGAGTCGGGTTTGGCTGAGGACGATGGGATGGGTTGGTCCTGCTCTCCGTCTTCGACGTACTGAGTGGTGAGATACCACTTGCCTGCATCTCTTGAATCTTTGAGAATGTCGATGAACTCGGCGAATTTGACTTTCTTTCGTTTGACCGAGGTGCCAAAGTGACCTGCAGCGGGATGAACGGGTTCGATCTTGACGGGCACCTGTCCAGCAACTGAGCTGAGATAATCGAGATCGGACCATCTGGAGGCGTTCCAGTCGGCATCTTGAGGGTGTCCGTCGATGATGACGGGGCGACGTTTGCTAATAAAGTGCGCCCACATATCGGCGGTCGAGATGCTGCTCTTGACCTGAACGATCCTCGGGTCGGCTTCAAGGGGCCGCCAGCCTTGGTAGGCGTCGAGATGAAGCGGGAGCGGAGGTACTCTGAACATCTTGACGAGAGCGGGGCTGGGCTCAGCGAATATACTGGCCGACGCTGACCCCCAAGGTCTTGGTGATGTGAGCCGAGGCTGAGCTAGGGGCTTGAAGGCATCGCTCTGAAAGCAGGAACGGGCGACCGAGTGCAATCAGACAGACCACGGAAGAAGCTGGAGACGCGGCTGTGGACAGAGTACTGAAGAGCTGTGGCTGCACTTGCGATGGAGTGCAGTGTGTGTTGCTGAAGCAGAGACAATGATGCGAAAGGACTAGGATGGGGTGTCTTTTGAGGAGGGGAGGTTGACGAGATAGCGACACGCTGTGGCTCAGTTTTTTTGGATTTGAATGCAGAACCGTGCAGACTCTGATGACTTTTCAGAGAGAAGCTTAATTTTCCAACTGCGCCGTCTCTCTCTCGCTCTCACCGCCCTTTTCGAAGATTGGACCCTGACCTGTCCTGACCTGTAAGTATGCGGCTGGACGCCGCGCGACCACCGATTTGACCCTCATCGGTCCAGATCCAATTTCGATCTCACAGGAAGAAAAAAGACTGCGGCGGTACCACTTCAAATTTTCGCTTGGATCAACAACAGCAGATTGGCTTGATTCTCACCTTGCTTCTCTCTGATCCACCATCACAGTCATCGCCATCATTATGATGCTCAGCTAGGCTTTGGCTTTGCGCCCAGTCATCATCCATATCAGGTCCCTTGTTGCCACGCTCGTTCACGCTCCTTCTCATTTCACGCCCCTTCCGCAGGTCTTTTCATCTCGTTGCTCGTTCGCAGTTCGTTCGCCCGCCCTCGCTCGCCTAGTCTCCGTTCCTCGTCGCTTCGCCCATATACCCGGAACCGCTTCCCTTCCTCTCGCTCTTCCCAAACAACACAATGTCCAGTAAGACTGCTCTCGGTCGTGCTGGTCACGACTCCGAGGTCAAACTTGCTAGCGAAGAGCAGCTTTCCACTATTCGCAGGATGGCCCAGATCGTCGCACGCATCTTTTACGAAGATCGACACATTGTCCTCATGGATCAACTCGTCAGCATCACCGTCCTGCCTGCTGACGTACTCGCGCACCGCTTGGGCATTCAGGTCAAGGAGCTTGCCGCGCTCTCATCCAAGCTCTTGGAAGACAAGCTCGTCTGCACATTTCGCAGGAACGAGATCAGAGATGCTATCACAAATCGCAGTGTTCCACGCACCTATTACTATCTCGACTTCAAGCTCTTCCTCGATGTCACCAAATGGCGCATGATGTCTATCCGTAAAAAGATTGACACTCGTCTGCGCAACGAGCTAGACAACAAAGGTTATGTCTGCCCTCGATGCAAAAACTCGTACTCAACGCTCGAGGTCGCGCATTTGCTCGACATCTTTCGCAACGTGTTCGTCTGCGAGACTCCCGGGTGTAGCACCGAGCTGGTCGACAACGAGGAAGCCGAGGATGTCAAGAGGAGCAAGGACAGCCTGATGCGCTTCAACGAGCAGCTCTCTACCCTGCTCGGAGGTCTTCGTCGCACTGAGGGCATTACGCTGCCACCGCTCGATGTTGGCGCGTGGCTAGCTAAGCACGCTGCCTCGCAGCCTTGGTTCTCCAGCCGATCCGAAGATGCTTCTGTTGCGCCTTCGTCCTCGACCGTCAATGGGGCGCCCGCCCTGCAGGTGGATCTCGCGTCGAACGACCCGGCAGCCGAAGCGGCACGTCGACTCGCCAAGCAGAAAGCCGAAGACGAACAGCGAAAGCAGAACGCTCTGCCAGCATGGCATCTTGCAAGTACCGTCAGCGGCGAGCAAACGGCACTCGGCCGCAAGCAGCAGCGCAACCAGTCTTCTAATGGCTTTGACGTCGAGGACCGCAAGGACGACGACGACGGCGATGATGACGACTACTACGCGCAATATGCTAGTCTTCAGACAGCAGAAGCAGCGGCAGCGTCGTCTTCCAAGCCTAGTCAAGCACCTTCTGTGGACGAGGAAGAGTTCGAGGACTTCGAACCAGTCACGCAGCCTCCAGACGATGCGGGTACGCAGCGAAAGCGATCACGGTCTCCGTTGGTCACCGGTGGCGAGAACAAGCGTGCCAAGGCGACAGCGCCAGAACAGCACGGGGAGTCGAGCGGCACTGCTCCTGCGGGCGCGGGTAACGGTGGCGATGATGACGACGACGGCATGGACGACTTTGAGGATGTCGTGTAGCAGCTCATTCCGAAGCGCAACATGTTGTGTTGCTTCGGTTTATCGCAGACTCTTGATTGTGCTGACCTATTGAACCTCTCCCCGACCATGAGCATCTTTCCCCACTCTCGATTCTTCCTTCCCTCACTCCTTTTCATCCCTTTCCCTCTGTCCTTGCACATCAAGGTACACATGCTGGGTCTTAAGAGCACCGAGTCTTGGAGTTCGTCGCTTTGCGGCTGCGCTCCCGTGACCGGGGTTTGAGTCATAGCCTAGCGACAGCAACACTCTTTTTCATCTAGTCTGGATTCGTCGCGCTCGCTGCTGCCTCATCTTGATGGGGACTGTGATGGCAAGCGCGGCGAGCTCCTCTTGTAGGAGCGATAGCACTCTGGCGTGCTTCGGCTCTGTTGCAACTAAAGATGCAGCCCGGCTTGGTTGTTCAGGACCGTCGGTTACCGTCTGCGGAGGTCATCAGAGTTGCCGGGAGTATCTCTCTTTGAGCCGCGCTCCCGAGCTAGAGTTGCTTGAAGTCCAGGTCTGTGAAGACATTTCACACACCTCGCCTCCCTTGCATACCCAACCTCGTCAAATGAGGCCTGGTGGGAACAGCCTCTGTTTCTGAGTGTCGTTCTTGCAATACATCAGATTTCGGTCCAAAAAGGATCATGAGCAGCTCCACGTCAGACATGGCACCTCACGTTTGGAAGGTGTTTTTGTTGAAAGCCGCCGTGACGTGTTGAGAAGAAATGCGAAGACCCTGAAATCTGGAACTGCACGGCCCACCTCTGATCTTGTGAGCTTGCCTTCTCCCCCCCAAAGCAGAGACACACCATTCCGCTCCTTCGACGGCGATATCTTGCGCAAGAAGATGACATCGCTCGCAACGACAGCCTTGGTGCTGCCGCTTGGCACGCTCGCCTTGGTGCTGCCACCATTGCTACAGCTCGAAGTCTCCGAGCTCCACTACGCTCATGGTCCGATGTGGCCCCCATTCCGATGGCTTTCCGAGCTCTTCCTTTCCTCGCGACCATCCAGGCTCACGACGATACTCGATCTGTTAGTACCCTTCAAGCATCGGCAAACAATCCTGTACTACGATGATGCATTCCCTGGCCTGTTTGCGGCGACAGGACTCTCGTTGATAGGCTACTGGGTGACCAGCATGGCCATCGCTAAGACCAAGGACGTCTTCTTCGCCCGCGGATTCAAAGGTCGAGATCTGCTCAAGAACAAGCCAGAGCCGATTCCCGAGAGTCTCGGTCTGCCGACAGCAGCAGTGTATATGGCGTTGCTCTTCCTCTTCACCCCTTTCCGCTACTTCTCCTCTCGGTTGCAAGGGGTTGTCAAGACGGGCGACGACTGGGAAGGCCGTATGGACGGCAGAGGTGGATTCCCGCATCACGAGCTGGCGAGCTTCCTTTCGGCACAGCTCTCCTTCCTGTCAGCGATCGTGCTCGGATTCCTCGACGACGTCTTCGACATTCGATGGAGGTACAAGCTGCCCATTCCGATCATCTCGAGCATCCCTCTGCTGATGGTGTACTACGCAGGCGGTGGAGGCACCTCGGTTGTGGTCCCTGGCTGGCCTGGGTTCCTGCGTCAGTGGATCGGATCATCCATCTTGGAGCTTGGTCCACTGTACTACCTCTACATGTCGCTCCTCTCGACCTTCTGCACCAACAGCATCAACATTCTCGCCGGGATCAACGGCGTCGAAGTAGGTCAAGCGCTGGTCATCTCGATCTCGCTCTGCATCAACGATCTGCTGTACCTCGACTCGCGCGCGGGCATGGCGGGTTCGCGCTCGAGCAAGGAGCTGCTCCGACGCCATCTGTTGAGTCTCTACCTCCTGCTGCCGCTGACGGGGGTGTGCATGGCCCTGCTGTCGTGGAATCGCTACCCGGCGCGGGTGTTTGTCGGCGACACCTTCTGCTACTTTGCCGGCATGGTCTTTTCCACTGTCGGCATCCTGGGTCATTTCAGCAAGACGGTGCTGCTCTTCTTTGTGCCGCAGATCTTCAACTTCGTGCTGAGCTGTCCGCAGCTGTTTGGCCTCGTGCCCAACCCACGGCATCGAGTGCCGAGGTTCCACGCGGAGAGCAAGTGCTTGTATCCTTCGATTCAGTACTTTGGCTCGGGTAACGCTGCCGAGGACGAGAAGCTTCCGAATACATCGTTGAAAGCGCTTCGCCCGGCAAGCATGCTGTCGACGATAGTGCTCAAGCTTCTTTCCGCAGTGCGGCTGGTACAGCTCGACTACTATGACGAGCCAAAACGCAGGATCAAGAGCACGACGAATCTCACCATCCTCAACGCCATCCTCGTCTTCCGAGGCGTGCGTCACCTGCCCAGCGCCAAGGCCGGACAGACGCCATTCACAGGTCCGCATATCACTGAGTATGGACTCTGGGTCCACACGATGATCATCCAGATTGCCGGTTCATGTCTGGCATTCGCGATCCGATACTGGGTCGCCTCAGTAGTCTTCCCTTGACACCGGTACTCGAGTCACGCAATCGCAGCATGCCTTCTCAGAACAGTCCTTCTCGCATCATCGCCTTGGTGCAAATTGAGTCGAGAAAGTGCGCACACCCTTTGAATCGAGGAAAAGCGAGAATGATATTGACAAGCAGCTTCCATCCAGGTTGAGACGAATGAAAGCAATGAGACAGAGTATACAAGCCAAATGGGGTAAAATGAAACAACGGAGCATCCGAAGGTAAGAAATAGACAGAATGGAAAAGGAGGGGATGATTCCGGACGATTGCAAGGCCTGGTTGAGGGAAGAATATCGAATCGGAAGCTCCTGGGATATCAATAACGTAGCCGATCATCTTACGACTACAAGGGCTGTAACCGAGAAGATGATCAAGAAGCTAGAAAAAGTCCTTATGCCTCCTTGACCTCGGTCTCGGCGGCCTTCTCCTTGCCAGCGGACGAGGCGCTGCGGTTGAGGCCGTCCTGCGAAGGCTCACCGGCCTGAGCCGACTCGCCCTTCTTCTCGAGGAGGTAGCCGTTGGAGCCGACCTCACCCTGGGAAGCGGCACCGCCAGTGTAGGCAGGGACCTCCTCCTCCTTGGTGGCCGAGGCCGAAGTGCTAGCACCGGCGAGGGCAGGGGCAGCGGTGTGGTGCTCGTTCTCGTTCTCGGCCTCGGCGTACTCCTCGTCATCCTCCTCCTCGATGGAGCTTCCGTCCTCCTCATCCTCGTCCTCCTCCTCGGAGCGGTAACCGGCGGCACGGACGGCGGCGGGCACGATACCGGAGCGGTCCATCTGCTCCGAGGTGGTGAGGTAGACCTTGGAGAGCTGCTTGATGTCGTTCCACCACTCCATCATCTCGTCGTGGCTACGAGCGCGGAAGGTGTAGGCGTGCTCGCGGCCCATGCCGAGGCTGGCGAGACCCTTGGAAGCGACAGCCGACTGGTTGCCCGTGACCTTGCGACCCTCGATGTGGAACTTGTGGCTCTTGGCAGCCATAGTCGAGGGGGGACCGAGGGTGCACTCAGGCAGGAAGAGCGAGAGTTCGGGCTGAGGGTGCTTGGTGGGGTCGGACGAACCGTGCTCGTGGAGGTAACCGGCGGGAGTGAGAACGTAGAAGGATTCCTTGTAAGTCTTGGTGAAGCGCTTCTTGCGCTCGAGGATGCCCTGGTGGACGGGGATGACCGAGGGGTCGTCCTTGCCGGGGTAGTCGATGGTCTCGGGGTTGCGGAGAGGGGTGTCGGGGTCGAGGAGGTGGTCGGAACGGGCGGCAAAGGCGATCCACTCCGAGTTGGGCTGGAGCGAGCGCATCTGGACGCCGAGGCTGAGCCAGGTGTCCTGGACCTGGGACGACATGCGTCCGGACCACTCGTCGAAGGTCTGCCAAGCGCTCTGGATGGAGCGAACGATGCCCTCCTCGAAGTGGGCCGAGTTCTGCTGCATGATGATGATGGACTTCTGGAGAGCGTTCTCCTCGTTGACCTGGCGCTGGAGCTGGCGGAAAACACCCTGGTTAGCAGCGTAAGGGTCCTCACGAGCGGTGACGCTCATGGGGGTGTTCTTGAGGAGAGTAATGGAGCGGGCGAGCTCGGTGATCTGCTTGGTGGACATCTCGCGCTCCTTGGCAACCGAGTTGGCGAGCTTGCCCGTGTCCTGCTGGACATTCTTGATGTGAGCCTTGATCTCGGAGCGAAGCTTCTGGAGGTGCTGAACGATGGAGCCCTCGACGGTCTTGGCGAGGTTGGCGTGGTGGTCGGCGATGACACGGGTCTTGTCACGGATGCCGTAGTAGATGTCCTGAATGCCGTCCTCGCCGAGGAACTGGTTACCCTCGCGGAAGGGGACCTGGATGACACCGCCGAGCTTGGTGAGCTCCTTGGCAGTGTTGTACTCGATATCGGCGATACCCTCGAAGTAGCTGATGAGCTGCTTGGTGATGTGCTTCCAGCCTGCGGAGAGAGGGAGGAAAAGGAACAGAAATATCGAAGAGTCAGTGTCTCGTCCTTGTTAGCGGCTTTGCGACCTGGTTGGCAATCCAACGCCCTTCTGTTGGACGGATGGCAGGGTTTCGTGAGTGAGTGAGACTTACCAGTGAAGCGCTCAATGAGAATGTCCGAGGGACGAAGCTCGTGAGGGCCGGTGTTCTTCTTGATGAGGGAAGCGTTGCGGCTGGCGACGGTAGACTTCCTGCTGACCGAGGTTCCCCTGGTCATGGTGGAGTGTGCGTCGGTCATTGTGATAGATGGACGTCGACGACGTGGGTTAAGAAAATAGGTGGTGGTAGTAAGAACGACAAACGGCGAGCAACGATAAAGCTGGGCCGGATGGATAGGGGTATGATCGTTCGAAGTGACGGGTGATGATGGTGAAGAGGGAAAGGTGACGGCGAAGAGAGGTGCAATAAAGGTGTTCCAAGCCGATACCGAGAGAGGTCAGTCACCGGGCACGATTACAGAGAGAGCGAGAGACAGGCGAACGGGTGGATGGTTCGAGAGAAAAGACAGGCCATGTGCCTCAATTTGGTGACGCAACAAGGCAAGAGCGCTCTGGCTGGCTGGCTGCCTCCACCCCCGTTTCTCAGTTGGCAGTCGATCAGCAACGCATTGGCCGCCTTTGTCATTTTTGGCCTATTTTGGACTATTTTCGAGGCAGCAGAGGGCGACAATCAAGCAACCTTGCGCGGAAGTCGAAATGCCGGCAGAGGTGTGCGATGACGAAGGCACGGACGCCCACCTCCGATTTCTCGAATTGGAACCGAGGCACTTGAGCAGTGTGGTCCAGGTTTAGAAGCTTTCGACTTTTGTGAGTCTCAACGTGTGGATGCGTCTGGCTGGCTGCAGTCACTCTGATTTTGCTGCTGCTCACCAGCTTGGCCCTCTTGGTATAGATCCACGGCACAGCACAGCGCACAAGAGCAGCCCGTCAGCATGAAACAGCAAGCACGTTGGCTCGCTCCTGTCTCTCGTCCTTGAGGCTCAGTTGGATACAGGGTCGGTCACCTTCGATCGCAGCAAGGAAAGGGTCAGAAGAATCGAGGGTCCACGGTCCCTATGGGTCTGGCCGCTCTTGCCGTATCTTTTCTTCTTCCTCGAGGCAATGTCGATCCTTTGACGCCCTTGGGCCTAGACCTACCAAAGTTGCCCGCTTCGACGGCTCTTTCGCCCATTCCCACGGTGGATGCATGCCTCATCACCATCTTTGGTTCTTTGTCCTTCAGCTCGACATGTGGCCCTCACGTTGGAACAGATGCGGTATCATTATGAAGGCAATCAATGGCTCACGGGCCGAACAATCGCTGTTGTAACGGCATTTGCATGTCGCACAACAGCCAAGCAAACGCACTTTGAGCTTGGTGTAGAGACTTTGGCGTGACGTAGCTTGGCATGGTCTGCTACCGGCTTGGCTGGCTCGGGGTCCTGTTCCGCTGCGGTCTCCTGCTATTTTCGGTCTGTTTGTCGCGCCTTGTCTTGCGGTCGGCTGTGCTGGGCTCGGCCTCGGCTGGATTTTAGTGGGAAAGCGCTTTTGCAGATCCCCTCGCTTGCACGCCTAGCTCAACTTAGACCTGAAGCAACGCCAGCCTCGCCTCGGCGACCAAAACAAGCACCGGCTCGGGCAGACAAACATCCTTCAAAGCGATGAATCACAAGCACAGAAGGCTCTGGTGGGCTTCGCTGGGTGCTCTGGACAGACTAGGTGTCGCATTTTTGGCCCGATTTTCCAAGCCCCCTTTTTGGCTCTGATTTTCGCCCGCTTCCTTTTAATTTCCTTTGGTCGAAAATGGCCAACGCTTGTTGCGACCTTGATAGCTGCTCCGTCCATCGTCGGCTGGAGGTAGCTCGGAATCCATTCGATTCCAAGGCTGCAGCTTAGGCTGTATAGAGGCATAGACAAGCTCGCGAAGAGCTCTTAGCCTGACACGGAACGAGGAGGCAGTCAGAACAAAGGTCGTTCACAGCCAACGATCCCCTAGAAGCAAGCAAGCTCAGCAGCTTGAGGCTCACGCGTCGCGTAAAGAGGTGCATTTTGGCTCCAGACCAACACCTTTTCTGAATTTGAGGTTTGGCTGAGTTTTGTGATTTTGATTGGGAGCAACACTCGAAGCTTCTTCTTGCAAAGTCACTCGAGGCTCAGTCACGAACCCATCATCGCTCTTACCTCCATGGCACCTCGATCAGCAACAACATAGGCCCAATTTCTGACGAGCCACCATGGCTTCCGACGGTCAGCCTTCGGCGCTGCATACGCCCGCTCGTCCAAGAGGTACGCTGGGGCTCAGACGCACTGCTCCCTCTGCCATCGCCAGCACCAAATTTGCGTCGCCATCTTCAATCGCTACCGCCACCTGCAATGATACCGCCAATCCAACAAAGAGGGCAAGACTGGTGCTTCCAACCCAGCAAGGGGACGCCGACGACGCCGACGCATCCGAGCACTTGCCAATCGGAACAGTCGCTGCCAACGAAACTCCCGCTTCACATACCTTCTTGCTCAGCCGCAATACTTCCAATCAGGGCATCAATGGCTCTCCTGGAACGAGTTCAACCAATGCGATTGCCGGCTCATCCAGTCGAAACGGCCCTTACTACCTCTGCACCTGGAGGAAGCCACAGCACAAAAAGCACAAGACCTGGGATGGCGACGCACTGCTCGTTGTCAAAGACGGAGGCGAGCGTTGTGCCCTCATCTGCTCCGAGACAGGCAAGGACCTCGTCACATCAGCTCGCTTTGCGTTCAATCGCCTTTCCTCTGGCGACGAATTGGCGCTCGGTGGCAAGGAAATCGAGATCGATCGCGAGATCGATCAAGCAGAATACCGCAAGATGGTCGCGTTCACTCGAGGCGAGCTCTCACCCGTCAAGAAAGGCCCTCCTCCGACTGCTATACGTACGCCAAAGCCTTTCGTTGCACCAATCCGACGTTCCGCTATCAAACCTGTCGACATTAATCAGATTGCACCTGCTCGAGCAGAAACCTTTTACGGCAAACCAGCTCCAAAGCCTTTGCCTATCGATCTCGATGACGACGCGGCCACCTCGCGCTCTGCTAGCCCATCTCGTGTCAGCGGTCTCATCAACCCCGGTCAAGGCAGGAAGGCCCATCCTCGCTTCGATCCCGACGAGCCAGGCGCCATCGTCATGAAGAGACCCGACAGAGGGCATCAAAAGCGAAACAATCCAGACAATCGTCCGATAGTCGATGTCGTGCTCGATCCGCATCTCACCAAGGCATTGCGACCGCACCAAGTCGAGGGTGTCAAATTCCTCTACGAGCGCACCATGGGTATGCATGCAAATGGCGAAAAGGGCAAAGGTGTCATCCTGGCAGATGAGATGGGTCTCGGAAAGACGCTCCAGACCATCGCGCTCATTTTGACCCTCATGAAGCAGAACTGCTACTACACGTCCAAATCCTGCACCGTCGAACGCACCGTCATAGTGTGTCCACTTACGCTCGTCAACAACTGGAAGCGCGAATTCCGCAAGTGGATCGGCACCAACTCTCTCAATGTCCTCTGCATCGACGAGGGAAGAGGCCGAGAGGATGTCGAGCGATTTGCCCGGTCCAGGGCCTACCACGTCATGGTCATCGGCTACGAAAAGCTTCGAACGTGTATGGACATTGTCAAGACTGCACAGCCGCCTGTCGATCTGATCGTTTGCGATGAAGGCCACAGGCTCAAATCCAAGGACGCTCTGACCACCATGATGTTCGACGAGCTCTCGGTCGAACGCAGGATCATCCTGTCAGGAACGCCTATTCAGAACAATCTCTCCGAGCTCTACGCCATGATCGACTTTGTGGTTCCGGGCATGCTCACCAGCCCAGAGAGCTTCAAAGCAACCTTCGAGGAGCCCATCATCCGCTCGCGCGCCAAGCACTGTTCGCCGCACGACAAGGCTACTGGCAAAGCACGCCTCTCTGCGCTCATGGTCATCACCAAAGACATCATTCTCCGCCGTACCGCCGACCTTCTCAGCAAATTCTTGCCGCCAAAGAAGGAGATGGTGCTCTTCTGCAGCCCGAGCCAGGAACAGATTCGTATCTACCAGTCCATCCTCGGGTCCAGCGAGGTACGCTCGCTGCTGCGTGGCGACGCTGGTAATGGGCTTTTGCAGATCGGCGTGCTGCGAAAGCTCTGCAACACTCCCGAGCTCTTGCTCAAAGATACGGAGTCAAGCGCCGAGACGCCTACTAAGGCACTCGTCGGCGACCTCACACGCTTCTTCCCGCCCAACTTTGTGCGCAATGAAGCGAGATTCAGCGGCAAGCTCATCTGCGTCATGAACTTGCTTGAGACGCTGAGAGCACAGACGGACGACAAGGTGGTGCTCGTCTCCAACTTCACCAGCACTCTGGACGTGGTCGAGTACATGATGAGGAAGAAGCGGTACTCGTATCTGCGACTTGACGGCAAGACGCCGCAGGACGAGAGGATGGCCATGGTCAACCAGTTCAACCGCGAAGGCGTCCACAACTCGTTCGTCTTTCTACTGTCTGCGAAGAGCGGTGGTGTGGGTCTCAACCTAATCGGTGCCAATCGTCTGGTGCTCATCGACTCGGACTGGAACCCGTCGACCGACCTGCAGGCCATGGCACGTATCCACAGAGACGGACAGAAGAAGCCATGCTACATCTATCGACTGCTGCTCTCCGGCACCATGGACGAAAAGATCTACCAACGACAAATCTCGAAGCTCGGCTTGTCGGACTCGCTCATGAACGCACAGAAGAAAGCCACCTCGGACACATTCTCGCAAGAGGAACTGCGCGACATCTTCACTCTGCATCTCGACTCGAGCTGCATCAGCCACCGACAGCTGATCTGCGACTGCGACGGCAAGGGAGGCAGCGCTACCGCCAACAAGATCGGACCAGCCGAGCTGGATACGCTCAACAGCAGCCAGAGCTCGATCAAGAGCGAAGATGATGAAGAACTGCCAGGCTTCATTGCCGCATCGCAGCATATTGTGGATAAAGCGGCGGCGGACAAGCTCGAGAGACGCAAGAAGCTGCTCGCGCTGTACAAGTGGGCGCACTACGACTGCGTGCAGCATCCGGACGCATTTGTCGAGGACGAGATCGTGGCAGGTCTCATCCGTAAGGCTCGACGAGAGGGCCAGTCGAGGGGGGCTGGCCCGTCACGCATCAAGGCGGAGCCGGTCGATGAGTGGAGCAAGGGCATGCAGGACCGAGGCGACGATCTGTTCTTTTCAGACGCCTCTGATGCGGAAGTGCATCTGGACGGTGAGGATGCTGCAGGATTTGGCGAAGACGACTTCCGACTGGACGAAGTCGAAGCAGGCAGGATCTTGTTTGTGTTTGCAAAGAACTCGGACCAGACGACGGACCAAGCGGCATCGCCGACGGCGACCAGTCCGCCAGCTCTCGACTGATCTCGATCCAAATCACATCGTTCACGCGCTACCTCCGAACAATCTATGCAATCGCATCGGCTTTCGCCTTCTTCTATTCATGCACATCTACGCTACGCAGGAGGAGGGTAGAGGCATCGACCCTCCATACCACCATCTACCTGCAGATTGACGCCCGTCACATGGCCGCTGAGGTTGGGACTCGAGAGCACCAGAACCTGTCTAGCGATATCGGCGGGCATGGCCACCTTCTGCAACGGGGTACTTGCCAATGCCCTGGCCCTGACCTTATCGTCTTTGATGGTCTCCTCTGCCAGAGGCGTGTACACCCAGCCGGGGTTGACCGAGTTGACTCTACCGCGAGGGGCGATCCTGACAATCTCGTTCTTGAGCGTGGGCACGAGGCCGTACATGAGCGCCGATTTTGTCGAGGCGTAATCGCCGTGGTCATGCTCACCAAACTTGCCTGCTGTGCTGCCGATGAAGCAAATGGACGCGGGGTCGGTGACGGCGGCAGACTTGTTCTTGAGAGCGGAGAGGAAGGAGCGGACGAGGAGGAAGGCGCCGTCGAGGTTGACAGCGTGCGTGTTGCGCCATTGCGACAGAGTCATATCCGAGAGAGGGACCGCTTCGACGGGCCAGATGCCGTGGTTGACGACGAGGACTTGGACAGGAACGCCCTGCTTCGCTTCGGCTTCCTCGAAGAGTCGCTCGACATCGGATTCGCTCGTGACATCGGCTTGGAGTGCAACGACGTCGGCGACGGAGCTGAGCTCACGAGGCGTGGTGTTGTAGTGCGCCGTCACTTTGGCGCCCGCAGCGAGAAAGGTCTTTGCGGTTTCGAAGCCGATGCCTCCCGACGCGCCGGACACTAGAACGTGCACACCGGTCAGACCAAAGTCGAGCGGCGATGATGTCGACGAGGACGACATGATGAGCAATATCACTAAGAAGCGATGTAGGGATGAGATGGTAGGATCAGAAGATAACGACACGAGCAAGAAGAAAACGAATGGTCTTTGCGTTTCTTCCCCACATTTAACCTTCTTTTTTTGTCGAAGTGGACGTGTTTGATTGCCGGTCACGCGAGCTGAGACAGAGGCTCAAAAAGGGTCAGCTGAGCCTCAGTCTCCGCAAGCGGCGGCAAAGCGCGAATCGCAGTCGATCCTTTTTCGGTTCTGTTCGGTTAGCAAACGCGCCTTTTTCCACAGCCGGATGGACCGAGGACCGAGAGCGTTCCCTGCTCTTTCACATCGCTTTTCCACTCGTGCGAGGCATGCGTGCATGTCACTTAGCTCCTTTTCCTCTCTCTCTCACACCTTCCACATACATCACAGCTCACACACGGAGTAGCTTGTGTCGAATTACACAAGCTGGCTTTTCCTCTCTAGGCGGGCAACCATGCCGTCGGTGCAAGAGCTCAAGAGCAAAAACGCTCGCGCCGTTCAGGAAAAGCATCTCGATCTCGTCGGCAAGTACAAGACGCACTATCCTGCCGTCGAAAAGCTTCACAAGCTCGCCAAAGAACAAATCGTCGATGATGTGGCCTCGCAGCTCGACCTCAACGAGGAAGGCAAGGCACGCGTTCTCCTCTACCTCTCCGACTTTGCCAATCTCTTTCGATTCTACCGCCGCTCGAGGTACGACCACGACCAGGCCATCAACCTTCTCAATGCTACCCTGCTTTGGCGTATGAGGACCGATCTGGATCTCTTGTCGCTCTCTTCGCTCAATCCGCTCTATGTGACACCGCCGCCACCCAACCCACCGCTCTTCTGGGTCAACAGCCACTTCAGAGACTTTTACGGACGACCATGTGGGATCATCAACCTCCGCAGCGTCGAGAGGACAGCAGAGGGAACACTGGATCAGATCAAGGAGTACATCGTAGCGTGTATGGAGATGATGCGTAGATATGTCGCCGACCTCTACCGCGCTAGCACAGATGGGCAACAAGGCGACAGCCAAGAAGGCATGATCCTGCAAGCATCCATAGCCATCGATCTCGCATCCAGCGGCATGGCCAACCTCGAATTGGAGCTGCTCCCTTTCCTGCTTGACCTGCTCAAGAACCATGTGCCAGGCATGGTCGGTGCCGTTTACATTCTCAACTATGGTTGGGTGCACGCCGGTATGTGGGCGGTCATCAAGCGAGTGCTACCGCAGCAAGCACTAGCCAAGATCTTCTTCCCTTCGTACGAAGAGCTTAAAGAACACTTTGACGCCAAAGCCATCCCAGCGTGCTACGGTGGAGAGCTAGACGTCGCAGTGGAGAGCTCGACGAACGATGTTCTGCGCAAGTATGGTCGTCCTCGACGCGCCTCCAATGCTACTCCCGCTGCCAGTGCTTCGACACCTCCGCACAGCCCGGGAGTATCTCGTCACATCAGCCGCAACAACTCATACGACAGCATCTACGAAGTCTTCTACAGCGCCGATTCCACTCCTTGGGCGAGTCGTCCCATCACACCACGACACAGCGAGCCATCGACACCTCGCGGCAACGGCTCCGACGTCAATGCTGCCGCAGGCCTCAAGATGACCCCGAGCGCAGCGCGCAAGTTGAAGCATCTGCAGATGTCGAGGGGTGACTTGTCAAGCGCAGCAGAGAGCGCACATCTAGGAGGCAGATCTCGGTCAGGGTCGGAACCCAAGATCGTCGATGGCCGGGCGGTGGGTTTGAGTGTGAGCGTCGGAGCATCGCCGTACGCGACACCTAGCATCACACCCGTTGGCCCACTGAGTCCGCGGGTGACGCGAGCTCGAAACCCGGATCGACACGTGCGCTTCTCGAGCGATCGCTCGGAGTCGCCTCCTCGTCGGGTCGGAGCAACGAGCAACTTCACGCTCTACCTGCCCGAAGAGGACGAGGAAGCCATCCTTCCGTCCGAGAGCGAAGACTCCGATGCCAGCGGCAAGGACGGCGAGCTCCCACCCACACCTGCTCCCAGTGGCCTGCTGAATCGTCTCCGTCGACTCTCGGACTTCACCTCGTCCGGCAACCCACCCAAACCCGTCAGCGACACGCCCACAGCCGACGGCACAATCATGTACATCGAACCCTCCTCCCCTCGCCTCCAAGTAGAGCTCTTCGACGAACCACCACTGCAGCACGTCCCGCACACGTTCCTGTCACACCGCACCCGTCGGTCCAAACGCGACGGGCTTGTCTCGCCATACAACGCCAACAACCCCTTCTTTGGCTACCCCGCCATCCAGCCCACTGCACAAGAGGCCACTTTCCGGCTCAATCGCAGCGCCACACCTCAGCACCTGCACTCGCGACGTCGCAAGCGCGATCTACTGCGGACACTGACGTACCTCTTCGTGCTGAGGATTCTGGCGTTCCACCGAAGATTAAGATGGAGGATGTCGCTCGTGTGGCGCGAAGCAGCACGCACATTGAGTGTCGGCCCGCGCGCTGCCGGCGCAGGCGAAGGGGAGGACGACTTCTGGAGAAACCTGGACATGAGCCGTCTCTCGGCCGTGCAGGAGGACGAGCGACGAGCGAGGGAGAAGATGAACAAGAGCCAAGGACCAGTGGGCAAGATGGTGAAGAAGCTGATGGGCGCCGTGGTGCTGTTGATGCTGCTCAGACCGGAGTGGAGGCAGAGGGCGATGGTTCAGGTGTATGCCACCTTCGGGTCGATGCTGGGTCGAAGAGACGCAGGAAACGAGGTAAACTGGGACGAGTGGGACCAGAGCGGTGTAGCAGCCAACTCGACCGCCAAGCAAAACAGAAGCTGGACGGGGATGCATCTTCGCCGGCGGATCGGCTTGAAGGCCAACGTCGACACGAAGGGCGTTCCTCCGGTCACCACGGCTGCTGCCCCTGGCAAAAGCGGCAAGAACTCCCGCGCTGTCAACCCACTCGCCGTCGCGGGCGGCCTGATCTCAGCCGCCTCGCTTGCCTACCTTCTCTATACCTACCTCACCCCCTCTTCGGACCCGAACAAGGACGATGACGACGACGTTGCCTCTCGGCGCACCTCGCTCAAACCTACGCCCTCCAATCGCGTGCGACCATCCCTCTCTCTCTGCCTTTCGCCTCCCTTCGCCCGGTCCCCCGAAAACATCGCTGGCCTGCGCACGCTCCTGCACGCCATCTGCCCGGTGTTCGTCGTGCACCTCATCGTGCCCGGATCCCCCGATGACGAGCTGTCCGCGTCCATCGCCAGCCTCAGCGCCACCCTTGGTCCGATCCGGGACTTTGACGCGCGTCGCGTGCTCGAGTACACCCAGCCCGCCGGTCGATTCGCCCTCTCCCGAGCGCTCGCGTGCGATTGCCACGTCGAAGTAGCGCTACCGACAAGCGAGGAGAGCGGCACAGTGACGGAGTTGATGAAGGTTAAACGCAGTTGTGGGCTGGTGGTGTTTGCGAGTTTTGAAGGTGGGGAGGGTGGAGGAAGGGCGGTGTTGGCGGAGCTGAGAAGGGTTGCTGAAGAGGCAGGAGCACCAGGGAAGGACGCTCCGAATGGCATGCGGGCGTTTGACCTGGGTGCCAGTGCCGAGGCCGAGAGGTGGAGGGTGCTGGGTGTCAAGCTGGGCGAGTTGAGGGAGGGATGGAAGTGAAGCAGCCGCACACGGGTTGGAGAGGGAGAACATGCATTGCGACTGGGAAATGGGAAATGACAGTGATTGTGGAAATGTGCGATGTTTGACGATGTGAGAACGAGCCAATAAACGTCTGCAATGGATTCGAGGACACGAGTGAGAAATCGGTTTCCCCAACAGCAGGGCAGCGAGCGCGCGGTCACCGCTGCTGACTGTGTCCTTCAAACTGACCTCCGCCTGCGCCCAACCAAAACGGCTGCTCCCCACCGCCGACGGCGCCAGGTGGAGCCCGTGGCTTTCCAAGATTCAACCTGAGCCCACCGCCGTCCTCGGGAGGACTCGGGCTCGGCGTCCGCGGTCCACTGTTGAGCGTATCGAAAGAAAACGACACATCACCACTCTGCGGCTGCGATGGCCAAGAGAGGTCGGGAAGCATGTTGGCAAAGGACCAGTTTTCCAGGCCGAGTGCGTTGTATTGTGGCGCTGAAAAGTCTTGTAGGACGGGAGCTGGATAAGCGAAAGCATGAGGTGGGGGAGGGTAGTAGAATGCAGCTGGATCGGGATGGTGGTGCTGAGTAGGGAATGATGGGTCGATGATGGTCGAGGCGGTGAGCGGAGTGACTAGGCCGTTGACCTCGGTGAACGGGAACAAGGCTGGTGGCCAAGGTGAAGCGTTGGTTGGACAAGCTGAGCCGGTGGTGTCATGACCGAAGTCTGAGGACGTGGAAGGGAAGGCTGAGAACGAGTGCGACCGCGGCATGGCAACGCCGCCGCCAAAAGACGATGCGGCGTGGTTGGCGACGAGTCCGAGACCGATCGGGAGCTGACCGTGTGGCGTGCCAAACGCATCGCCCGTCGACGAAGATGGAGCGTGTGGGAGCGGTCTCGTCGTCACCTCTGCACTCGAATGGCTGCTGGCGATACTGCGTCTCTTCTTCCCAACGTCGACACCACCCGTTGAATTGGACTTGACCATCGCGCTCGCCCGTCTCTTCTTGCCCTTTCCACCCTCGTTCACATTCTCTGGAGTGACGCCCGTCTCCTCCCCCATCCCGTCATCCACCCCGTCCCACCCAACCAACGTACTCACTCCCACCCTCACCTCCCCCTCCTCCCCCCTCTCCCTCAACCCCTCCTCCTCCCTCGCCACCCTGTACACATCCATCAACAACGCCGCCTTATCCGCCCGGATCAGCGCCACCACCTCGGCGGTGGCCAACTGCAGTCTCGCCACCTTCACCTTCTCACTGCGCAAAATCGTCAACAGCAACGTGTTCCTCTCGGCCTTCATGAGGTGGTCTGGCTCTTTGTGTCGGACTCCCTCGGGCCACCAGCTGGGTTTACCGGACTCGCCCTTGTTGTATGGGCAGCGGGTTTGCTTTTTGGGCTCGATGATCTTGATCCACGCCTTGGCGACGATTTTGCAGACGGATTGTTGAAGTTGGGCGAACCGCAAATGGAGGAAGGCGGTACGGGCGGTGAGGTCGGGAAGGACGATGTGAAGGGTTGGAGTGGTCGGACCGGCGGGACGCGGTTGTAGGGAGGTGGGACGCGGGAGAAGAGGCGTGGACGAGCGCGGCGGGTTGAGATTGGTGAGAAAGAGCGGTGCGGATCGAGGTTCGTCGATGCGAGTTCGGAGGAAGTGCTGGTTGGCGATGGCGGTGTTGAGCGGTGCCGGTCGCTTGCCCTTCCCTTTGGTGGTCTCAGCTTGATCCAGCACACTGTCCATGTCTGGCACTCTGCCCTTGGTCACATCGAGAAACACATCATCCTCAACATCACCCCGACTCTCGTCGTCTTCCTCGAAATCCCACGACTCCTCGCGCCTCTTCTCCATATCCTCACCCGCCCTCGCGCCGAGCACCAACCCCCTCGCCTCCGCCGCAATCCCCTCCATCTCCTCGCCACTCCCTCCTTTCCCAAACCAACCCCCCAACCGGTTTTGAAAAGCCTCACTCGCGTACGTCTCCACATCCCCCCTAGCGGACACCCACATGATGGCGAAATGAGACCCGTTGATGTACGCCGCCTTGCCGAGCGCCCGCAGGATCTGGTCGCGTTTGGCCTTGAAGTGGCGCTGCTGCCGAGCCGGGGAGGCGTACGGCTCGGTTCGCGTTGGAATTCGGGGCATCGTGATCGTTTGGATCGGTGTCGATGCGATCGTCGTGATGACAAATAACCTCGATGGCGGTGATTGTGACTCGCGATGAAGCTTTTCGGTGGATGATGCAATTCAGTGTGCGTAGAGGGGGCGACAAGAAGAGAATACGAAGAGGCGACGCTGTCGTTGCGCTACGTCATGAGGTGATTGTCGATGAGTGGTTGTCGAGCGTGAATAATGCTGCTGCAAGAAGATTGAGATAGCAATACCAATAATGTCGATACAGATGGAACAGCTAGGTGTAGGGCATCGTACACGATGGAACAGTGAAAGATGAAGAAATAGAGAGGGAAGGAGAAAAGAACGAGAAGAAGAAGATGATGATGATGACGAACCAACCAGCAACTCTAACGACAAGGGCAACACCTTCACGAGTTGAGACGCCTTCTCTTCCGCCATCACGGCTGATGTTGTGATGGATCGGTAGAAGAAGCGAGCTGCCCGACCGAAATACCAGCGCGAAGCCTTGGCAAGCGAACAACACAAGCCTACGGGACAGCAACCCTTCAGCAGCGAGCTGTTTCGGACAACGCAAGGTCAAACACACCGAGGAAGTGAGTGGCGCCCGTCCAAGAGCGATCTTCCAGGAATGCAGTTCGTGTCGTCATCCACCCGAAGAAGAGGGACCGGTGCCCTGCTCTGGGAACGACTGTGTGAGCGTAGTGGAGAGGGGGCAGGGAGGGGCGATACTTGACAGCCGACCCCGTCTCGCCGTCGACACGCGGGGTCGGAGGGAAAATTTGTGGGAGAGCTGCAAGGGAGAATTTCGCAAGTGTGTATGCGCAGTGCATTCCCGGCGCCCTCATTCCTGAGCTTGTAGGCAGACGACTTTGCAGCCCACTTCTCTGGGCTTTCTCGGAGAAGCGTGCTGCCTGCAACGAGGCGGCCTGACAGCATCGTTCGGTTGGCGGTGAGCAGCGGCGTGCAGAGGGGGGAGGTGAAGACGGGTAGAGAGGCAGTCAACTGCATTCCACGGCAGTCTGTTCTCAAGGGAACATATCTCGGGTTTAATCCCAGGCCTGCTTTGCGCTCCCACCTGTTCGACTGGTGGAAGAGTGCCCATCTCGCCAGCGCCTGTCTGTCTAGTAGTGTTGATCTTCCAATCTGCCGCCTTTCCATGAAGCCGATCGACGCTCGAAGTGGCACTCAAACATTCTACTAGTGTCCGCTCAGCTTCTCATCTTCGCCGCCCAGATCCAACCGCCACACACGGCATCCCGAATCGATGCGAAACGATTGCCAGAACGAAAACGGTACAAATACAATGCGCGCCAACGGTGAAACCCCCTCACTTGGACGTGCTATCGGCCATCTTGCAAGCGACGATCTTGACCTTGTCGACGTCGAGGATGTCGGCATTGTCGAGCTTGAGTGTCGCATTGCGCACGCGGAATGTCCAGACCTCTTCGCAGAGACGGTAGTCTTTTAGGTGGCCCTGTTTGCGCCCAACGTTGCATTCGAGTGGAGAAGGGAGTCAGGGCGGGGCTTCGACGGTGAGGAAGTGGAGTGTGGAGAGGGCGAGGCCGTGAAGAGGGTGGAAAGGAGAGGAGAGGTGGTTGGGAAGAAGAGGGGGAGGGTGCGTACCTTGAGCTGGCTCTTAGCCTTAACATTCTTGCCCAGGTTGGTAGCGATGGCCTTGTCGAACTCGTTGAGCACGCGCATGGCGAGGACGGGGTTGATGTGACCTGACTGGATGAGTTCGTCGAGCGCATCGGTGAGCTGCATGCCGATGCTGTGCGTCGTCAGATAATAATCTTGGTCAGCGAGAGTCCTGGATCGCTGGTGGGAGCGCGAGGACTAAAGGGAAAGGAGTGATGGGAAGGGCTTACCTCGACCGGCGATACAGCTCATAGTAGAGCTGCTTGGAGTTGCTCGTCGACGCCATGATGCTCTTCCCTCGCGGCGATCAAGCCTGTGCTGCGGTACCGTGTCCTTGAATCGCAGTCGTAGTCTGAGTCGAGTTGAGCGACAGCAGCGAGGACGAAACAGCGAAGGAAGGAGGATAGACGATGACCGTTCAAAGCAAAAGAGCAACACCCAAAACCCTAAGTTGAGAGCGGCGCGTAACTCAGCTCTCTACATTTTTTCCGGCCGTAAAAATCTCGCCCCGCACACCTCCACACAGACGCACAAAAGCGGGGTTGGTCCGAGCGGAATGTGAATCTTTCTACTAGCTGACAGGATGATGCAACACCCCAGCCGGACTACTATCTTATCTTTAGCATCCATTCCGGCTTGAGGAGCTCGCTAACGAAAGGATTCTGACGTCGATCGCCGGTTCGGCGAATACGCAATCCACTCGCCTGGACCGCCCAGCTTCGCCTCTATAAGATCATCATCCATCGTCTCACCCGCCCCTCATTCCCACCACATCATCCTACGCCTCAAGCACACTTCACCATGGTCTCCGCGCTCATTCTCATCGCCGAAGGAACCGAGGAATCGGAATACACCATCGTATACGACGTCCTGGTTCGCGGGTCCGTCTCGGTCTCCTCGGCTCTCGTCGGGTCCTCCTCCACCTCTGCCGACCCAGCCAACCCGCACTCGGCCGCTTACGTCACCTGTTCGCGCGGGGTCAAGATCGTCCCCGACCTGCGTCTGCCCGATCTCGAGGGCGGAAAAGCGCTCGAGTACGACGCACTCATCATCCCCGGCGGCGCCAAGGGGGCTGAGACGATTAGCAACAACGAGGATGTAACCAAACTCATCGCTGCCATGTATGGCAAGGGCAAGGTCGTCGGCGCCATCTGCGCCGGAAGTCTGGCGATTAAGGAAGCGGGGATCGGAAAGGACGCTGCTATCACCAGTCACCCGAGTGTCAAGGCGGAGCTGGACAAGGAGTACACGTATAAGGAGGAGAGGGTCGTTGTTGCCGATAATTTGGTCACCAGCAGAGGACCGGGCACTGCGTTCGAGTTCGCACTGACGCTGGTGGAACAGTTGGTAGGCAAGGAGAAGAGGGACGAGATTGAGGGTCCACTCATCCTGCCTAGCGGAGCGACGATTGGTCACGCGCAGAGCTCGCCCGATGAAGTGACTCCAAAGGAGTGAAGCCCAGCAAAAGCACAACGAGTCTCATCGCAATGTCAGCTCATACCCCTCAAATCCCAGCAAAGAGTGCTTGTGCGTTGGACGGTGCGAGGGCACGGCAAGCAGTGTATTCCTGAAGACAGAGCGTTTCATCGTGCCGACCCGTTCTTCTTGGCATCCTTGCCCTTATCCCACTCCTCATCCTCGCCTCCGCCACCCCAACTCCAACTATCGCCACTCTTCCTCCGATCACCTTGGCTCATGAGCATCCCAAACACGCCCACTGCACCCGGCACACCCCCTAAGACGGGACTCGCCGTCCTCCCATGCCCATCTGAGCTACTGCTCGACAGACTCGCCCTCCTCACCCCCTCCTCCTCCACCCTCGTCGGCTGCAAATTCGGCGACCGCCTCGACCCCCCACCTGCCGCCTTGTACCACGGCGAATCGTTCGACGCCTCCTCCAACTGGATCCCCGGCGTTTTCGCCGTTGGATTCAGCTCCTCGATCGTCATCGCATTGCCCAATTTGCGCTCTGCTTCGCGGAGCAGGTCCGAAGCGTTCTCCCGCGCCGCCTGGAGTCGTTTGGTGAATATCGAGGCGAAGCTGCTTTCGCCCGTCTTGTCGGAGCCTGTTAGCGAGCCGAGGATGGATGTGCGACTGCTCCTCTGCGGCTTCGGCGGTGTTGGCGGCGCAGTGGGGAGCGGGGTAGCAATGCCATTGGCGTCCACGGTGAAACCCAGCGCGCGACTATCCCGGTCCGCAAGCGAAGCCAATCTGCCCTGCTTCGGTGCCGAGGTGATGGTCGTATTGGGACTGGTTGATCTGGATCTCGTCCCCACCGCGGGAGACCGTGGCGATCGAGGAGAGACAACGTCCGATCCTTCCTCTTCCAACACCCCCAGTCCTGTCGGGCGCAACATGCCGTCGACCGCCACCGGCGGCGGCGCGGCTTTCCGTCCCTTCTCCGCCACGGCTGGTGCGTCAACAAGGCTGTCCAACAGGTTGTTGAGCTGCGTTTTGAGATTACTGGGGAGTCGGGAGGAGAGACTGTTCCACGCGTCGACAGCGACGTCGCTCGTACTCGATGATGAGCCGTCCCGTCGATGTGCGCCGGTGGAGGGCGGGGCGGAGTAGGCGAGTTCTTTGGTGGCTAGCCGTTGCCAGGTGGTGCGAAGCTGGTGAAGTTGCGCTTCGGAGGTGGAGAGCTGTTCGCGGAGCTCGAAACAGTGGCGTTCTTTTTCGGCGATGAGCCGGAGCAGGTCGTGCGAGGTGCTGGGGAGCGAGTCGTCCGAGCTGAGGCTGAGACGGGTTGTGCGTGCACCGGACTGCGCAGGATCGTGCCGGATGAGGGAGAATATGAGCAGAGGAGGACGTGTCAGTCGACAGGTTTCCCCACAGCGGAGCTACGAACGACGAGCCAGATCGTTGGGATGGAGAAGAGGGAAAGGGAGACATACAGCCTCGGGTCTAGTGGCAGTCGATGCCCTGCCTTGCTGTCCGCACTGCCTGACGATCAAAGCTGTGACGTCTTGAGACCGAGCATTTCGCGCACCGACCGCAATCGCTGCTGGAGGCTCTCGAGAATCTGCTCTCTCGCGAGCTTCTCTTGCTCTGTCTCGCGTGCTACCTCCTTATCAGCCCCTTCCTGATGCTCTCTTTCATGCTCCATCGCCTCGTAATCCGGCTCCGCCAATGTCCCCAGCGTGACTGTATCGAGTTCCTTCGCCAGCTGTCTGAGCTCTTCCTTGGCTTCCTCCAACCTCGGGCTCGCCAGCAACGGCAACGACGACGAGCCACCGCCAGCACCGGCAACATTCGCACCACGCGCACGGCCCATCCGACTCCTCCCCGCAGCACCAGACGAAGCAGAGGTCGACAAGGAGACAGCTCCGCTAGCGGAGGACGTAAGAAGCAGCAACGCCGCTACCTGACCGCGCACGATCCCGACTCGACGACCCAGAGCAGCACCTACCTCGTTGAACCCCTGATCGAATCCGGACTGGAGCGTGCTCAGCTTGCCGGCGGTGATGCCTTCTCGGTAGCCTGTCTGTTGTGCGCAAAAACCCAAAGGGTGAGTCAGTCTACATGATGAAAGGGATAGAGGAGCGAGGGGAGAGGACGTACGTCGTTGAACAGGGCCTCTACTTTGGCCGAATCGCGCTCCGCCATGGTTTTGGTCGGGAGCGAAAATGACGCATCTTCCTCGCTCATCAACCAGTCGTCTGCGTCGGAGCTCGCACCTTGCGATGCTTGCGACGGTTTGCGTCGTAGGCTGCCGGAGGTGGCTCTGCTGATGGAGCCAGTGCGTGTCCGACTCGAAGCAGACGAGGTGGAGGGATTCCGACTCAGCCCTTCGTCCGCTTTGACGCTGGTCGCTGGCGAAGCGATGTATGTGATGCTCGAGCGTTGGCCTCTCCTCGGCGTGTCGGTGGTCGGTGGCCCTGAGGGAGTGGAGCTGGAAGCGACGGGTTGCGAGCCAAGATTGAGCGGTTTGGGGAAAGCTTGTCGTGAAGGGGTGTTCGCGGTGGGTGTCGACGCTGATGCCCATTCCGACTGGTCCATTTGTGGTGTTTTGAGGGCTGATGGCCCAGCAGTCTGCTGCTGCGATGCGTCCATCTTCGACTGTAATACCGTGCCAGCTCTGATGTCGAAGGGAAGGCAGCGTGCCGGACAGATGATGTCGCTGATCGAAACCTTAAAAAAGTGTCGCGAGGCGGCAGATGTCTCACAGACCGAAGCCATTTTTTCGCGTCATGGATGTCAGATTGTCCTCACCACCACTTTTGCAAAAAATGTCCGGGTGGTCGCGGCCGAGAAGAAATTGTCCAGAGTGCGATCGTCTCACATCGCGCTGTGCTGCCGTGAAATTTAAGTGAGAGTGCGGTGAGCTTCGGAAGCGAAGCAAAGCTGGTGAATTGGAACATCTGTGCCCAACGCTCGCCATCTGCTCGATATCGCTGTCGTCGTTGTTGGCTGTTGCTGCTGTCCACCACCATCACACCTTCATAGACTCTGTCATCATGTCGTACACAATCGCTGGTAAGTAGCACATACGCACATCGACATCCAACGACATCGCATCTCGACAGCCGCCTCGAACAGCAACGGTCGTTGCCATCAATGTGGATTACTAGATCTACTTCGAAATACAATACCGAACAACCCGCTGACCATCTCGACATGCATCTCGTCTCGGGCCACCTCGAATCGCTGCTGTTCCGACACCTGCAGGCCGCAAGATCCTCAACGAGCACATCGCCCTCGCCGTCCTCGGCACGTACGGTGTCATTGCTGCTACCCAGATGGGCGGCTCCAAAGAGGCCAAGGCGTCGGTCGCCTCGCCCGACTCCAAGGCCAACGACCCTCCTATCAACGCTTCCAGCTCGTAAGTTTGCACTCGCTCGAGCATCACAAGGTCTCACGATGAAATGACTGACTTTTGGCCCCTGCAATCTGTGTTGTGAACGGATCGGATGACGCAAATAGCGACGAGGAGGCCTTCATCAAGCAGTTCCTCGCCGAGGCTGAGGGCAAGGACGGCGAGCGTCTCGTTTAAAGCAAATCTTGCACAACATCCGCATGCACCTTCACAACCATGCGATGCAATCCTAACACAATACAGGACACGCTGCAGCATCGCTCTCTCATCTGATGCAGCCATTCAGGCAGCATAACCCTTCTCAGACGCCTGCGGTCTCGACATGACAGATGAAATATTCCAGCGGGCAAGCGATAGTGATACAGAGATTGCTGTCGTCCACAGAGCTTTCCACATCAGATCCTCGACAGATCCCTCCCCCAGATGCCTCTCTTGACATAATCGGTCAGCAACAGCATCCTCGTGCGCATACTGACACTTTCGCTGAGGTAGAAGCTCCTCCAGGCGTACATGGCTATCAACCCACCGGCGAAGCTGCCTCCCGGAATCGGCAGATCGAATGCCGCTGCATTGCCGATATACGCCAGACTGCCCAAGTTCTTGTAGCTGAACGGCTTGTACACCTCGTCATCGACGTCCTGCACCTCCTCGGCGGTGTGCGGGTGCATGTCGCCCCCTTCGTCCCTTCGCTTGGCGAGCTTGTTGAGCTTGTTGCCCAAGTAGTGGCCTTGCTGGGCCGCGACCTGGGCCGTGGCGGGCAGAGCCGTCATCTTGTTACCCGTCTCAATGAGTACGTTGGCAATCTCGTTGAGATTGAGCTGACCATCCTTGTCCGTATCGTACTCGTCAAACATCTCGCGCAGCTTGGTAAAGTGTTTCGAGGCGATGGGGAATTTGTGCCTGATAGCCTTGGCGAAGGTTTCGAATTCGGCGTACGAGAGACGACCATCCTTATCCTTGTCGTACCGATCGACGAAATCGTACAGGTAGTCGATGAGACGGGTGTCGATGGTGGATGCGTCACCGAGAGCGTACATCGTACCGAGGGGGGCGCCTTTGACGCGAAGATGCGAGTCGATCTGCAACGCTTTCAGGTGCGATTGGTTCGGCAGAATTTCCGTGACACGCTTGGTGAATGGGCTCATGGCGATGCCCGTCGACCAAAGCGTGAAGCCCGAAGGAACTTCGAGCTCGCTCACCTTGCCCGTCGAATCCTTGGTCGTATACACCACCCGATCCGGTTCCACACTCTTCACCCGCGCATTGACAATCACGTCCACCGCATCGCGCGCAAACTTGGCCTCGGCATACTCGGAGATCTTCTCCGAGTACGTGTTGAGAATGTGCTCGCGCGATTGGATGAGATGCACCTGCGCCTGGGAACGGAGCACCTTGGGGAAGTAATCGAACACGTCCTCGTTGATCATGTCCGAGATCTCGGCCGCGGTTTCGACACCGGTAGGACCGCCGCCGCAAACGACAAAGCTGAGTAAGCGCTTGCGTTCCGCCTCGGTGGTGGTGGGCAGGGAAGCGATCTCGAGGTTGTCCAGGATGTGGGTTCGGATCTTGCGTGCATCACCGATGGTTTTGAGGTGGAAGCAGTTTTCCAGACCGGGAACGCCGTGCGAGGCAGTGACGCTGCCGACCGCGACGATGAGCCGGTCGTAGGGGACGTATATGCTTTTGCCCTTGGTTTCTTTGCGTTCGCTTGCACCCGAGGCGATGCCGCAAAGCGCTTCGCCATCCCAGTCGTCACCGCTAATGACGTTCACCTCGAGCAGACGCTCCGAGCCGCCCTGGTAGACCGGCTTGTCGTCGCCCATAATGACGTCGACCGCATAGCCCTGGATGTAGTGACCGTGAACGCGAGCGAGCAGCTTGCGGATCGGTTCGATGAGCGATCGCGGCTCGACCGTTCCCACCGCAGCGGAAGGAAGCAGCGGGTTGAAGAGGTAGTAATTGTTGGGCGAGATCAAGGTGACGTTGTACTTTTCCGGATCAAGCGACTTGAGCAGACCGACGGCAGCCCAACCACCTCCGACAATGACAAGCCTCTCCTTGCCGGCGAGCTTCTTGCTCACCTCGTCCTGCTCATCCTCGGCGTAGGAGGTGAGGACAGGCAGGTTCTTGGGGCCGCCTTTCTTGGGCGAGAGCGCGAGCGGATGAAGTGGCACCTTGTCTACGTGCGCCTCGCGATACGTGAGCGCATCGTGGGCGAGGATGATGCCGGTGGTAGCGGCGAGACCAAAGACGATGGAGCCGATGGTGTAGCCTGTGAAGCGAAGGGTCTTGCTGATGATGCCTCGCTTCTTGGGTGAGATAGCTTGAGCCGCTTCGTTGAGCGGTGTGGATGCGCTTGCCGATCGAGCGGAAGAGGAGAAAGCGGAGCGGGCACCGCCCTGGAGAATCAATGATCGTGACACATTGGCTGGGAGCACTCTTGCACTCGCTCCAGCCCGGAGAGGGAGCATCGAGCAGGTGCGTGCGACGACCATTTCGAATGAGCTGGACGGGAAGCTCGATCAGGAGCAAGGCTGCTCAATAGCTCGGATGAAGGGATCCTGAACGGCAATTGGGAGAGCGGCTGAACGATCGACACGAGGGTTACTAGGATGAGGAGCGAAGGATAAGAAGAAAGGATATGAACCAGCTTCTTTTGACGATGAAATGAGCCGTGGGTTTGAGTCAAACAAGTTCCTTCGGAAGGGTCCTCCGAGATGACATGTGTCTGTCTCTCTTTGCCGACAGGGCAGGGCGCGCATTCCTTGGAATGGCACACCAAGTCATCCTGTCTCAATCCTGCTTCATTTCAGGCTTGCTGACATGGGAAGACCTGCACAATCTGCAAGGCTGCAGCCGGATGACGCACAGACTCGAACCACGCTCAGAATTTTTAGCCAGATTCTCGGATGCTGATGGCCGATAACGATGGATTTTCGCAAAGAAATCTGATCCGTCGACGTAACACCATCTTTGTCCAACTGGGTCACGGCCGACAGACCCTAGAGACCCTTGCAGCACGGCGAAGACGCGTGGAAGGCTCAGCTTTTTGTCTGCAAGGCTGTGTGTCGCGCCTTGAGCTAGGAAGAAATGCAGGTTGAGACAGCAGCGGGAAGACAAAGATCACGTTGAGAGACAGAGAGAAACGAGATGTGTTGCTGTTAGTCTTGGCTCGGCATTCGGGAAGATTGCAGTTCGGCCTCGAAATCAGCACGGACAGCTTCATCTTTGTCGTTTGCTCACCACCACCCTCCAACGACTCAATTCCCGCAAAGATGATGCGAGCGGACAACCCAGACGATGGGCTCGGCAGCTCGGCGCCACCGCAGATCGAGCAGTTCATCGCACACACCAACAAGCTCCAACAGCGATACCAGTCCTTCCTCGACGGCACCACACCGTATCCGCTCCAACGATGGGGAGCCACCGCGGGCCTGCTCTTCCTCTTCATGCTCCGCATCGTGCTCTCCCAGGGATGGTACATCGTGTGCTACGCGCTCTTCATCTACCTCCTCAACCTCTTCTTGGCGTTCCTCACGCCCAAATTTGACCCCTCCTACGAGCAGGATCTGGCAGAGCAGGATGTGGAAGAGGGCGAACCCGGGCTACCCACCTCCGCCTCGGCAGCAGCAAAGGGTCCCAGCGGCGGCGGCGGATTGATGAGCGGCGTCTTCGGTGGCAGCCTCAACGGTCAGAGCACAGACGACGAGTTCCGTCCTTTCATCAGGCGTTTGCCAGAGTTCAAGTTCTGGCACTCGGCCACCCAGGCCATCGTCATCTCCATCTTCTGCACCACCTCCAGCGCCTTCGACATCCCCGTCTTCTGGCCCATTCTGTTGATGTACTTCTGCATCCTCTTCACCATCACCATGAGGAGGCAGATCAAACATATGATCCGCCACAAGTACGTCCCCTTCGATCTTGGAAGGAAGACTGTCTACGGACGCAAGTGATGCTCAACGGCAGCACACCTTCAGCCGACCACACACATCTCTCCGAGGGACACTTCCACAACTTGTAAATACAACGCAAAGGTAACCTTTACATCTATCCATTTCTAGATACATTGCATCATGTTTCTGGCTTCTGTTCGAGCGACTCGAGCAACCGCATCAACCTCTGTCGACCAGTCCATTCTCTGCCACCGTTGCGTACTTGCTCCCACTCATCCAGCAGGTCCAGGTCGACCGACCGAGCACCCAGATCAAAGATGCGCTGACAAGACCCCGGGCCGACGCCTGCTTTGCTCGCCATGCGGCTCTGCATGCTACTGTGGTGATAGTCGTTCCTGTCTCCCTCTCCCGCCCGCTGTGCCTTCCCCTCCGCCTCGTCCAATGGCTTCTCTTGAGCAGGCTGCTCCTCTTCGTCCAACGCAGCCATCGGCGGTGGCGAGAGGAACCTCGTTCCCCTAAGTGGCTCCGGAAAGTACTCCTGGTGCACCGGGTGCGCAAACCTCGGCTCGTACCTGTACTCCTTGCCGTACCCAATGTCGCGCATCAACTTTGTCGGTGCATTCCTGATATGCAGCGGAACAGGATGATTGTACGCTCCCTCCACGAGCGCCTTGGCCTTCTTCCAAGCGCGATACGATCGCGTGCTCTTCGGCGCCTCCGCAAGGAATACCACACACTGCGCCAGGTTCTCTCCGCATTCAGGTAAGCCGACGACCTGACAAGCCTGGTATGTGGCCGTCGCCATCTGCAGCGCTGGCAGCGTGTCGACGTCTTCCGAGGCTGCTACGATCAGACGCCGCGCAATGAACAGAGGGTCATCCCCGGAGCAGACCATGCGAGCGAGCCAGTACAGAGCGGCGTCGGCGTCCGAGCCCCGAATCGACTTGTGCAGCGCGCTGATCGTGTCGTAATGCATGTCGCCGGTTCGGTCGTATTGCAGAGCGGTGCGTTTGAGGGCGGTTTTGAGCCGCGCGAGGTTGTCTGCAGAGTCAAGACCGGGGTCAGTGGTGGAGAGGGCGAGTTCGAGCGCACCGAGAGCTGTGCGTGCATCGCCGTCGGCCATGTTGGCTATCCATCGGATCAAGTCGTCGTCGATGTGACTCGCAATCGACGCCTCGGACTGATCCGAGGAGCCGAGCTCTTGCTGTTCGCGCTGGACGCATTTAAGAGCGTTGCGAAGCACCTGGCTGCACTCGTCGACGCTGAGCTTGGTCAGCACAAAGACGCGCATCCTCGAGATCAGCGCGCTTTGCAGGCGGAAGGACGGGTTCTCGGTGGTGGCGGCGACCAGCACGATCTGCCCCTTTTCCACTGCGGGTAAGAAGACGTCCTGCTGAGCTCGGCTGAAGCGCTGGATCTCGTCAATGAAAAGCAGCGTCCGTTGACCGGTGAGCTGAAGGCGATGCAACGCTTCGTCCATGATCTTCTTGACATCGGCGGTGCCTGAATTTGCAGCTGAGATCTCGACGAATCGATGCGGGGGTGGGCCGTGTGACGATGAGGTCGACGACGTCGTGTGCGAGGCAGACTTGGCCAGAAGTCGAGCCAAAGTGGTTTTGCCTGTGCCAGGTGGACCCCAAAGGATCATAGAAGGGATCTTGCCCTGTCGCAGAAGCATCTTGAGCGGACCATTGACGACCTCGCTCTGGCCAACGTACTCTTCGAGAGTCTGAGGCCGCATCCTCTCCGCGAATGGTTTCGCTGCATCGATGCGACTTCGTGAGGACGATGGCACGGACTGCTGCACTTGATGGTCTGCATTCGGTGTACTGTGACCGTTTCCGTTCGACTCTGATCTATGACGCTTGGTGCTGTCATCGCCCGGCGGTGCTGCGTAGCTGGCGTGCTGAGGGGCCTGCATAGGAGACTCTGTCGGCCTTTTCAAGCCGCGAGGCGAAGCAGCTGTTGCTGACATCTTGTCCGGCGTTCGACTCGGAAAGATGCCATTCCATTGTTCCGACTTGACTGGCCTCTCGTTGCTGCTGCCAGAATGCTGTCCGCCGGAGAGGCAAGTGTCGAGGTGTGGATTGAGCTGCGAGAGAGGCAGCTTGAGTTGGCAGCTCGGGCATTCGACGAGGCTCGATGACGAGCTCATCTTGGACGGTGTCTCGGTTACTGGTAGTCTACAGGCCACATGATTCGCTCCGCTGGAGGGTGCGAGCGAGCGACCAGCGCGATTTGATAGGAAGCCAGAAAGAAAGGTGCAGTATGATATGACGGCGGTGAGAAGAAGCAAAGCTCAGTTTTGGCGCTTTCAAGGGTCCAAGGGTCTCGTGTCTGATGTGCCAAAATTGTGCCGGTGCGCTGCCTCGAGAATTTTCGTGTCGCGCCTCCACACAACGAGCAGAAATTCATGATTGTTAGGTTGAGAGACAGCTTTCTTTCATCTCCTCATAGAGCAGCAAAAGACGAGCAACGCAGCCAGAGCAGACGCTGACTATCAGAGCAATGCAGCGATGACATTCAAGATGTACATGTGATATGCACCCGCTGATGGTGAACGGGGCAAAGCAGGGAATGACTTGTCGAACAGAGAGCAAAAGAGAGCAAAGGAATGTACAACGAGAACTTGCGTCCTAGGTCATTGGATCGCCAACGAAGGGCGTACCTCTACCTACGACGCACCCATTCCCATCGTCGCACCAACAGGCAGCCCCTTCCCTCCAAAACCCCCGAAACGTCCTGCAAGCCCAACTTGCGTCGAACGAGAACAGAAGCGAGGAGAGAAAGAGAAGGCGTCGCCTGCTTATGGTGGTATGGATCTCCGTCCAGCATTACGGCCTCGTACGGTCCTCGGCGGTCCCTTCCGTAGAAAAGGATTGCCATGCGAAGAGGTGCTTTTATAGTAGACGGGGTGCGTACCCCCTCCTAAAGGGGTACGACTTAGCGTTAAGGAGAAGAAGGAAGGAGCAGCACGACCAAGATCAACTTTTGAAGCTCTCAAATTTTGCTGTCGACCCTCACCAACAAGATTTCTCTGAGGGCTTGTCGGCCGGAAAATTTGGAGCAGCCTCGACCTCGTGATCAGGGTCCAGCTGAGCCGTGCTTGACATGCCCACCTTGTCAAGCTCCTTGCACCACTCGCCAGCAATAGGGAGGCCCTCCAACCACTCGCCATGTCGTCCGGTGGCAACAGCGGCTACACAAGTCGGCCGTCGAGGCTGTCTCGCGTCGATCTGGGCGCTGACGACGACGAAGAGCTCGACTACTCCGAACAAGCTGGCCCGAGCAACCCTGGCAGGCACACGGCTTCCAAATCACATCCGTCTTCTCGATACGATCCAAGGAGGTCTATTGAAAGGTCACGCCGCTCATATGACGATTTGGACGAATCTCCGAGCTACAGGCCATCTTACGATTGCCATTACCAGGAGCAGGGATCGTCTCGATCTCCTGCAGTACCGAGGACCAGACGTCCCAGCAGATCGCCATCACCGCAGCCAGACAAGGACGTGCTCGCCTACATCCGTGCGCAAAAGGAGTCAGAGACTTCCGCGTCCAAAGGAGAGCTTGAGCTCGCAGAACAGCTCAAGAGGGACAAATTTCAGCATGGCGCTGGCAAGGTCAAATCGCGCGTGCAGAAGGAGAGAGAAGCCGAGGAGAAGAAACGCAAGCAGGCGGAACAAGATGCTGCCAAGGCGTACGATGAGTTCGTGGCAGCGATGGGCGCTGACGAAGATCAGGACAGCAGCAAGCGAGCTCGTGGTCAACCGACTCGCTCAAAGCCAATGGGCTTCGTCGCGGCTGGAGGGGGAGCGTATGTCGGGTCAAGGTCAGAGCCAGTCAAGCCTATCGAGCCACCACCCGAGCAGCAGAGCGAGGCTACACAACCCAGCAGCTCAGAGAAAGCATCGCTCAAACGAGTCAATGCTGCTTTTGGCGACGACTCGAGCGGTGACGAAGCATCTGCATCCAACTCTCATCCGCCTCCCACGCGACAAGAGCCACAACGCAAGCGACAAGCCATGTCCTCCTTCCTCACCGAGCTGCAAAGCGAACAGGCACAACGCGAATCCCGGCTCTCTGACCTCGCTTCCACCACCAACAAGTCCATATCTACGCTGCTAGCCAACGAGACGCTCGCCAAGCCCGGCTCTCGCGATCTCGCCTCCGATCCGCTCACCACCAACATCTGCATCGTCACGCTGCCGCTCAATGTCGACGAGCGCAGTGTCGGCGACTTCTTCCGCGCTTGGGGCGACATTGCGACTGTAAAGATCATGTGGCCGAGGGGAGAGCAGAGGGAGAGAGCGACCGGCTTGACCGGGTTCGTAGCGTTTATGACACGAGCCGAGGCCGAACAGGCATTCAAGGAGGCCGATGGGGCCACATGGGCCGGGGTGAGGCTCAAGCTGAGTTGGGGCAAGGCGATGCCTCTCCCATCTCGAGCAATGTATCCTCGGTCGACAGATCACAAGAGGGAGGAAAAGCAATCGGGTGACAGCAGAGATAGCGGGAGGGGTGCCAGCAAAAGCAACGCCCCCAAACTCATCATCCGTCATCGACGTTCCGGCGCAGGCGTGGACGAGCAGAGGCAGCACATCCGAGACAAGGTACGACAAGACTGTCCGGAGATGCAACGTCTTTTCATCGAAACCGTCGCCTCGAGGATCCGCAGCAATGGCGCCCACTTCGAGCACATCCTACGCGAGCGAGAAGCGGACAACCCCAAGTTCGCCTTCCTGTTCGAACAAGACTCTGTGCTGCATCACTACTTTCGCCTGTGTCTGGACGAGCACTACCTCCCTGTCGCCCTCGACAACGACGAAGAGCAAGACTTTGACGATGCAGGCAGCGACGCTCTCTACTCGACCGATTCGGGCGAGGAATCCGAGACCAACCGCATCAGCCTCAATCGCAGCACAACTTCGCACACACCTCTCTCCCCGCTCGCCCGACGCCGCCTCTGCGCGATGCTGCGCAGCCTCACTCTACGTCGCGAGCGCATCGCCCGAATCACAGCTTTTGCCATGGACCACGCCTCAAGCTACCCCACCGTCGTCCGCCTCCTCGCCACCTCGCTCCTCCAGCCTTCCACACCAATCCCGCGCAAGCTCGCCCGCCTCTACGCGCTCAGCGACATCCTTCACAATTCCGGATCCCCCATCTCCAACGCCTGGCGATACCGCGCCGCTCTGGAAGCACAGCTACCCCTCGTGTTCGCACACCTCGGCCAGGTCGCAGCGAGCTTTGCGGGGAGGATGAAAAGGGAGGAGTTCAGGGGGAAGGTGATTGGCGTGTTGGAGGTGTGGGAGGGCTGGATTGTTGTGGGACCGCATGTGTTGGAGAGGTTGAGGCGGTTGTTCGATCGTCCGCCGATGGTCAAGAGCGCGGTGGAGGAAGAGGATCTGGATGGGGAAGCGCTCGACCCTGCACAGCCTGCACAGTCGAACAGCATCGAAGAAGAGGATCTGGACGGAGAAGCACTCTGATCACTCGCACACACATCTATCTCGAAAACCAATCGAACTGACATTAAGCATCAAACGTTACACCCTGAGCAAGCGCCACCTTCCCACTGTAGTTGACCGTACTCGTCGCCCACCTGCAGTACTGCTTCCACGCATCACCACCGCACTCCCTACCCCAACCGGTCGCCTTATTGCCCCCAAACCCGGCACCCACCTCGGCACCACTCGTGCTGACATTGACATTGACAATGCCGCAGTCGCTACCGAGCGCGCCCTGCCAGGCGCCAATGTTGGTCAGGGCCGAGGTGAACAGGCTGGAGCTCAAACCTTGACGAACGGAATTGTTGAGCGCGATGGCCTCGTCGAGCGTGTCAAAGACGGCAATGTTGAGGATGGGAGCAAAGACCTCTTCGTCGAAAACGGCCGAGGTGGAGGAGGAAGGCATGGTGATGGCGGGCAACACGTAGTTGCCCTTCCCCTCAAGGTGCGTAGGCAGCCCAGTAGCAGATGGCGATTCGGGTCCGAAAAGAACCTTGCCACCGCTCGAACGGATGCTGTCCAGCGTCTCCCAGTACTTCTCCACTGCAGCCTTGGAATGCAGCGGACCACATAGAATACCACTCTGCGTAGGATCCCCAATCAGACCCTTGGTCTGCAGACTCTGATAGAACTTGACCAGTCTTTCGCAGAACCGATCCGCAATGCCGCGCTGCAACAACAGCCTCCTCGTCGTCGTACACCTCTGACCAGCCGTACCCACCGCAGCAAACGCCACACCAGTAACGGCCAGCTCGAGATCCGCATCGTCCAGCACGATCGCTGCGTTGTTCCCTCCCAACTCCAGCAGAATCTTGCCCAACCTCCCCGCCACGTCCTGGGCAACGATCTTGCCGATCTTCTCGGAACCCGTAAAGCTGGTCAACTGCACCCTGTCATCGCGGGTGAGACTCTGACCCGTCTCGACATCTCCGCAGACCAGTCCGACCAGTGCACCCGGCAACCCATGCTTCTGGAGCACCTTGACGATCAACTTTGTCGTGGCGATCGCGGTCAGCGGCGTAGTCGGGGAGGGCTTCCACACCGTCGCATTACCGGCGATGAAGCTGAGACAGAAGTTCCAGCCATGCACGGCAACGGGGAAGTTGAACGCGGTAATGACACCCACCAGACCGAGGGGATTGGGGATCTCATAGATCACATGGCCCGGTCGCTCGGAAGGGAGGACGTTACCTACGATGCTGCGCGACAGACCCACCGCCATATCTGCCACATCGATCACTTCCTGCACCTCACCCCGACCTTCGGAGAGAACCTTGCCCATTTCGAACGAGATGAGCGCCCCGAGGGCGTCCTTGTGCGCGATGTAGGCCGAGCAGATGTCCTTCATGATCGCACCGCGATTTGGCGCAGGGAGGGCGGCAAAGGTGCGCTGGGCGGTGCGGGCGGCAGCGAGGACCGAGGAGACTTGGGCAGGTGTGGCCGAGGTGACCGTAGCAAGCGTGGCACCGGTGGCGGGGTTGGTCGAGGTGAGCGTGGAGGAGGTGGACTGGCCGTGCGACCAGGAGGTGCCGTCGAACACGCCTTCGATGCGCGAGCCGGGAGCGGGCAGGTCGAGCGCCGCGAAGACGGACTCGATGTTAAGAGGCGAGTTGGCCATCTTGGACGTGGAGGTAGGGGCAGCGGGCGCTGCGGGGGTGACGATTGGCTCAGGCATGATTGCGATGGTGAGAGCGATGTTGGTGTTGTAGCGGGTTTGCTATGAGGGAAGAGGCGGACGCGAGCTTTGATGCTCGCACCGCATCTTATATCTTACGAAGCAGACCTGGTAGCAGCCGTGCTGTGTGACCGTCGGACGACCATAATCTCAGCGTCGATCCAGCCGTCAAGACCGTTGAGACGGTCCGTGGACCCAGCACGGCGGGACCTCGACCTAAGCGGCGCACCTTCAAAGGCAAAGGAGAGCGAAATGGCAGAAATGGACAGGTCGGCAGCACGAGCTCCGCTCCCAAGGCTCTGCGCTTTCTTCGCTTCCAGCCGGTCTGATAGCCAGTCTCGCCTCCATCACATGGCCTATAGTCAGCGAGCGTTCGCACAACTGCACCAACCCTCATCTGCACGATGTGTCGACACAATGCGAGGCAGGCAGGAGCAGATGGCCAGCGCAGCAAGCCATCGCGGCGAAACACCGATTCGTACGCGCTCGGCGAATTGCCGAAATGTGGCTTCTGGCTGAGGGGCCGAGGAGACGCGCGCTCTTTCGCCGTTGTCCCAATTCGGCATTTTGCCGGTCGAGCCTCGCCCAAGCCTCATTGTCTCCAAAGCTTGTCATCGAGCATCACTGAACTTGGCGCAGACATAGGAGACACTTAGACTTGGTGCGGTCATGTGTCATGGTCGGCTGCGAGCATCGAGAGAGTGGGTCGATGGCGCAGGAAGAGTTGAGTTGTTTTTGGCCGAGGCCTTACGACTGTCGAACAGTGCGCAGCGCCGTTGCAGCCGAACGCTTGCCGGTTGATACGCACCCTCATTTTGCGCAGCAAACCGACTGATAAGCCTTGACCTCCCATTCGGGCCTGCGCTGCCGACCAAGTTGCCGTTGCGCACAGATGACAAGTTCAGGAGATATATCAAGCACGCTTGGATGCAGCCTCGTCTCCTGTCTCACAGGCAACCCCAGCGAGTCATTCGAGAAACGCTCGCCTGTTATGTACGCCGCCGACACTGCCAACTACACATTCGTCTCTTCGTCCATCACATCGAGTCCTCGTGCAGAACACCATCGAAGCTTATCGCAACACGCCAAGAGGGAATCAAGAGACGTGTCGACGAGATCAAACGAGAGGTGTGACGTGCATCACTCGGTAGCTCAGCTTTATTTGCGTACACTTCCTTCGCTCGACGCTCTCCCTCGTCGAGGCTACAGCGATACCATCGTCGGGGAAAAGATAAAGCGTCGACGTCCAAGAAGAGCAACTTCAACCGCAGCAACCATGGGTCTCGAGCATAACAGCGAGCTGTCGGCGGGTCTGCCAACCATGGCGCCGTCATTCGGCAAATCTCCTCCCTCCACCCTCCCTTCCTCCTCCTTCCTCCAATCCCAATCCGACGACCTTCCAGCGCTGAGCAGTGCCGAATCGAGCTCATCGCCCTCGTCGTCCTCCTCCTGTACCACCTCTCCTTCGCTGACGAGCACGCAACTGCGCACGCTCCTCGCATCCTCCATGTCGTCCATGTATCGCACCGAGGTCCCCCTCTACGGCGACCTCCTCTCGATCATCTCCACCGTCAACTCCTCCATCATCTCCCGCGACCCGACTCTGATCAGTGACGACGAGATCTCGCGTCTCTCTGTCGAGCGTCATGGCGCAATTCGCGTCGGAACCGCCTCGGAGCTCACACTCCTGTCTCGAATCTTTCGCATCTTTGGCATGCACCCCGTGGGATACTACGATCTGTGGAAGGATGCGCGGCTGCCCATTCACGCAACCGCTTTTCGACCCGTCACCGCGCAAGGTTTGCTCAAAAACCCCTTCCGCGTCTTCTGCAGTCTGTTGCGGATGCATCTCATTGCCAACCCTTCCACGAGGCGGTTGGCGGAGGAGCTCCTGGGGAAGCGAAAGATCGTTTCCACCCGATGTATCGAGCTGCTCCACAAGGCCGAAGAGTCGACCGTTGGATCGGAGGGAGAGGTGAACGGGTTGACACGGGACGAAGCGGTGGAGTTCGTCGAGTGCGTAGTCCCCATCTTTGCCTGGCACCCCACATCCCCTGCTACAGTCGACGAATATGATCGACTCGCAAAGACCCATCCGTTGGTGGCGGATATCGTCAGCTTCCGCGGCCCGCACATTAATCATCTCACCCCGAGGACGCTTGATATCGACGCGGTGCAACGGGCCATGGTGGAGCAGGGGATGGATGCGAAGGACGTGGTAGAGGGCCCTCCGAAAAGGGACTGGGCAGTGCTGCTCAGACAGACGAGCTTTCATGCGTTGTCCGAGGCGGTGGTGTTTGATGGTGAGGTGGAGGGGAAACACAAGGCGAGGTTCGGGGAGATCGAGGCGAGAGGCATGGCGCTGACGAGGAAGGGGGCGAGACTGTACGACGAGCTGATGGTGAAGGTGGGCGAGGTGAAGAGGGAGATGGAGACGAGCGGGGAAAGGGTGGACAAGGAGCAGTGTGGGGGGATCCTGGAGAAGGTCTTCAGGGATGGGTTCCCGGATACGAGGGATGCGTTGCTGAGGCAGGGGCTCGGATGGTGGGCCTTCGAGGTGCGCGATGCTCGCAAGGCAAAGGCCATGTGGCAAGACAGGAAGGAGAACGTATGTGGGTGGTTAGCCGATCTGGTCGATGCAGGAGCGTTAGATGCCGAGCCAATCACATACGAGGACTTCCTCCCCGCTTCCGCGGCTGGTATCTTCCAGAGCAACCTCCCTCAAGCCACCCAGTCTCAAGCAGGCGAGGCGATGGCAGAGGTCGACGAAGCAGAGGCGAGGAAGCGGCTGGAGCTCGCGGTGGGCGGCATCATTCTGGACTACTCCACGCTCTACAGCGAGCAACAGAGGCAGAGTCTGGTCGAGGTGGGCGAGGTGCTCAGGGTCGACGTGGACGAGATCGTCGAGGCGATAGAGCGACAGTGCGCTTGAGGCTCTGATGTCGAGTCTCGCCACGTGTGATCAATGGACATTCAGGCACATCAGACATTCGAGTGTGAGAGAAGAGACCAATAGGAGTGAGAGAAGACTCTCCATGAATGAGCATCGGAGAATCGAGGAGATAAGATGTGCAGCACAGCTGGCGGCCGAGTTCGCTATCACTGTCTCACACTGCGCCGGCGAGAATGATTGTTGAGAAGAGCAAAACCACAACACCAGCTGCTACGATGTGAATGAGCTGTCAGACGCGGGGGGGGGGGGG